TGCTATATCAATTATAAGATATGAATTGAAATATCTAATCCAATGACTCATTTTGCCACTAAACTATTCGTTCACAAAATAAATCTCATATAAATTTGATTAATTCGATTCGAATCTAATTCAATAACCAGACAAGATCCCAACATGGGGCTAGTAAGGACGGATGTCTTCACTGAATTTTTTATATTTTTACTTTATACCTTATTTTTTAAAAAATTTATAATGATGTCTCACTAAAATTATAATTCACACCTACTGGATTCTTATTTATTTTTTTATATTTTATATTTCAAACTTTTAAACATTTATAAAAATGCCTTCATTAAAATTATAATTTGTCTTTACTGAATTTTTTCTTACATTTAATATTTTAAAATTTTAAAAATTTATAAAAAAAAACCTTATTTAAATTATAAAAATAAATCCATTATATAAATTTACTCCCACAAATTAAAAAGCGACTTCCTCTCACAAAATGTTTTGATCAACTCTCTTTAAATTTCTGACTATATGTTTCTCGATTTGGGTTTTCAATTGCATGTAGTTGTTCATAAGTATGGACAACCTTATGGAAAAAAAAAAAAAAAAAAACCGTATGTCATGAAGGACTAGTCACTATCACGACCATCAATGGTTGGTTGTAAATAATGAAGAAAAGTACAAAAAAGAAAAAAAGCACCATCTTTGTGACTTGTAAAATAATGATGACAAAAGCAACAAAGGCGCGAATCTTTATGCTATATATATTAAGTGTTTCAAAAATGAATTAGGCAAGTGAAAGGGTTACCAAAATGAGAACAAGTTCATGTTCAACACACTTTCATTTGTCTGCAGGCCACCGTTTATCAATTGTAAAACTAGTCTTTTCTTTTCGTTTTTTTTTTTTTTCAAAAACTTAAAAATCGTGCATATCATTTATAGGATAATGTGTATACATCATACTCATAGTTCATAATTCTAATAATTGTTAATAGGGTAAAGTGCATTAAACCTCCTTGAATTATTGGGATATGTGTAAGAAACTCCTTTGAACTATAAAAATTATAAAAAACCCCTCTGAACTATTGGGGTATATGCAAGAAACTCCCTGAACTATAAAAGTTGCAAAAAATTCCCCTAAACTATTGAGATATGTGCAAAAAACCTCCCTAAACTATATATATATTTTTTTTGCAGTTTACCCCATTCGTGCGAATTGATTGACTGAAAGAGACGATGAAGTCGAGGAATTTGTTGTTGGGATCGTTAGGTCTCTTGTCATAGCTCTATCATAGTCGTTGCACAACCCGCCAGATCTGTCGGCCATATATATCGCACTTCTCTGCACCGTTGCGTCAGCCCATCGCTGTCACCACCTTGCTTGCCGTTCAGCTCACCTTGCTCGCCGGTCCATTCCACCGTCCATTCCAAGCTCGCCCCGCCCATTCCGCCATTTCCATAGCCGAGCACACCGCCGTCTGTGTTTCGAGCACACAGCCGTCCACAGTTCACTGTCGAGCCCCCTTGAGCTTGCTGCCGCCTCCACAGTTCACGGCCGAGTCAACCGAACTCTCATCATAGCCGAGTCCTCCGCACATAAACCGCCATCATCCGAGACCGAGCCATCCCGTCGACCTCGGATTTCTTTGGTCTCTTCTCTCTCTCTCTCTAACTCTCTGTTTTGGGTTGTGTTGGGTAAAAAACATCTTTTGGCAGAAAAAAAAATGTAAGAAGTGTATAAGTTGAAACGAAGTAGTGTGTTATAAGGGTAAATTGGTCTTTTAAAATTTTTGGTGCCGGAAGCTGATGTCATGGGGGTAAATTGCAACAAAATCATAGTTTAGGGAGTTTTTTTGTAATTCAGGGGGGTTTCTTGCGAATGATCAATAGTTCAAGGGGGTAAATTGCAACAAAATCATAGTTCAGGGGAGTTTTTTGTAGTTCAGGGGAGTTTATTGCAAATGACCAATAATTCAAGGGGGTTTAATGCACTTTACCCTTGTTAATATTATAAACTATAGAATTCTTAATACGTTTAGTTATTTTAATTGAGAGATGACACACAACTTAATACAATGACTAAAATTAATTAAAATTAAACGCTTATTTAATTAATGGTATTTAATAATGTAATTTGAATATTATTAAAATTCATAAATCTCAATTTAAATGAGATAAAATTTTAAATGATAAAAATATTACTTAACACTGATATTTATGTTATATTATATTTTTTTTAATAAATAAAATAATAAAATTACCTTCCAAAGAGGAAGTTATAAGGATAAAATTTCAATTAAAATACGAGGCAAAGCCCAAATTTTCTTCCACGAAAAAAGGGGCTTAGAACATCTACAACTTTATTTTATGTTTTAAAAATATATAATTTTGAGTATTTAATTATATAAAGGCGGGCCCAGATTCATACTAGTCAAAGTTCCTTTTCATCCATCCATTCGTGGTCTTGACGTTGATGGTTCGAATCCCGTTTATGTATATTTATTAACAAAAATATTCCTAGTCCATCAATTTAAATTTCGGCCCATTTCGATTTTGCTCAACATCAGAAAGCCTTAAGGAGTTCTTGTCCACTAGGTCAAAACTACTAACAATAATGCAACCCAATTTATCATAAAGTCCATCAAAACAACTCGTGTTTATAGTCTTTTGAGAAATGATCTTCTCCCGAATTATATTTCTTATCCTTTGGTTTAATCTATGAGTGTTGATTTGGCCAAAAAAAAAAATATATATATAGTCTTTTGAGATTTTCACAATATTGGGTTTTTTTTTTTAATTAATTTTTTGGGGAAAATATAGGTGTTTTCATGCGTGCAGAGAAGACAGAAAATAGTCCAATGTAAATGCAGTTGTCAGAAATGCATGTGATGTAGTCCTTTTCTCCCAAAACACAGGTCATGGTAGAGCTGGTAAGCTACGCCATCATGTTAAACCGATGGATAGCAGGAAGTTTAAACAATAGTTACAACTCAAAGAAACGGATAATTGGCCACATCGTTAGGAAAAAAGGCCAAAAAAAAAAAAAAAATTAACTATTTTAGAATTTGGAAAATGAATCGGAATTAAAAATGGATTTGGAATTAAAATAAAATTCTATTTTTATGTTTGAAACAAATTGAATTTAAAATTAAATTTAAAATAAAATTTTGAATAAAAATAATATTATATTATTTTTATTTTTATTTAAATGATAAATGAAATATTTATTTTATTGTCAAATATGTTCCAAAATAAAACGGAAACAAAGAAAATAAAAAAGTGATTCAACAGTCCCTCGTATAGGGTAGGGTATAAAGTGCCTTCTCTTTTTCTTTGATAAGGACCTTTCTCTCCTTGTCACATTGCTAAAATCCCCATGATACTAAGTTTTATAAAATCCTAACATTGGATTCCGAATAAATGAAGGTACATTTTGGGTTCGACGCTTTCAAGATGCTTGGGAGTCATGCTCTCACAAGAAAGCTGTAGCATTTGCCATCTTTACTGTTGTGTGGAATCTATCTTCGGTCGTTGCTCGTATTTGGGCAGGTAGGGACACTTTTGCCATTTTACTTTGCGCGAGTTTAGGAGTTGTCAATAAGGTTTTGCATTTTTACTCTCACACACACACACAAACACACTACGTACTACTACTGATGGGAAATGCAAAATGGATGCAGTGTTTATGCTATTTGTGGCCTTTAGATGTTATCAGCAGTCGTTGATGAGAGATGATTGGATGGAGGAAGAAGAAGAAGAAGAAGAAGCAGGATATGACGAAGATTCTTGGCAACAACAGATTAGAGGAGAGGGACAAGTCCGTCGTGGGCCCACTATAGTGGAAATAAAGAAAACCAAGAAAGGATTCTAAAAATGCTGCCCACCACTCTCGCCTACTTTTATCAAACCCCTCTCTATTTGGAGTTCAAGATTCTTCTTCAATTATTCCCCTCTCTACTTGGAGAAAATATATACACACACATTCATGATTCACCTAACCAATATATAAAACTAGCTTTACGAACCCAGTTGGTGGAGGACAAATTGATGAATACACTTTTGTAGCTCAAAAAACGAGATTCGATTTTCTCCCTGAAAGACGTAGAAATTCGAAGCTTGTGGAGTCGTTTCGTGACCTAATAAGCTTGGAGATTCAATATTTGGGAGAATTTTAGTAATAGGAGACGACAATGGCCGGTTTCAGAAATGGGCGTTCTGTGGCGTCAAAGTGGGGAGGTGGGAATAAAAGATATTGGGCAACAAAATTGACTGACACCTGAAATTGGGAGAATAGAGAGAGATAGTTGAGGTTGTTAATTTTAGAGGTAAATAATAATAATAATAAATAAAAATAAAAAATCACCTACAACTTTAGCCATATTTCACTTACACCTCTTTAAATTTCAATATTTCACTTGCATCCCCTAACATTTTGGTTTAGGTAGCAAGTTACAACAGGCGGTTAATTTTGTCAGTGGTGGAAGAAAATAAATGGTATTTTGGTCTTTTAATTTATATAAATGGGTAACATTTTAAAATTACAAAGTTTCGTTAGTAAAGTAGACAATAGTTATACAGGTAGAATATTGAAACCTAGAAAAGTATAAGTGGGATATGATCAAAGGTACGAGGATGTAAGTGAAATTTATTTTAAAAAAAATGGTGATATGTATTTATTGCATAGACAAATCAGAAAAATATTGAGAAGAATCAGAAGATGGCTTGTAAAGGCTTGAATAATATCAAATTAAAAAAAAAAAATCGACCATTGAATGAAGGGCAATAGTGACTATAATTTTAGTAGGACGATATTAAAATTTTATAAATATGTAATCAGTATGCATGTTTTTTTTTTGTAGAGTTTATGTAACATGGGTTTTAACAACTTGAATGTACTGTCTGGGCTCTATGAAACCCTTGACGTGTGTGTTTGTATACCAATAATTAAATTTAGCGAAGTACGAAAAAAGATTTGACACTCAAAAAGTTAAATCGGATGGACCCTAGTGACCGGACTGTCATTGCAATAAAGAAAGTGTGACAAAGTTGATTACTTCTCTCCCCAAAAAAACAAAAATACGTATTACTAGAAATTTCATAAACAATATAACCTTAGTAATATTGCAAATTAGGACAGAAATTATTAAATGCCCGTCACATTCGTCGTGAAAATACCAACCCAACAAGTGGAGACTCGAATGCAAAATTCAGCACACATGTGGCCTTAATTATTACAACGAACACTAGACGCGGCCATATAGTTTTCGGACTTTGGTAGCTCAAATTGTTGAATGTAACCATTTGCTCATAAGTATCATTTGTGTCACAATGCTTCTCCTATTCGGAGTCGTCTCCGAAAGTGGGAATTCTGGCATCGTCGAGATCGTTGTAGAGGAAATCTGTGAAGCCGTAGCGAGTGTCGTGGCCTCTGAAGCTGAGGAAGACTTCGTAGGGCGCAGATGGAAGTGGATTGGAGGTGGATGAGGAATTTAGGGTTTGAAGAACAAGTTTCTGATTCTGAGGTGTTGTCATCAGCAACTGTGGTTGTGTTTGACTTCTTGTTGAAAAGAAAAGTGAATACAAAGAAGGAAAGGAGAATTACAGCAATTGCTGCAAGAAGAGGCAACCAGAAGCCTTCTTCGTACACTTCCATTTGCTAGAGAACACACCTCTCTCACTGTGTCTGGACTCTGGAGGTGAAAGTGAAGGACTTCTCACGCTCCGTGCTGAAAAATGAACAATCTAGTTTTGGAAAGTCAATGGTCTATAAAGTCTCTCTCTTGATTACCCATGGATGTCAATCGCCCAAGCCATGTGAAACTACACTATATACGTAGTAATAAATACATACATGTGTACGAGATATTTGTATTCAAAATGCGGCCTGCTTTGTTCCATTTTATGCATACAGTTTTATGTGAATAGAAGAAGACAATAAAAAAAGTTGTACTTTTGTGAAAAAAAAATAAAATCTTATCTTTAGGGAACTGCTTTTTAAATCATTTTTAAAAAATATATTTTTGGTTTTTTCGGGTATTTATATTGAAGTTTTTAATTTTTATTTTTTCTGTTAGTTAGGGGGTGATTTTAGATTATACGAACTATGCTAAAACAATTTTTTTAAGTGGGGCCCACCACAATCCGACTTTTAAGTTTCACAGGGCAATGCTCTTAAAAATAATTAATAATATTTAAGTCTATTTATCCCACAAGAGTAATGGATTGTCTCTTAAACTACAACCAATGTGGGCATAACCGAATATCACAAGGAGAAAAGAAATGACCTGCTGCTTCATGTCTGAGCTCGGTTCCAAATGCCCTCTTTAGATGTACTTTTGGATCTTCTTCCAAGTCGGAATAAAAGAGGGCAACATTTTCCCATCCGCCCTTAGGTAACTAGGATTGGCTCAAAGCACCAACCTCAGCCTCAATGAGCCACCCTAGTGCATTCCGAGCGACTGAAATTCAATGTCCCTCAGCCATGCCCCCACAAGTCAAGGCCCTGTGTAGGAGGAATCCACTGCTTGCTCAATCATTCCATTTATGACAAAAATCATAATAAGTAACTACAAGTTACTACTACATTAATTGGTATAATACTAATAAAAATCAATGGTGAACGGTTTATGTTTTGCATATGTATACCGCAAGCACAAGCGTAATCCTGAAGTGGTCTAGGCTGTGACTGGCTCTGCTTTCTCGGGGATAATCGGCCTGCTGCTATATGGACCCTTGGGCCTCACTAGGCATTGGGCACACTGCAAATCTAAGCCTTCGGGTCCTCCCTATGGTACCTGATAATTTCAAAAATCAAGGAATAATAGGTAAGTTGAAATTAATTCATTACCAAAACATGTCTAGTTTTGTCAAATGGAGGAACTGGAACATATGCCATCAAGCACTCAAAGACCACAGGAGGAGGAAAATCACGCACTAGATAAATTGTAATATATCTAGAGCCTCACCAAAGTCCAACAGCATACAACACAATTAAAGGTCTCTAAGAAATCAATGCACAAGAATTGCAACAAAAATTAATGAACTTTCATACATGAATCACTCTAGAGTGCCGCTATGTATTTCAAAATATTCTTTACATGCAAGACATCTAAATTGTGGCGAATTAGGTTGAGCTTCCAATAGATTTACTGTATTCATAATAAGCCATGGCTAATTGCCTATTAAGGAGATCCTCTGATGCTAATGATGCACCAAGGTGACCTTTCGACTTTTTGATTGGGAATAATTAAATACAATTCTTGCTATGATCAATTACAAGTACACAAGAAATGGAGAAACAAAAGATAATTAGCAAGCTACAGAGGAGAACTTAATAAACTACAGCAGGAATACTAGCATCCAAATTCGGAAATAAAAAACTATCCAACCAAACAGCATAGTGGAGTTTCAAACAGCCCCAGAGTTCTACACACAGAATAAAGCAAGCAACAATGACACTGAGAAGCAGTACATACATTTTTCATTTAAGAGATTTAACAGAGAGATCATTCACAAAGATGCAGACAGCAGATGCTCCATCATGAAGAAGAGAAGCTTCAGTTTTAAAAGAGATCTCAGATGATAATAATATTAACAGGCATAATGTTTGAGTTGACAACATGTTAACTACCAATTGTTGCTATTATTGTCAATGCCGTTTAAACGACTTTGATGAACAATTTTTCAGTCAGTAATGTTCTATCCAAGCTGGTGCTTGATATTCTTTATTGAATTCAATTGATGTATAGTTAGAGTTTCTGATACGGTGATAGCCATTATTGAAAGTTTGGTGTTTCAGTGTTTTTCAAGTATCCTTCCATGGATCTGATGTGCTTTAAACTTTCTGCGAGTGCAATTTGTTTAAGTTCAATGCTATTCTGTAAAAATGTAAGTTCTATGGTTTATGCATTTCTCCAAGCCAACTACTTGTAGTTTTATTTTATTTTTGTTGTTTTCCTGTTACATTTGATTTGTTTGAAATCCAATGTTCAGGGTAATGCACACAAATGACAGTACAATTCCAAGTCTTCTGTTCTCTAAATTGAAAACTAAAAATCAAGGCTGAAACAGTTAACCTAACTCTCAAAGACCCCAAAACAGCAGGGCTAATCTGTGCATGCATTTTCCTTCTCAAATGCATACACAACATACTTTAAGAAAATAAGGGGAAAATAAAACTCAATGTGCATTGTGATATAAGACAAAATATTCACCATGTAATTTTAGTACAAAGAATAATCTCAATGTGCATTAGAATTCATCTGCCCAACAATGAGTAGAAGATGTGCAAAATAAAATAATCATGTAAATGTCAATAAGGAAATTTTCACTAGCAAAGTTCGACAGAAAAATTAAGACATACCAGGCCATCAGGTAGCTTGTTAGGCATATGTGCGAAGCAGTATATATGGTGTATGCCTGCGTATTTCCGTGTTTGGAAAATCAGGTAAATCTTCAATCAACCTGCATCCAGTAATTTCCAATAATCGCAAGGATTTCAATCCTTCAAGTCCCGGCAATTCAGTCAGCTTCTCACAACCAGGAGCTATTAAAGTAATCAAGCTGTTAAGGTTTGACATATCCGGTAATTTTCCCAGTGACTCACAATCAGCAATGTTTAGATATTCTAGTGAATTCAACATGTCAAGTCCCTGGATCTCAGTTAATTTTCCACAATCACGAATTCTCAATTCCTTCAGTTTTTTCAGGTTTGAAAGATCTGGTAATCTTTTTGACCATTTGCAAGACGACATGTCCAGTCTCTCCAAGGATTTCGATGCCCACAGGCCCTCAGCCTCAACTAAGTTGTGACATTCCCGAAGAACTAAATCTTTCAGCATCCCCAATTTTGATAGATCAGGAAATTTTTCTAGGGAAACACATTCACTTATATCCAAATATTCTAAGGATTCCAATTGCTCTAGGCCTTGAATCAAAATCAGGTAAGGACAGCAGTAAGCAAGTAACTTCTTTAACTTCTTTAGATTGGATAGATCTGGCACTCTTTCTAAGTAAGAACACTGACTTATATTCAAGTGTATTAAACATTCCAACTGTTCAAGCCCGTCAAGTTCACATAGCTTTTCTGACCCTGATACTTCTAAACTTGTCAGCAGTTTTAATTTCCCAAAGCCTTGAATCCCCACCAGCTCAGGACAAGCAGAAAGTTTTAATTCTGATAAAATTTCCAAATTTGACAGATCTGGCAATCTTTCGAAGGAATCACAAAAATTAACAGAGAGTTTGTGTAAACCTGAGGGCAGTCCCATTATGCAACGAATATTTTTACAGGAGTTTATTTCGAGTTGGTTGAGCCTACGAAGTCCACCAATCCCTGCTGGCAGACTCCTAATGCTGGTCTTTATCAAAGTCAAGGTCTCCAATTCAGATAATTTCCCAAGATTTCCAGGAACTTCTGCAAGATTCCGACATTCTTCCAAGTGCAATTTCTTCAGACTCGTCAGATTGGGAAGACTTGGAAATGCCTCCATTTGTTTACATGTGACACGAAGACTAGTTAAACTATGAGGAAGTTGTGGCAGCGATTGAAGCTCCCGGCAGCCGTATAAATCAAGGGTTTGGAGGTCACAAAGCCCACAAATGCTCACTGGTAGGTGAGAAATCTTTGTTAACATTAAATTCAAGATTTTCAAAGAAGACAACCTCCCAATACTACTTGGAATTTTCCCTTGCAAACTACAAGAAGAGGCATTAATAATTTCAAGCTCCTTTAAATTTCCAATAGCATCAGGAAACTTGGTTATGGCAGATCCACTAATATCAAGCACTCTCAAATGAATTAGATTCCCAATGGACGGGTCAATGTGAATCATACTTCCACACCCTTTAAGAATCAATCTCTCTAAGCTTCCAAATGTAGAGAAGTCAGGAGTTCTGGTTAGGCAATTGCAATATGAGAGATCTAAAATTTTCAGCTTTCTTGACATCTGTGAAACAACAAAATTATCATCAAGGAAAGAGAGAAGTTAATTATCCAAGAAGTATGTGTAATAATAAGAACAAAAGCAGTGTATTCTATCAACCATGATTTGACTCCAAGCCTTCCAGTCATTTGTAATCCTGCTACATGATAGATCAAGAATGACCAGATTCTTTAGACATAAACTGGTTGGAGTGAATTTCCCTGGACAATTCTGCCAATGAAGCCATCTTAACTTTGAAAGAAGATGCTTAAAATCTCCAGTTAATTCTGCGCAATCAACTTTGAGAAACCTTAAATTTGAAAGTTCTGTGAATACTTCACTTGTAAAACAAAGGCCCGGATAACCAAATTTGAAGTCAAGACAGAGGACTTCAACCTTTTTAGTACCCTACCAATAAAAAGCCATAAAATAAGTAAACAACATATCAATAATAGATTTACAGTGTTCTAACACAAAGAAGTGCAATATTAAATATTGTTTTTACTGTTGTGATAAACTTTTTGATTGTTTCAACTTCATAAAAGAAATTTCATAAATAAGTGCCATAAATCCCACTAACTTTGAATTGAAAACATTTTTACCCAACCCATGTGGAAGAAAAATAAAACAAAGGAGCCCTTCCTCAAATATTTTGTTTGAATAGCATCTTATTTCATCACATGAATGAGGGAACAAGAAAATGATAGCCCCCTACCACCACCACCCCCCAACCCATAAATTTTTTTTTTTGATGCATCTGAATCTTACCATGCGCCCCTCCAATACATCCATTGCTTCCTCATGAGACCACAACCTACTACGCTCCCCAGGCTCCTTGAAATTTTCTTGACGAACAATTTCTCTACCAAGGCCTATAAGCTGATCATGCATCCATAGGAAATCACCATCTTCAAATTTCACCAAAGACATGAGAAAGAGGACATCAATCCCACTTTCAGGAAAAAATTCACAAGCATCCCACATATAAAAGGCAACTCCTTTGTCCATTCCACCAGGAAATTCAAAATACTCAGCAATTCTTTTGTCCACTCCAATGGGAAGACATGCAATGTCGAGAAATATCTGCTTTTGCTCATAATCTAATGCTTCATAACTTATTCTCAATATTGCCTGGACTTTGTCATCCGGTCTTTTTCTCAACTTCTTCAATGTATCTTTCCATACTGCTTTCCCCCTGCCACATAAAAGTGAACCTATAATCTCAAGAGCCAAAGGAAGCCCAGCAGCAGTGGATGCAACATCTTTGGAAAGAAGATCATAGTCATCTGGAGGGAAGTCCTCCCTAAAGGCATGCTTGCTAAAAAGTTGAAGAGAATAATATGGTTCCATTGTTGGTGGTTCGTAAGCCCCATCTACTTTGAGATCATCTAAAACCTTTTTGTTTCTTGTTGTAACAATGAACCTGCTTCCCGAGCCATACCAATCACGTTCTCCGACAAGCATCTCAAATTGAGACGATTCAGCCACATCGTCCAAAACAATGAGAACTTTCTTTCCAAAAACTGTGTCTTTTGTCATTTGGTGTCCATCATTAACAGTATCAATGTCGAGGCCTTTTCGCTTTAGGATTTTAGAGTTCAGTTGAATTTGTAAGTTAACAAGACCCTTTTGTTGTGAAATTTCTCGAACATCAGCAAGAAAGCTACAGTGTTCAAAGGACTTGGAGAGTTTGTTGTATATGACTTTGGCAATAGTTGTCTTGCCAAGCCCACCCATGCCATGGATTCCAACAATCCTTACATCACTGGAGTGAAAATCTAATAATCTACTTACTTCTTCTATGTGATGATCAATTGCAACCAATCTGTCAGTTACAACCATGTAATTCTTCTTTAACTCTAACAACACTTTTGAAACAACCATCTTCACGAGCTTTCCTTGATGCCTGCAGTATATAATTGACATCAGATGGGAGATCACAAGTAACTAATAGAAGGGAAAGCTAAACATTATTAAGGTTAAATTATGATGTGTTCTATTTTTATTCAGTTCAATGCGGCATGCATGAGTAAGGAGAACAATTATGATGGTGCAAAGGTGAAGTACTCCATACATGAATCATTCTTGGCTTTACTTGCCTATGTTAGGCTATTCTTATACATATATATTCATCTGTTATTGTTCTTGGTTCTTCTTCTTTTAAATATGTATTAGAAGACTTAAATATAAATATTTAAATTTAAAACCCTCTCTAATAGCTTAATCTTTTAGAGTAGATAGTGGTTAACATGGTATCAGAAGTTCAGAACCAGATAGATTATCAAGAGCTTGGGTAAAAAAAATATCGGAGGCAACATTAGAATTTGGTCTCCATAGATGCCATAAAAAACATTTAGTGTTTCATCAATCTACTAAAAGGTATTATTTTCCTTGTAGTGTATGTGGATGGCATTATTATCATCATAGGCGATGTCTCTGCAGGCATTGCTAAGTTGTAGGAGTTTCTGCACTATCAACTTCATACTAAAGGCATTGGAGTGAAACTCTTCCTCATCGCCAATTGGCCACTAATGGCCTTGTCACTGGAGAATAGTCTGATTATCTATTCAAAACGGGTGATTTTTTTAAGGATATTAATTAAATGCATAAACATTATACATTTTCCAGATCTTGTGTTTCACATTATATAATAACTTTACAATTTTTTAAACTAGTAGTATATCTCTTTTATTCCACAAAAGTAAAAAGGTTATTCACTTCTCTTTTCTTTTTTAAAATGTAGTATATTTCCCTTATTCCAGAAGAGAAAAGATTAAATTACATTTCAGACATTATGAATTTGATACTTCTTTTAGTTCTAACATGCATATCAATGACTGCTTAGGAAATCAACCACATCCTAAACTAAAACTCTTATTTTATTTCTCTACACACATTAGGAAGCAAAAATATATATAGAGAGAGATTTGATTATTTTCTCTATTTCATATTCCTCACAAACTCATTTAGTTTTCTATTTCAATCCCAACCACAAGAATTAGTTAATCAAATTCTAAGTAAAATGCACAAAAAGTTCAATTTTCATACTATGATGCTAAAAAATTGAGATCAATCAAGCAAACAGGAGTACTGAGTACATTACCCTCCAGTTTCCTTGTTCAAATCCCATCCTTTCAATGCTCCAACCCCTTTCAATGCCTCCCTCCATCCCCGCACGGTGTCGCCATCGAAATGCCTCTGGTGCTCGTTGAAGGCCTTCTTGTAAGTCCCTGTTTGATGCCGCACATCGGACGGCTCAACGTCAAAGAAAATGGGCAAAATGATCTGTCCCATGCTTGTCCTGCATTCCCACATTTTTGCTAGCTCGCGAAGGCACCATTTACTGGACGCATAGTTCTTGGAGAAGATCGAGATTGAAATCTTGGATTCTGTAATTGCTCTGAGGAGCTCAGGGCCGATCTCTTCTCCTTTTCGGAGCTCGTTGTCGTCTCTGAAGGTGCGAATTCTGGCATCGACGAGATCGTTGTAGAGGAAATCTGTGAAGGCGTATCGAGTGTCGGGGCCTCTGAAGCTGAGGAAGACTTCGTAGGGGGCAGATGGAAGTGGATTGGAGGTGGATGAAGAGTTAGGATTTGAAGAAGAAGTTTCTGAATCTGAAACTGTACTTGTGTTTGTCTTCTTGTTGAAGAACTTCGTGAATACAAAGAACGAAAACAGAATTACAGCAACTGCTGCAAGAAGAGGCAACCAGAAGCCTTCTTCCATTTCCAAGACAACTCAGCTCTCCTCTCTCTCTCTCTCTGTGGAGGAAAAGTGTTGACTTGTGGACATCCGTGCCGCATAGTGAAGGGTTGTGTGTTGGAGAGTCAATGATCTACTATAAAGTAAACGACGAATTTTTAACATTTCAATTCTACCCCACGTACGTATTTATTGTAATAAAATACTATATACATATATATATATATATATGAACATAAATATAATTACAAATTTGACAAGTATAAAAGAGGATTAAACGTAATTTAACAAACAAAGAGACATGTTTCACGAGATGAAAGTGTAATTTACCATTGAAAAAATAATATCTGTTCTTTGAGTATGGAGACAATGCTGATACAATTTCATTAGGTGGTTGCGTGTCATGAAATGGAACATTGCAAGATCATGTTTTAAAAGTAGAATGATTTGGAAAAAATTTTATTATTAAAAAAATGGATATAATACAATTTAAAATATATTATGAATTAATTGGAAATAATAATATAAAATTTATAAAAATAAAAATAACAAACATCTAACACTAAAATAAGTCTTGAATTAATAATTTTAATTATGATGATAAAATGACTAATTATTACTCCTTCCGTCCCACAATACATGTTATTGAATTGATAAGAGTGAATTTTTAAATATATTCTTACTAAAAAGACAAAATAGTACCCTGTAATTAGTGCAATTGTTTAGTTAAAAGGATAGTTTGAAAATATTATAAAAAATAGTACATTCAAATTTGGAATGTACATGTTTTTTGGGACATTCCAAAATAGAAAGATGACAACGGATAGAGTATTATTTATATATATAATAATATATTATATTAGTATTTTTGAAATATTGGTGCCATAGTATTTTTTTTCATTGGGTAACTATCTATAGAATTACTTGATAAGGGGACTGGATCTGAGATCCTGTAGATACTTTTTCCCGCCAAATATCTACAAAACTATCGTATAACAGGTTATCTAAACTTCCATGGTACGATTAAAGCATGTTACGTCATTATTTGTATAACTATTCATATTTTTTGTTTCATGCAAATTGGAGATTAATGCTGTGAAGACAATGAGCCGTATAAATTCTTAAATTCAACTGATTCTGAGGACGCCTTATCACAAGACTAGTCTACAATTTACATCTTGGAACGCAACAAGATCAGCGACATTCACCCAAAGACAAGCACATGCAGTCATTGAGCAGTCGATGGAGAGTTAGGATGCAGTTCATGGTAATAAATTCTTTATCGATCTTATAGTGTTACCATAGATATAGTGTTCTAGTTATACACTTCTTAGTCTTTTCTAATTTTCAGATGATAATTATCGTTCAATTGGAATCAAATTCTCAACAATATTGTTGGGGTAAAATACTTTTCTTTCGTTCCTGTAATCTGTATAAAATTATTGATCAACTGATAAATTTTACTCCAAAGAAACCACTTCATATATTATACTTGAAATTTAAATTACAGCTTTACAATATTCAGATCCACCTTTGTAGCCTAGAGTTCTAGATTATGAAATAAATGGTGGTTAAACAGAATCAGAAGCATAATCATCTCCGGGTTCAAGCCGCCACTCACTCCCATAGTAAGAATTGGGCAGTCCCAGCCAAAACTTGAATGCCTCTGCTGCTCTCTTCCTCTCAATCCTTCTGTCCTGCCTTGCTCTCGAGGCATGCTTACTAGTAAACATCCTTGAATGCATCTCCACATATATTCTGGTATATTTGGTCTTATTTGGAGGTATACCATTTTCTTCCATGCAAGACACAATCTCCAAAGCCTTCCTAAAGAAAGCAGCCCTCACACAGATATCAGCCAGAGTATCTAAGAGCCCTTCGTCGGGCTTCAATGGTGGGAGAGTCGAAGAACCCCCTCCTTCATTTTCCCTACTAAACCTCTCTTTTACTTCATTCCAAAGCAAAAGCGCTTCTCCTGGCTTTCTAGCCAATGCAATCCCATTAGCAAGACTGCCATAAGTAGCCACATTCGGGTAGAACCCATTCTCTCTCATCCTCTGGACTATGTTCTTTGCTTCTTCAACCAATCCCAGTCTGCAATACCCTTCAACCAACATATTCCAAGCAACCAAATCAACCTTCACTCGTGGGTCATTGAGCATCTCCTCGAAGACCTTGTTAGCGAGCTTTGGTTGACCAGACAAGGCAAAAGCTTTCATCAAAGTGGTGTAACTGATCTTGGTAGGAGAAATGCCTCTCGCACGCATCTCATTGAAATAGGTAAGAACCCCTGCACTGTCATCAACAAGTACACATCCATCCATCAAAGTATTGTAAGAAACAACATCAGGCTCAATCCCTGCATCATCGACCATCTCCTGCATCAACTCCTTCGCCTTCTCTATCTGTAGCTGCTGGCAATACCCTTTTAAGAGAATATTGTAAGTGACACGATTAGCAGGAACACCAATTCGAGTCATCTCAGCTAGCACCTGTCGTGCCCTGTCCATCGAGCCCACCTTCACAAACGCTGATATAACAGTTGTGTAGCTGACATGGTCAGGGTGGCTGGCACTATCTTCCTGATGGCGCATTGCCTCTAGCATTCTCACCGTGTCACTAACACGAGCTTCCTTCATATAACCCTTCATTAAGGTTGTGTACATTCTAGTATTAGGAGCATAGACTTTGGGTAACAAAGGTGGTTCGTAATCATTCGGGTTTATCGAATTAGGAAGCAATTTCTCAAACACATCTTTCTCATATTCACTAAGGTTTTCCTCATTTGAGTCTCTTAGGATCTTGCACAGATCTTGCCGTCCTTCCCTCATCGCTTGAACTATTTTCTCTGCAGTTTCTATATCATCAAAACCAACATAAGCCGCAACAAGTGAATGTAATGTTGTCATACACAATTGAATACCCTTTTCAATGATTCTTTCCAGTACGTATACAAGCAAGTCTTTTCTATCAGCTCTCGCACACAACTTGATCATCACATTGTAAGTCAAGACATCTGGCTCACAACCACTCTCAGGCATTTCATCGAACACCTTCAAGAACTTCTTGGTGTCGCCAATATTGGCACACGCATTGAGCACTGCATTGTACGCACCCGTGTCCGGCCGCGAATCCGAGACCATCGACGGGTCCGAAAACCGGCGGACCCGTCGGACCACGGAACTAAACAGTTTTATTGCCTCGGCGGGGCTGTCGTTTGCGAGGCGGCTCACGACGGCGCTCCACGCCTTGACATGGGGGAGATAACCGGATTTGAGCATGGACTTAATGATGGAGGTGGCGTAGAGGGTTTGACCGGCCTTGGCAGCTGCGACGGCGAGGAGGCCGAGGGAGTTGGCATCGAGGCAGTGAAGCTGGCGCTCATGGCGCAGCCGTTGGATGATGGACTGGGCGCGAGTGAGGCTCAAATTGGTATTCTGATATGATAATTGGGAGACTAATCGGCTAAGGCAGGTGGGGTTTGGGAGGTGTGAGCATTGGGTGTAGATTAACCAGGCCTCCTCGGTTTTTCTTTGGCGGAGAAGTGTTAGGAGCGTTTGGTCTTCGGAATTGGGTGGTGGATTGTTGCTTTTGTCGGTGGCGAGAGAGAGATTGGAGGAGTTGGTGTTGTTGATGGTAGCTTGCGGCCGAAATGGGAACTTGGATTTGGAGGTGGTGGTGGTGAAGAGAGCTGGTGGTGGTGGTGAGACCCAGTGGAGGGTGAGAGCGAGTGTTAGTGGGAATTGGATTGAAGCTGCTGCTGCTGTTGATGATGATGATGAAGGTGGTGGTGTAGTGTTCATAGTTGGTCCATCCGTAAACTGGGGAATTAGTTCAAATTTGGAAGAGAGAGAGAGAGAGAGAGAGAGGAGATGGAATACTACTAGTACAGTATATTTTTTCTTTTTTTGGAAGTTAAAGAAGAATAGATATTTTTGGAGGATTACTTTGGGTGGAAATGGGATGGACTACGTCGATGATATTCTGTCCTCAGCTTGTCTGAAACACCTACTAGTATCAGCCGACCACGTCAGCAATCACGGCTGAGGATCACAGCCTACCAGGTGTTTGTTTTAAAGGCCAAATAAAAAATTACTACTGACAAATAAATTTCATGCTCGAAAATCCTGTTCATTTTTTTTTTTTTTGAGACCAAAATCCTATTCAAGTAAATGTATAAAAATATCATCGGAAGTAAATGTATAAAATATCAAAGTCATTGTTTGGCTTGGCAACATCTTATGAATTGTAAAATTCAAAAAAACATCTTATGAATTGGGCTAACTACACAACTGAGTTTTATAATAAAATTTATAAATGAAAAAGTTTAACTACTGTCATGGAGTAACCTTAGCATTTCTCAAATAATATTATTCACAGGGATAATAATAATATTGAGAGCCATGGGGAAAAGAGTAAATTAAGAAAATCCAAACAATTTGATGACACCTACCTTTCCTTTGACCCCGACAGAATTATCAACTAATTTGTCGTAACGGTGAGAATCCAACCCATTCAAGATATTGGTGAAATCATCAACAAATTTATCTTTTTCAGCAGTGTCATAATGAAGGCAATCTCAACTTTTCTGACGGGTGCCATTGTAATTAGCCCTAAATTCAAAGATACAATACAAAAGGATTTAAGTTGCCAACAGTATTGTTTCATATTTGTCAAAATAAATTCGTTTGCCCTTGCCCCACAGAATATATATATATATATATATATAATATTTGACCGACCACATATAAAGTCGTTTTTACATATTTTGGCACAGAAATAAATTGCAGCCAAAAAGATGTAAATATATAATTATCTAAAACCTGTACATTTTGTGCATAATAAATATTTAGCAGGGAGCTAATCTATATAAAAATGACCAATCTTTTTCTGTACAGTTCCCTCAAGAAGCTAAAACAACTACTAAATATATACCAATCTTATTTACCCCTAGTCCGCACCGAGAAGAGAAGAGCTTCCTTTTGTTCACAGCAATCAGCTCGTCCTTCATTTTGATCACAGCAATCAGCTCCTCCTTCAACCATCACCACCGCGACTGCCGACAGAGACGGTCAAAATATCTACATCAGCACCACCCTAATCTGATAATTACAAATTTACAGTTCGTGTACGTGTTTGGTTGAAATATCGTAAGCTACGAAAGATGGAACGATCCTTGTCCTTCGGTTATGGCAAATAAGAGCTTCTCTTTCATCCTCTCCTGCAGAAGTAACAAATAAATTTATTTATTTATATAATGCAATCCATTTGTTTTTGTAGCAAAATTTAGACAAAGAGAAGCTATGTGGGAACTGGGAAACAAAGAGGAGTCCACCTTTGAAGAGTAAGGAGGCAGCTTCAAATAATTGGCACAAGTCATCACACTGGGCAGGTCAGCATCTGGACATCTGCTACAATGCTGATAAAACAACCAGAAAACGAGGAGGTGATCAATTGATGATCAAACAAGGGTTAAAGACATTAAAAAACTGGTGACATCAACACATAGAAAACACCTTTCTGACAATTGTTAGTTTTGGATTGAGAGATGCCAAACCACCAGGAGGAAGCCGAGGTGCCCCAGTCACAAACTGCAGGAATGCTCGTTGCTGTTCGCGATTGAACTCTTGTATAATTTCCAGTAGCTGAAAGTCATAAAAGTGATCAACTATAGAATTTTATGAGATCTAAAATAAGGAAATGTAAGAAAGAACACTAACATTGATAATGGGTGGACTGCTGGCAGTGTATCCATGATCAAACTTGATGTGATCCAATAGGTCATTCGACTGCTAAAACAATAATAAAAGTACATCATAGTAAACATAATCACTAAATCCTTTTCAGACAGGTAAATCAAAAGAAAAATATACATACAGTCCAAAGTTCACATTCTCCACATAGTAAATGCTCTAATTCCTCCTCAGTGAAAACCTGAAGATGCTTGATTGGAAAAACCTGAAGAAGCAATCACAGGTCTCAGAATAATTAAAGAATCCTAATTACGGCATATTAGCCTAGCCCCCAACATTTCAACCAAACAAAAAGAAATAACTTTGCTATGAATATCAAAATATTGCTGAAAACTGAAAAGGTCAGATAACCCCCAATCCAATTCCTGATCATTCTAATCGTTTTCTCTTGTTTAATTTATTTTCAGCAAGCCCCTAAATTGCATGGACACCTTATGAGTCAGTGAAGTACAGGCACCAAAAATGTGTGAAACACTAGCAGTACACTATTTTTTTAATTTTTAAAACTACAGAATCGAGCACAATTCATTTCTGTACAAATTCTGTTAGAGAATGTTCAACGTATACACTACACAAATTTTTAAGTCTATGCAGTTCTACATAGAATGTGCTCTATAACAAGGTTAAATCTGAACATTTCTAGACAATTTGTGCTACCCAATATTCAATTTTCAACATTACAGAACCAAGCCATGCATATCTATCAGATTCTAACAATCAGCAGCACCAATGCAGCAAAGCTTTCTGCATATGTATCAATTTTCAGTTTACCTTCCCCTTCTATGTTCTCATAGGATGATACAACTTCATACCCAATAAAACAAATTCAATATTCCGACAATAAAATTAATTCTGTTTAAGTATAGGCTTCTATTTCGAATACTAATTTTGGAGAACCAGAACAAATCTATGTTATTCCTCAGAACAACTTTGCATTTACCATATCATGGTCAATGCAAAACATCAAAAGAGTAAGGTAATGACCACCTATGAAGGCAAAAACCTGATTAAACCCCGATTTGAAAGCTTCCACTTGTCTAGAAATTCCAGCATTGATAGTTGCATCCACAATGAGTGATACATATTCCTCCAAGTTAGCAATATTAACCTAAAAATGAGAACGTTAATAAAATGACTGTAGCATGTAATTTGTCACTGAACAAATCAAAGGAGAAATAAAGGTAGTGTGCAAAGAGGAATGCCCAACCATTCTGGAATCAGGTCCACAAGTGAGAACATAGTAAGGATATCCAGGAAGAATAAACTCAAGGCAAAGATCCTCAATTCTAGTATTCCGAAAGCATGAATCAAGTTTGAATGTCGAGTTTTCTCCGCAAACAGATTCCAGATGTCTTTTTCTTTCAACAAGAGCCTGGAACTCTAGCAGAGTCCTACCAAACCCAGGATCAAATGTGTGGATGTCATACACTGTAAGTTCCTACAAGAAAAGATTAAATATAAAACACTAGTATGGAATCTAAGATCAGAACAAAAGGTTGCATATCATTGGTATTTTCAATTTAAGATTGGATGCATACCTGCCCAAGTATAAGTTTGTAAAAAGCTTTGGAGAAGGGGAGATCCAAAACTCTTCCATCTTGAAGAGACTTTGCAACGACCTGTCCCAGAAGGACAAACTTTTTAATAACTTCAGAAAACTCTATGCCACTTGATGTACTACTTGCTGCAGATGACCACGGGCAAGGAAATAATCCAAAAGGAGACACCACGGTTCCTGAATCCTCCACCTGTAAGCTTTTTACAGGTGTAAATAACATATTGTCTTCTCTCCACATGCCCAAGCCCGATTTCTGAAACTCATGACTGACCAGTGTATAAAATTCCAATGTCGGACCGAGACCAGTACCAACTTCTTCGTTATATTCCACATCAAGGACAACATGTTGACGGGCATGGAGGTCCATCATCTGGGTGGCATACTCCAGAATGCGATTTCGGCACACTAAAAACTTTTTACGAGGCCTGCTGCCAGTGTTTTGCCGGCTGCCATATGGACCCCCTATATGATTAGGAGACGATGGATGTGATTGAACTTGTGGCTGACAAAATGCTGACAACCGGAAGTATTTACGTTTTGCCTCAAAACCAAATAAAAATGGGCACAAAACCATTAATTGGCTACACCACGATGGCATACCACCAACAGACACAGCGAAGGGGTCTCGCATCTGCTGTTCTAGTTTCTCTGTCAATTTACTGCTCACAAAGTCTGTCGGCAAGGCAGCAGAAACTTCTACCTTCAAATTATCCAAATTATCGATTTTCCCTTCGGCAAAAGCATTAGTTCTTTCACGAGACATCAGATGAAACCTGAACCTATTCATAGCTTCCAAACTTTTCAGCAGGAATAATATATCATAAGTAGCACTTGACTTTTCCACGTCAAAAGCTAGTTCAGAGAAAAACAAGCCAGAGAATAATGGAGCGTACAGGCAATATGTCCCAACCTTGTCCAGAACAGAATCATGAGCCTGACAATCTCGAGGACAACTTTGTTTAGGTTTCACAGCTCTTCTATATGTTATTCTGTACACTTGACTCCACAATTTTGCGCTGCTGATAAATTCATGCCCTGATTTGATTTTTTGCATGAGAACAGCTTGATATAGTGTCAACTTTGAGTCCAGCAGTTGTCCTTCTAGGTAAAATAGCAATTTTGGTGAAGCATCCACGTCGCTACTGGATTCAACATTATCTGTCCCAATGCTAGTATCTTCAACATTATCTGTCCCAATGCTAGTATCAACTTCTAAAGAAGTATGATGTATTTCCTCCACATGATCCTAAAAGACAACAAAACCAAAAACAATAGAAAGGGAAAAATATCATCTTAATGATATGAGAAAAGAAACAAGCAAGCTGAAGGAAGGAGTCAAGAAAAAAACAAACGTAAAACAAATAGTCTATTTCAGTCAATTATTCAAGTAGGCACCATACGTATTCCCGCATTGCCATACTTGAGCCCAATGCAAGAAGATGGATACAAAGAAAGTCAGTATATGACCCTTTTAATAAATTCCACATGAACATGGATCCTAACAAGAACCAAAATTCATGCAGCAAATGCCAAGCAACGGGTGCAGGCCTTGAGTTTAGATGAAAGAAGTTGAGATACATTGAAATAATATAGATGATTCAAAGGAAGATGTATCTGCTCACAATATGAGTGTCTCTTATGCCTGTTGTTTCACTAGTTGTCAGCCCTATATTGGCTGCTTCTTCAGATGCAAAATGTGATAAGTTAGGCTGGATCTCCTGCAGAAAATATAACCAAAAGTGGTAACTGCCAAAATTTTGAAAAAGCCAAGTAGATGAAGAAACAGTGAAATGAATCCAACTTCTTGCTGTGAAATAGAATAAAGATGAGATAACCTGCAACTCCGGCAAATCAGAGGACAACCTCTCAGACACCATATTATTTAGACATCCATTTTGCTGAGAGCCTGCACGTGGTGGTAATTGAGAAGATGGACTTCCCATTCTGCTCAAAGCTCGATTAGCTGATTTTATGCTCCCAATTTTGTTTGTGCTCACTTTGGGCCACAAATATCCTTCAATAGCACCCAATGAAGAAAAAGGATCGACAGTGAGAACATCTTCAGAGTGGTCAGAAAGGCATGTCTCCCCCTCTCCCTTCACAAACTGAACTTTTAGACAAGGATACATCAAGCTTTGACCATATGGCACTGTAGCATATGAGCTCTTGTGCTTGGATCCATTACTCAAAATAACAGGAAAATTTTCAACAGAAGATAGTGCACTTTGCAATTTCTGAATTAATACTGATAAAGGAAAGTCCTCCAAGGACAGGTATGAAGAAGATAAAAGCAATCTTCCAAACACCTCAAATCTTTTCTCAACAGCATAGTGGTGACTAAATGCACCAGTAAGTTCCGCCTTTTCTCTAAGATAATGGCCATTAGATAGGAAATTTACTAATGATTTCACAATTCCACTTTCAATAAATTCAAAAGTGGAAATAGGATCTATTCCATTAAGCTGTTCCAAAATTTGATGCAATACACGATAAAAATCTTCTTCAGGCTGAGTAAAAGCCACATTACTCATGGACATGTTCATCAGATCTGATAATGCAGCTGCTAAAGTTTTGAGCTTCTGAAGAACATCAGTTAATCCTAACTCAGAGTTTAATAGTTCTGTAGTTAAGTAGTTGGTCTTTATGCGCTCTGCAAGATTACGAACAGAATCTTTTTCAAGCTTGCAAGTCCCAGTTACTGAAGATGATGGACACTGACCAGTATCAAATGCAAAACATAAGCATCTCAGGACATCCCTTGCAGCAAATTTTTGACTAGGATCACTTGACAGCTCTGTGCCACTAAACACGGGAAACATAATCTGTGAACACTTCGCAGGCGTTAGAAGTGTATCAACAGCAAAAAAGACACCCTCCTTTCTAAAGGAATTCAAGAATATGTCAGAAAGCTTTTGCAGAACGGTATCAGCAATCTGTAGAGCTAATATTAGCACATGGTGATCCTTTCGAGTGAATACTCCAGCCAAGAAACTGCCACATGTTCCAGAGAGAAAACTGTTATCTTTATTTTAAAATGTGCTTGATTTACTAAAAAAAAAAAAAAACAACTCTTTCACCTTGCAATGTTGGTTTTCTTGAGCAATTCAAGAAGCATGTCAGATTTGCTGAAATAAACAAACTTGTTGATAACAGAAAGACAGCCATAACAAATATATAAATTTGCACCAGAATTAACCACCTGGACAAGGATAAGGAATAGTTAATACTAAATATTAAGGGTAAGAAATCAGTTCAAATACTACATATCAAAGAACCAACCTCGATTGCCACAGGAAGTATATCCATCCCAAACTTCTGAAGAAGATCAGCCCGATTTACTAGAAAAGCTTCCTTATCCAAGGCCAATTGATCTTGACCTCTTGTTATAGCAGGGAGAAGCTCATTGAGTAACTTCAAGACTTCATGCACCTGAGCAAGAAAATAAAGCAGAAGTTTCTTTACTTGTGTTATCCTTTTTGTCTGCTACATAACTTGATTTATTTTTACTCACGCGTGTCCGAGCTTACAAAATATAGAAAGTTAAAACACCATGCAACTAATATTGCAGTAGAAAAACATTACAGCAAAGAGTGAACTCAAAATCTACTGCATCATTGCAGCAACAGATAGAAATGCTGCAGAAAAACCGTAGGAAATAAAGATACATAAAGAAGGAAATAATGATGCTTAAAACAGCAAATTTCCCATTTTAAGATAAAAAAAAAATGATCCCAAATGCTACAATGAGCACACAGAGTTTAGTGAACATAATTTATCCCTTACAATGTCAGGATTTGTGCATCCAACAGGAAATTGTTTGGTAAAAGATTATTCAGTCAAAAACTTGTGGGCGAAACCCTTTGTTTTGGTGAGACATGCGCGCAAAACCTTTGACTCTATTAAGAAAATGGGTGGATAAAACATTAAGAAGATGGAATAAGACTCTATGCAATTTAATTATTTACAATGAAGGAAAATTTGGAGATAATGTAAATCACAAAATCAAGGGAGTCATAACACAGCAAAATTTGGAACTCATCAAAATACAATGGCTTCTAAAAATTTAGCATGCTTGCATGTTTGTGTGCTAAAAGTGGGTGGGGGGAAATTAAAGCTAAAAAATATACTCCCTTCCATAATCATGGCTAATAACATTGTTTCAATTATATGTGTTGTACTACAAGACAAGGCAAAGAAAATATAATGTAGGAATAAGATATAGACCTGATTGCAATGTCCATCAACCATATTTGAAGGCGGCATTCCATGTGCGATATAGTAAGTAGACAAAATGTCCTTTAATATGCTGCTTATATTTTGCTCAAAAAGAGTCCTGACAGCTACAATTGATCCAGAAGCAAGTATGACAAGTAGCCCAATCAAACCCTGCCACACAACATTGGAAATATAGAATTATCCACGACAAAGAGTAAGGAATTGAGAACTGCAAATTGCGAAGACATGAATAGAAGGGATCCGCATACAGTGTAAATTGTTTGGCAAAGAGTGGTGTGATTATTCGAGTTTATGAGATGCATGACTTGATGAATCAGCCCATGTTTACAAAGTTCATCCAGCATGTCAGATGAGTAGTGCACTCTCTCCGTTATTTTTATCAAGCAAGTGGCTACTTTCTCAACAAGCTGAGGAGGATTCCAAGGAAAAAAAAATTGCACAATAAAAGGTTAATATGAGCTAAATTATTTATTTGACGAAAAATTATCCATAGATGCAAAACAAAATATATACCTGTCTATCTTCGTACTGAAGAAAATTGCACAATGTTGGAACCGCCTCCATGAAAGGTGCAGGAGATTCAGAAGGAAGTTTCTTACATATGTTGACCACAGTTGAAAGTGCAACTCTCTGATGCAAATAAAAGAGGGGAAAAAAATTGATTTCAACTCTTTCCAGACCAACAGTCAAACAAAATACAAGTAAAAGTAGTACCCTTAATTTATTTAATTTATGAAGTAGATACACAGAGTATGGTACATTACCTGCAAGCTTGTTGAGAAAAAATCAATGTAATTCAGAACAGCCATAATTGCCCCCGACTGTAAGCAGGCAAGTGGTTGCTCTCGTGAGATTTTCTCCAACGCTTGCAAACACTACAATCAAAGACAGACAATGCATATAGATTATACAACCCTGTAATCGTATTTCATGTTACTTATGGGAAAATGTACTTGAGCAAGTTCTCGCATACTTGTTCAGCTACATCCAGGTACTCTATGGCCATTAATCTTTGACAAAGAGCAGTAACAGCATTGTGTCGAATAAGGAAACCTGAGGATCGAGGATGCACATCACATAGATAAGTTATAGCCCTGATAGCTAAAAGCATTACATCAGGGTTGTTATCCTGACTTGCCAACTTTACAAGAATTGGAGAGAATGAGTCTGCCATTAAGCTTGACAGTGAACTGTCAGTACAAAACGATAACAATTCACATAGCTCAGTTAGAGCAGCTAATATCGCAGATTGATCAACCTCTTCACCCAAACTTGACAAAACCCTCTGGAATTTCTCATGATCACTTGAAGTTCGCCCCCTCTGATAGTTGTGGAGCCTGTTCTGCCTCTGTTCTGCATCACCCAACTCATCAGAATCACAAGATCCATATGCAGAATCCTTTTCAGCTTCGCCCTCTGATCGGCTTGATCCCGAGGCAGACCAAGCTGTATCCATGTCACCATCGTGCGCTTCAAGTGTCGAATTTGTGGAGTTTATTGGGGTTTGAACAGATGAAGTCGATGTGCTTGGTCTGAAGTCCAATGAACTACATGCTCTCTTATCAGCTGGCAATTCATCAACAGTTTCAGCACGTTTTTGCCCTCGATTCCCCATTTATCAGTACAAATTTTGATAAATATTCACTCCTATTTGGACAAGAAAAAAAGACTTTGAATTACCCATTATGCCAATCAAAAATAATACTATAATCCTTGTAAAAACAAATCATCGTCTAATTTCAGTGAATTTCAGTTCAGAACTAAAAGTAGAAAAACACAATTTGAAGAATAAATGATCATGTTTAAACCGTACAAGGAAAAAGGAGAAACACAGGAAAGAATAAAGCTTTGTCTTGATGAACTAATTGGACAAAGAAAAAAATAAATTAAATCAACAAACATACAGATATTCTTTGGAAACTAATCAATTAATAGCTTAAAACAAAAAAAACATAACTATAATCAAAGCAAGAAAAATAAATACATAATATGTGTAAATAAATACTGAGAGAGGGTTACTAAAATCAATCACTATGACGAAGGAAAACGAAGTAAAATTCACTTCATATGAAAAATCTGATTGAATAACATAGATACAAACAAATAAGAAACACAACGACTCTCAAAGCAACATGTGTGACTGTATAAATATATAAATAGATAAACATATAGAGAGAGAGAGAGGGAGAGAGATTAGCTGAGAAAAAATCAACGCAAGAACCATATGATCATATTACGTCGGCAACATAGAATGTTATTTCGTTGATTTTTTTTTTGTACCTAAAGCGGTGTTGCCAATCGATCTTCTAGAGGTTCGAAGACCTTTGTATTGAAAAATCTAGGGTTTCTAAGCTTTCCTCTGTTCCCTATCTTCTCGTTGATTATATATACGTAATACCTAATATAAATTATACACACATATGGTGTGTGTATATATATATATATCTATATGATGATGAAACGGAACTTCGAATGAGTTTGTGTGTGTATGTACATTACACACAAACAAATTCGTATATCTAAATTACGAATTTTATATGATATTTAAAATGAGAGTACAGTAGAATCCGCTTGGGTTCCTATTCCTACCTATTTGGATGGTTGGGGAACCTTAAGGTGCGAACGAGGAACATCAACGATGATGTAGCCCCCATGATAAGATCACCGTGTGACTTGGTACTTGTGTGTGATGTTGTAGGGTTACCGGGGTGGAACTTACCATTTGACATGTCATCATGATCATGTGAGAGGTACCGTCCGATTTGAATCATACCTTGTATTTGTATATCATGTGGTAGGGAACGTCTGATTGGAATCAATCCTTGCTCTTGATATTTTGGTGGGACGACGATATTTGGAACCGCTTTAGTGGCTTGGAACCATGTTCAAATGTGGATCTAATGCCTTTTCTTTTTTATTTTTCTTTTTTTAATTATTCCTTTTTTCTTTTTTTCAAACAATAGAATCATTTTGCCACATTTAAAATAACATACGAGTACGTGGAATCAATCACGGTCTTTTTTTTCTTTTTTTCTTCTATATCTAAAATGAACGCAAAATTTCATAAATCTATGGATTTGGACGTAATCCAACAACTTGTTGATCACTTTTTAATAATGCACTAACATTAAATTATATTTCATATTTTCACCGTCTTGCACTCCACAACAATTATTTAGCATCCTATTCTTTGACAAATTAGAAATTGCCACTTCTTTTTTTTTTCTATAGTCATTTTCAATTTTCTACACCAATTTTTTAATCGTTTTGACGTTAAGAGAAATGCATTGACATTGTTGGCTATATATAATATAAGTATATATTAAATTATTTGCATCGCATAAATTAAAAAAGAGCTTTGGATTTGGAAAATGATAGATGATTTTATCATTAATGAGACATGTCATAAATAACTATTCTTTTGCAAGCAAAAGAAAAATATCGTCACTCAAATTTTTTTTTTTGAGAGCGAATTTCTTTTTTCTTTAATCGTTCTTGGATTTCCTTTTAAAAGTTGTTGAATAGCAGTTTTAGAATTTTGATTAAACACTCATAAGTTGTCGGTGTGTATATATATATATATATATATATATATATATATATTGAAACTATGTATAATTAACCATGTATGGAGAGAATCGAAACATTTGTAAATAATTCTTATTGGTTGGTTTGAAACCATAACTCTGAAATTTAGAATTATGATTATGGATGGTTACTAAAAAGTAAAAATTAAGGCACCTATAAACCAAATTAGTCATAGAGAATTATTGTCTAATGCACATGTATTGGAGGACTGCTTTGTTAAGATTCAATGTTGATCTCCGTAATGATTAAGGTAGAGGAAAGTCACGAATCTTTATAATCATGGATGTTTATAATTTTACCATTTATGATACAATCTTAAATATGTTTTTTGGTATAGCAAAATAATGATAATAATCTTCCCAAACAAGGGAGACATTCAAGATCGCATGTTGGATCCAGCATCGGGTTGTTCAAGCTCAATGCATGTGGTGTTGGAACTTTATCAAACTTCTCCTCAACCCAATTAGAGAGAGAGAGAAAGAGACCAAATAAAGGAAACGTATTCACAACCGATCTCAATCATATATTCTTCGCAAAGAATGTTAATTGAACCAAATATAGCTAAGGGTTGATCCAATTTTTTAGTCAACTCTTTTTCTTTGTTGCTTAAAGCTTTCGCTTTTTTATTTTCATCCACCTATTATTCCTTTCCACCTGTATGCCTCGAAGAAACACTGTACATGTTTGATTCTGATTCATAAATCTTGCTAAATTACCCAAATAAATAAATAAATTGACCTTGGGTTTTGAAAACCTAAATCCTTAACTTATATTAATCCTATTCAGGGAGAAGGAAAATAAATAAATAAATAAACCCTCATATTAATCCTACAGCTTTGTACCAGAAGCAAGCAGGTATATTTTATCTGTACCTAAGAATAATTGAAATATTTAGCTGAGCTGTTTCAAAGTAGATCATTCATGCACATCTTAAGAGGGAAGAAAACAGTTTGATTGGTGCCCAACACACAAAAGTAACACATTGACGTATGAATTACACTGCTTTTACCACATTCTTGGTCCCCACCAAACGCACACGTATGAGTAAAACCAAGGAAAGTCGTGGAATTTGATTCGGACATTCCTCTTCAAAGAATTTCCGCCAAACAAAGGAAAGGAACTTACATAAAAAGAACGACCATCATTATAGATTCCAGTTGGTTGAATGATCTCAAAAATTTTAATTATCATTTTCATATAGGATTTTCCACCCTATTTACACTATTCTTGTTGCCTAACACTACTATAATACAATACAATGATACATTCATTGTGGGGTCTGGCCTGTATCTAACTAATCCAACATCAAGCCAATCAAAAATCTGAATGACCAACATGGCACGTACTTATCAAGACTTGATAGCTCATTGGGTTAAAAATATTATTATTTAATAAAAAGAAAAAATTATCCATAATACCTTTAAAACCCACCATGGCACATCACTAGGGAAACCCAAAAAAGAAGTATAAAAGAAGAAATATGAAGCAATACAAATATCTTAATAAGTTCTTTCAAGTTTTTTTTGCATGACATGGAGAAACAACAAAATAGTTTTAAATAAATCCACCAAATGTACTCTCTGAAAGAACAAACCTTAATATACAAGCCTAAACAGAATAAAGCTTGAAAGAACATATGAGAGCACCACAACAATATGAGAGCACCAAAACTACCCAGTACCTGAGAGGCTTAAGATCACATCAATATTCATAAATGCAAGTCATCGATTTTAAACACAATATCCTCCAATAGGAATATAAATGATGAAACAGTAAATGAAGAATAGATTCTACTCTCCGCCTTGCATGGGAACCATCATATGTTGAGCCTGCGACTGAATTTCAAGATGCAGACAATTTATATCAGATTCTAGAACAAGAGCATCATTATGATAATCTCATTCATCAATACCAACTAAATAGAAATACTAAATGTCAAAATCATAAATAGTGAGTAGATGATTTAAGATCACTGAATTTAACACTAGGAGGTACTCTCTCTCTAATTTTTTTTTTCCCCCTTTCTTTTAAACTTGACGACCATGGGTAGTATCAGGTCTCTTAGAACATCCCATATTCCCGTAGTCTACCACCAGACATATGCACAAAGTCATTCTGTGTCTGCACAGAGTTATTTTTTCTGACAAGTAAAAGTTAATTCCCCATTTCTGTCTGGATTTCAGAGAAGAATTGCAAAAAACTGCTAGTAATCCATTAATAGATTTTGCCTTTTTCCTATGGGAGAAGACAGGTCCATACTTAAACTAGTAACGCCAAGCATAATATTGGGAAAAAATTAGTTGGATGATTCACATTGTGTGTCAAAACAGTTGCATTTCTGGTGAAGGATTAAAAGCCTTACTAGACTCAACGGACCCCAAAAATGTTTACATCCATGGATTGATTAGTGAAAAGTGTATTATGCACGTTAACAACAAAAACTATATTTTTGTGCTGTCTTAAAAATATATCTAAACACATCCCCATACTGTATTAAAGCAGATGCAACTATGCAAGTATATTAGATAGCTTATATGTATATAAAGAGACAGACAGAGAATGAATGCTAGTATATCAGTTAAAATACATATAAATAACACACATATATACAAGGAACAAAGGGAGACAGAAATTACTTGAGAGCTCTCATAATTAATCATGCCTTGTGAAAATGAACCTTGATGAGCAAGCTGTACAAAACAATCCGGAATAAGGTAGGTGCAGTATGACTGGATATAAAATTCATCACAAACAGCTAAATGCATATATAGAAGAAGGCCCCAGAAAAAAGAGAAGACAAAATAAAAAGATTTGTTAGAAAATCTACAATATCATACTTGGGCATTTGGATCGGATTGAAAACCATCTTTCTTAGCAGAACCATCCCCTCCTCTGGCTGATCCTCTGGTGTCACCCTACCAATATACAGAATTTGAAATGCTAGAGGTAAACAATTTGCAGACACCACACCCAAAATTTCACCCAAAATTTCACGCTGGACTTCATGCCAAATTATGGACCGATATGCTAAGATACAAATAAAACTTAAAAAAGAGACTATCACATACCTCCATCTGCAACAGAGCGTCCAACCCATAACAGAATTAAAGAAAAAAAGAAAAGAAAAAATTTGTCAGATAAAAAAAAAAATCATACCCATAATTCGAATTAAAGTAACCTAACCAGAAAAATCACTAGATAACAATTACCTCTCTGTATCGATTCAAGTACACCTTGAGCGGATCAATATAATCTTCAAACCCTAGAGTCGCCATTGCCCACAGCAGATCATCCCCATTAATCGTCTTCCTCTTCTCTCTCAGGCACTTATCGCTTGCTCTTCACATTCAAACCCCATTACCCAAACGAATTTTATTATTAACAATCAATCAATAGAAAGAAGTACATATACAAATCCATAAGCATATTCATATATTTATAAAAGGAAATCTCATACTCGCTAGTGACGAAACTGATGAACTCCGAGACGCATTCCTGAACGGTCTCCTTCGCATCCTTCGCGATCTTCCCATTCGCGGGAATCCCCTTCTTCATGATCCGACTGATGTTGGCGATCGGCAAATACCTGTCCTGTTCGCGGACGTTCGCCCTGGGGCTGTGCTCGCCGCTCTCGTGACTACCTCCGCCGGGACTTGCCAGAGAATCGGCCATCGTCGCCAACGCCCTAGGTCAACAAAGCGAGCACTGCACCACAACCTTGTCAATGACAAGGTTGTCAATGGAGTCAGAAACCCTAGCTCTAACCCTAACTCCGCCATAACAAAACAGTAGATAGACATGAAAATAAATGTGTGTATAGAGAGAGAAGAGGCTTGTACCTACCGAAGGTGTGGTGTTTAATTTGTAATTTTGGCGCGAGGGAGGCTTTAAGATCGATGGGTATGGAGGAGGAGAAGTGAGAGATCGGACGCTGGAGAAGAGGGCAGAGAGGAGACGACTCAGATGTGAGCGCCGTTTTATCAACACCGTTCGTTTATTGCTCTTTTTTTGGTCCGTTCCGTATTCTTTATAGGCTATAGTCCCCCCCCCCTCTCTCTCCTCTGATGCGATTTTGACTATTTTTGTATTCTAAATAAAATATAATTTAAAGAAATTTTAATTTTTAGTCCATAATATATATATATTTTTTGTGAAAGTTTAAGCAAGAATTGTTTTACATGAAACTTACTTTCAAGTATTGTATACCCATTCAAAATATATTAAATTTGAATCCTAGGATGACAAGAGTCATTAAATTTTCAATCAAATGATGCAAAATAATGCTAAAACAAAGTGTGAATAAGTACCAAATGATGTAACATAATGCTAAAAGAAAGTGTTAATAAGGATTAGTTTGAGGGAATAATTACGTTTATCTCTTTCAAAGTTATGCTTAATTACAGGCATTACCCCCTAACGTTTTGAAATATCACTCACCTCCTTCCAAAGTGTCCGGTGTTGTTTTTCAGTAGAAATTATTCTTAAATAACTAAAATACCCTTTACTATTTTATTAATATAACATAATATAAAATTTATATGTGAAATGACTATATTGCCCAAAAATAAAGTTATATTAACATACACACCTCCCACCATGTATAGATACACAGTTATATACATACACAGACAACTACCACAGATGGTGGCGCCGCGGCCATAACTACCACCGTCATAATCATCACCATTAGCGGACTCTTCCTCTCCGACGACCAACAGGACACTACCATCCACAAGTGAAGCCAACAGACAACCCAAAATAAGGAGACTGAGGAAGAATAAAACTTGGTGGATCCAAGAAATTTAGAGACAGAGAGAGTGTTTCAACTGGGTCAAAATTGTGTAGGGCATATATCTTGGTCAGTCTTTTGTCAGCAACAAAGGTAGGAATACTACTCTGGGTCGAAGTAACTAGGCCATAGAAAAGGAGATGCTGCGGAACCTAAACATAAGCCACCACCAGAGGAGTCGTCTTGAAACCCGACTCACAATCTAACTTGCATCTAGCTCCCACTCCAAACTCAAGCGAAAGCCGCAACGGAAATGGAAAGTGAAAGCCAAAACGGAAACGAAACAATTCTTTGGGTATCTAGGTCAATTCTCCCCAATCTATATATAGATGTATACATGTGTAGGTAGGGCAGAGCAAAACATGAACATCCGCCGCCTCGATTTCGCTGACATGGATGTGATCGCCGTAATATTCACCGATGAAACTCCTGCTCGGATGCGCATCCGAATTCAGAAACTGTAGCGAGCTCGACCAGTGAAGCGGTTCGAGTCGCCGATCAACTGAGAGCTGCGAGACTTGTGAAACGACAGCGATTTAACAATGGTGAAGTAGTCGCTCTTCTGGTACTCGTCCAGTTCGTCTCGGTCGTCGTCGCAGGGATGATGTTTCCGCAGAAGATGATATTGTTGTCGATTAGGCTAATTGTGGAGTTCAGATCGGTAAAGAAATAGGTCTTGATCTATGGGGGTTTTTGGATTAGGGTGCAGCCGCGGACGGCGGAGCTGAGGAGGAGAGCTGCTTTGTCGGCGGTGAGGGGTTTCCATAAATTCCGGCGGCGAGATGCTATATTGATTCCAGCGGCAAGATGCTCCATCGATTCTATGTATATAGACCAATATATATATATATAGGATTGACCAGTTTATATATGTGTGTGTATATAAATATATATAAACCACTATATATGATGTACATAGAGCCGTGGTTGTAAATAGGTTTTAGGGTGAGATGTGTATAGAGATTGTTTTGAGGGTACATGAGTAATTTTCAATTCAAAAGTAAAGATGAAAATGTCTTTGTAATTATAATAAGGGTGAATGTGGTATTTCATGCTAAAAATGGCTGACATCATAGAAAAACGGCGTTGACCGTCACCGGAAGGAGTAAAGTGTAATATGAGAGCTAACTTTGAAAAAGGTTGGTGTAATTATTGAAACTTTAAAGATACTGTTTGTGATTAGGTCTAATCTCAAAGGAAGTAAATGTAATTATATAGTTTGAGTGATATCTAATTAGTCCGTTTAGATTAAAATGTATGTCTTATTTTACAAAATATGAACACAAATACGATAAGAATATTATAATATGACAAATTCTTGAAAATATAGAATACTAGTATGCAAAAGTATGACAATATATAAACAATATATATATATATATATATATTTATTTATTTATAAAATGAAAAACAAAATACATATATTCATACACAATTTTAAATAATAATTATTTATGTTATATATTGTTTTTAACACATATGATGTGAATATATCTTACCTGAGAAAAAAAGTTAGAGTCCTGCTATTCAAGCCGATTTCAATTTGACCCCACCCATGCACTCTCTTTTTTCTGGCCCAAGCAAAAAAGGCATTTTGGTTTCCCTAATCATATTGTTCCGTTATATAAACGAGTAATTGCTAAAGGAAAAAAAAAAATAATAATAATAATAAATTTACACAATTTCAATGAATGAGTCCCGCCAACTCTTTCCAGTATTTTAAAAAGAATAGAATATCACTTCTAAAATGCTCATCAAAAACATAAATTGCCTCATCAATTAGTAACAAATAACAAAAAACCGATAACCACATTTTTTTTTCCTAATAAACAGCACACACCCAAAAGGGCACATTATGTGCCTAGACTAACAGGTGGAGAGGATTAAATAGAAAGAAATGTGAATGACTGGAATACTAGCTTTGAATGAGAGCAATGCACCACTGAACATTTCAAACATTGCTATGAATCAATTGGCAAAATGTGTCATTCATTTGCCCACAATTACACGGAAGAGCCAAAGTTGATTAACAGTGTGTAATGAGACATTGCTAGAGACTTGAACCCAAAGACCATAAGCTAAATGGATCAAAGAATACACAATGCTGAACAATCATGTAAATCCTAGACTAAAAGAACTGCCGAGCCGTTGGGTGCTCACTTGCATCTATATTCATAGGACTTGCAATGTTCTGTGAAGAAAGCATAGAATGCCTGGATATGTCATCTGAGCTACCTTCTCTCACCGCCTCTGCTCCTCTTTCAATTATGATTGCAACTTCGATCTCTTTGATAACTTCTGAAATTGATGGCCTCATATGACCGTGTGGATGGACACACATCAAAGCTTTCTTAGCTATCTTCCACATTGTTAGATCGTTGTATTCTAAACATAGACACGGATCAACAATTCCTTGAATGTCCCCACTCTCAATGTGTAATTTTGCCTGGGATACAATCATTATTTAAAAGTTGATAACAATTAATCAAAATTACATGAGAAATGAAAAGTACTGCCCGGGGAAGAGGGAAGAGGGAGCATGAGAATTTTTTAAAAAACAACGGACAGTGTAGACTCCTCTTTCCTAATGTTTTACCCATCAGTTTGATTATTAGGGTTCCTTCTTATATAAAGACACAGAAAAAAAAAAAAAAAAGAAAAGCATGATGTATGACAGTGATAATCTGAACCTCAACAACATAAACACCTGGAAATTAATATTTTGAACTGAGAAAGAATTCCATAAAATGATATATATACATATATATATATATATAAACATCAAAAATCATGTTTTAATTAGCTGAAGGATGGACCACAGTAAAGAAATTGGTGGTGAATGACTTGTTCAAAATTTAAGATATATATTTGGCCCTCAAATTTGAAAAGTTCCTCCGTGGTAGGAAGTAGGCTTACCCATTGGACTATGTTGCGGCAGTTGACACCAAAACTTTCATTAGATATTGCTTCGTGGCCAGATATTAGCTCAAGAAGAATAACACCAAAACCATAAACGTCACTCTTCTCGGTCAACTGCTGGGAGATATAGTACCTGCATATCATGAGAAAAAAGAAAAAAAAAAAAAAACTTGCAATGCGATACAGAAAACAAGGAAAATAAATCAAAGATAAATCGGAGAAGATCCCATACTGCAGTCATCTGAATGCACACTTTTTAAGTCAGCACTAAATTAATAAATGCTGGCAAAAGCTCACATCCAAATTGATTAGAAATTACACTACATAATTAACCCTAGGTTCTCATTGTTTTTACACAAGCTTGTTCTTTTTGTGGAAACGGGACATGGAGCGAAAAATGGCTAGAAGTGTGCTTTCATAATTTATGAGAAACAAATACTTTTACTTCAATTAATTACCATTGAGAATAAACCATTAGAAACAGTGGACCCATGAATGCCTCATTTCGAAGGAGAATGGAAACAAATGGACTCATTTTAACACAACTAGACGCAATGAACTTACTGCTGCCATTTTCAAAAAGGCAACTAGACACAATGAACTTACTCCTGCCATTTTCAAAAAGGGAGGTGCAGGGTTCAACTCCTGGTGGAGACACTGGTGTTTTTTAGGTACATAATATATATATATTTATATATATATATATATATACTTACAAAAAAATATATAATATATTACACCAGGGAATGATCCAATATTTTGAGTGACATTCAGTGAAAAGATTCCAGTAAAAAGTTTCTAAATTGCTAATCAGACTATAGATCTACGAAGTCCTATTGGCCTATCAGAGCGCAGCACATTGATTAAAGGAGTTATTAAAACATTATATTGACATTTAAGACTTCAGTAAAAGTACCTAATTGCTTTAGTTTCACTAGAAATTCCATTCACAAAAGGGGTCAGACAGCCTGGACAACCACATGGTACCACATCCAGAATCCACATAATACAGAGTAACTCTGTTTCCAGCACGTATGACCAGGGATCTCAAAGAACTAACCGTGTAGTGCAAGTACACATCATTAGCTGGGACTTAACCATGTATATTAAAGTCTGAGACTTCATAATTCCAAACAAAAGTCCAACGGAGTAGTCATTTTATCAAACTCATTATGGACTAAAATAGAATAATTATTTGGTAGAGCACGAGTCATTGTTGTATATTTACTTAAAATTAGAGAAATTATGCATGGGAGTAGTTGTTGAGTGCCTTTCTCTTTGAAGCGAAAATATACTGTAAGAAGTGCCAAAGAGGCGCAATCCATGTAACACATAACACATACAAACATATCTATCTTAAGTACAGAAAGAAAAAAAAATCCAAAACATCACTAAAATAAAAAAAATGACCCAAAGGGAGAATTCAATTTCCCTATTACCCAACTGAAAAGGTTACCAAGAAGAATTGCCTTGTGAATTGTCTCCCCACCACCACTTCAATTGGTGGCCAATTCCTCTCTCCGCAAATATACCACATCAAGCAAAAGAGGCATGGCATTTGACAACTTTACCTTTTCTCAACTCTAGTACCTCTCCTACTATTATAAAGGTCTACCACTGATTTGGGAAACACCCATGCCCTTGCCAGAAAATGGACCATACATCTGCAGTTGCCTTTAAAATGAATAACATTAGAGTCCACCAAGTCCCTGCCTCAATACACATAAAGCATTGACTGGGAAGAATTATTCCTCCTAGCTAGATTACTTGCTGTGAGGAATTTCCATGAGCCACCAACCACTCAAAAACTCCGACCACAGAACATAATTTAGAAGATCTCATATACCCTTCCAAAGAAGAAGAACTCGGAAGTGACACTCAACGCATCCATACAAGAATTAGAGAGCTCAATCACTGCCCCAAGCTATCAATCATGAACCTACCTCTTGAACCATCCCACTGTCAGTATTTCTACGGTAGCAAAACACAGTTGCTACCTCATCCATCTTATATAAATTACAATATCATCCCCTAAAGCAACATCACTGCACCATCGAACCCCAATGGGTTGACTCGGGTGGGTAAGAACTTGGCTCTTGTGCCTCAGGAAACATCAGGTCTAAGGTTCAAATCCCCTTGGGTGAAAACAATTCCTTGAGGGGGGGTGTGTGAGTACCAACTAGAGGGAAAAAAAAAAAAAAAACCATCACTGCACCATCTATTATGTCAAAATCACACCAAATTACCTATTCCAGTAAGAGGCATTCAGTTTTGAATAAATCATCTCACCAAAGTGATTGAATTCTCTCTCATCTCATCACTGACAGTGGAATGGTGATAATGGACATAGAGTTGGGTGCGATCATCATACCAGCACTAATGCACCATATCCCATCAGAACTTTGCATCTAAGCGTGCTTGGGTGAGAGTAGTACTAGGACGGATGACCCCTGGGAAGTTCTCATGTTACCCCCCTTTTGTCCAGTTTTTTAATTATCAAATTAAAAAAGATAATGGACATAGAGTATAAAAGGACCATTGACAAATCAAAGTTAACCTACCACCAGTCTTTCAAATGCTTCCACAACAAAGTCCAACACAACTTCACCTTTCAAGTACAAAGTCAACTTAAGGTGTTAGAACATGATGCAAGTCATGATAGAATCCACTGGCTCCAAAAGCCCAAGTCTCAAGACAGGAAAACAATCTTAACAGAACTTCGACACAACAATCCTGAAACAATCATGTCATGATGAATGACCTGTCCCTAATTGAATTGTAGTCTTTATAAGCATAGTTTCTTATCACATTTTTGGTAATGGATACTTATAAAAAAAAATTATTTTTGGTAATGGATATTAGCGTGCAAAATCTCGTGATTTCTAACTCAAATGAGAGTTACAGGTATAGACCATGTGTTCCTGGTACACTTTTATCCAACAAACCTACAGAACTGTCCGTAGAAGTAGCTAGAACAAAAAGAAGGTCCACAACAATACTGGTCTCACCAAAGATTCACTAAAAAATAATATCAGCATCAGGAACAAACAAAATTTTAAATTTTATTGCAACATGCTCTTTAGATCAATCACAACCAGAAAACGACGAATATTGTAAATGTATAAAGAAGGGCCTTACTCAGGATCCAGATACCCAACAGTGCCTCGAACTATGCTTGACACATGGGAGGCTCCATCTACTGCAAGTTTTGAGAGTCCAAAATCTGAAACCTTTGCTCTCAAGTTTTTGTCAAGTACTATATTGCTGGTCTTTAAATCTCCATGGATGATGGATGGAACACAGCCTGTATGAAGGTATTCAATCCCTGAAACAAAATTGAGAGCAAAAGAATCCAACTAAATCCTCTGAAGTAAGAATTTTTTTTTCTTATCGGATCCCTCCACCCACACACCCAGAGAGGGAGGAGAAAGGGGAAAAAAAAAAGAAAAAAAAAATCATCGGTAGGCTTACAAACCTTTTGCAGCATCTTCAGCAATCTCAAGGCGCTTGATCCAATTGATACTTCGCTCACGAGTTAAGGGTCCTACCAAAATTTATATAATTGTTAGCAAAGACCAAACTGAATTCCTTTCAGCTCAGAAAAGGAGAAAAAAGGGAGAACAGCTTACCATAAAGATGTTCCTTGAGGGTTCCATTATGCATGAACTCATAAACAAGGATACTTTTTCCTTCTTCTTGACAAAACCCAAGAAATTGTACCAGGTTTCTGTGATGAATCCTTGAAAGAAGACTCACCTAGGTGAAATATAAGTATATCTCAGTTCAGAAGGACTAGCTTTCCCAAATGTAAGTACAAGAAATTCCATCTGACACAGCAGTAAACTTAATCACATTGTTAAGAAAAGTGACATATTTATAATACTATGAAGTAGAAGGTTTACACTTGCTTGCTTTGATAATATTACTTCTTTCAGAAAACGGGGCCATAGATTTTAAAGCCAGAACAGTGTTTCCACATGAACTCCAACATAGAGTGGGTTAACAAGTTTCACCCAAGATCCACTACGCAAATTTTTATCGTTTGGGAAAATCACACAAATTAATGATGATTAACCAATGAGTTGGGAATGAGTGATCAGGTCTAACATATTCCCCCACGCAGAACTGTAAAACCTAGAACCCCAGACAAGTGCAGCTCAAGCCAACGAACAAATTTTAGTCGAACTAAAAATACATTCACCACTCCCTGATTAACCCAGGTTAGATCTATATAACAAAGCACATGCCATCATATATGCAACCATGCAAATGTGCAAGTGCACAAGGAGGTGTGTGTGTGTGTGAGAGAGAGAGAGAAGGGAAAAAATCATGGTATTTTACCAAATCATTTCCACTCTTCAGTTCTGAATTCATTCTAGGCGGTGACACTGTTTAGATAACTCCAGAAGTTTGAGAAATATACACACTCATTCAGCTTCCAAATACTTATTTTTCTTAGTGAGACTTCCCCCCAAGAGGATTAACATAGGCATAGGGATTATGCAGTGATGTGTTTAGCCCCCATACGACCACCCCAAGAGTATGAAATGCAGGTTGGCTAGTTTACCCTCTTTCCAATTGTAAGAGTCTATGAGAAGGTTGGCAGAACACCCTACAATAACTGCAATGACCAGCCCAAATGGAACTTTTCTTATTTATTCTAAATAGTTAGGTAACAACATAGGTGGAATTTAACCAAACATTGAACCCTATAGTGATGCCACGTGCATGTTTCTTCCTGCAAATTGTGTTGTGCCTCTTCTTGAACATTCAAAATAATTTCCTGTTTGTAGTTTTGGTACCGTAATTTCTGGGTTACTTAATGCTTCAACAGTTGGGAATGATACTTTGATATGAATGGATTTCCTTTTGTTTTCCTCCAGTTTTATAGTCATTTAAAACCAGTCCCATGCTCTATTTTATGTTTCAATTTTATCATTAAGATAATCTGGAATCATCAATAGTTGTACGAAAAATATTAACGCAGACAATTATGACCCCTCGAAAAACATGGAGAAAAATTTGCATCTACCAAAAGAGGTAACAAGTAAATTTACCTCATTCAAAAATTCCTGCTTCCCCTGGAAGGAATTACTGGTGAGAACTTTGACCACTATCTCCTTTCCATCTTTTAATTTTCCATAGTATACAACTCCAAAGCCTCCTGAGCCGACTTTTTTCTCAAAATTACTTGTAGCATCTTCAATTTCAGATACTGTGAAGCAATGTGCAGCTTCATTGGCAGCATCACCCAGGGAAGAAACTAACCTTTGAGCAGAAACAGCATGCCCAAGCTTGTCTGTAACAAAGCAAAACAAAATCCATGTCAAGCCAACCAAGTTACGAAAAGGACATGACAACAAAGAAATACTTTTTTATATATAAGATTTATAATATGGTTGACAAGACAAAAAAGGTCTCAGATCTACACGTGTCAAAAAAAGGCCTTTCAGCATAATGCACAAACCATCGGATTCGCGTTGACAGTCTGCCTGCCTTTTTTGTTCTTCTCGGCATGTTGATGTCTCACCTTGCAAAATCTGATGCTTGGGAAAGAATTCAGATCCCACCACTGAACCAGAATTTTGACTATAAGGGCCTTGTGGTCCAAAAGGCCCTTGTGGTGTGCCTGGTGGCTGACGGGAAAGACTGGGGGGAATGTATTCCACAGTCCAAGGGTTAACAAATTTTTCATTCCGATCTGAGTGATCCCATTGCACCTGAACGTCATAAATTACTATAAGTACAATACAACAACCTAATGTGTACAATAAAACAAAAACAATTAAGCTTGAATTGATATACCTTCAAATGATTCCAAGGATCCTCACGGCAAACTGAGGTCACTGTACCATGAAACCAATTTATACCTGCTGCATCCTCCATTTCAAATGCCTTCCTAAACAGCATTCCTGCCTGCCAAGAAAATTTCAATGCCGGGAAAACATCCGACACTCCCACACAAAACTGGGGACCCACAGCTCGTGGGTAATATGTAACCTCTAACCCTAAGGGAACCCTACTCTCTGCAATTGAAACCTCTGGGGTAATGCTGCTGGTTTTTTTGACAATTCCGACTAAGATTCTATAATTTCTATCAGTTTCATCCCTCATAAAAACTATAGAATCTCCAATCTTGGGGTTTTTTTCCTTTACGAATTTTCTCCATTCTCCCCTTAGAGTATCCTGCCTTTGTGATGCCTTAAACATATGTTGAAAGTCCCATCTTTTACCGTGTATATCATTAGCAGGTATTATCTGCTCTTCGAAAGAATCCAACGGTGGAAAAATTGTGTTTACACAATGTTTTAAAACAGCAAAGCTCTTATTTACGTCAGACTTCGTTAAAATTTTGAAGGATACAGGGTTTCCAACAAAATGACACCTACGAGTGTTTGAATTCCCCTGAAGATGTGAAGGATCCACATTACATGCAACCAGTGTAATTTTTCCAAAAGGCTCATTAGTGACTGGATCTGCAAGTAAAGCAGTCTCAGAAACTCGGTAAGTACTATACATCCCTAGAGTATGGTCAGCATCTAGAAACTCAGCCCCAATGTGCTGAGCGTGCCCCTTAGGGAAGTAGCAGACAATTTCCCCCGGCCATGGCATCTGCGCCATACTTCCAGAGGATGCAAACCACAACTGATCCCGGGGATTCACTATGAAGGGATTCATTATGCAGGCAAACAATCTGAAAAAATATCAAAGTCAGATGCCTTAAGATGCTACATATAAAGCAAAGAAAAAGGAAAAAAAAAAGTGAACACCAATATGAATATACAAGCTAGGTAAAAAATATGCACAAATGATCGAATCGAAAATGCAGATGAAACGGGAGTTTTGTTCTGCGGCTATGAGGCGAGGCTAATATCATATGAAAGGGAACTGTAAACTTTAATATGAGAAATATTTATGTAAACATGGAAAACCTACCTATTACATATTCTTTTCATAAATAAATTTCACAAATGATCGGACAAACAATATAAAAAAAATATGCACAAATAGCGGAATAAAAAATGCAGATCAAACAGGGGGTTTTGTCTCTGATATCATAGGATTATTACAACTACGAAACATGGAAAACCTACCTATTACATATTCATTTCATAAATAAATTTCACAAATGATCGGACAAACTAGATAAAAAATATGCACAAAATTATCGGAATAAAAAATGCAGATTAAACAGGGGTTTTTGTCTTATTACAACTACAATACCGATGCACAAAATAAAGAAAACGGAACTGGAAACCCTAGGTTACAGATCTAATATGAGAATTACTTACAAAACTCGCGTCGCGTCGCTTGGCTTCAGTTTTTTCTAGGGCTTCTATTCGCTCCAGCTTCTACTCGCTTCAGCTTCTATTCTAACGGGTGGGATTGCGTGTTATATGGGACGATAGTTGGCGTGGGATTGCGTGTTATAAGATAGTTGGCGGGCTTCGCTTAAATTTGAAATTGTGCAAAACTATTGGAAACTGCCCGTTCTATTTCTTCGTAAATTGCACTCACACCCCTGGGGTTTGGGTCAATGCCACTCAGCGGATAGTTAACGGATTAGTTTACATTGACACACTATGAGATTTCAAAAGTCATATTTACCCATGAACCTGCTAATTGACAAAAATAACCCTAACCCTAACACCCACGACTGCCACACACATACACCGCCACAACGCAACCACCGCACATCGCCGCCATATCAAACACACCATACACCCCCTACACAACGCCACCACATCAAGCACGTCGTTTTTGGGTCAATAAAGACACTGCCGCAACCACACACCACCGCCACATTAAGCATGCCATACACCACCCAATCGATCACACCCACACCCACACCCACACCACCACTACCACTGTCATACCCACACACACCACTAATGGCGAGCTCGAATCAATGAGCACTGGAGCCATCCCGTGCAGCACCATTACCGAGTTCTTCGACTCAATTGTCCCAATCTGTGACCGAGTTATCAATTTTTGAGCCTTGACTCGTACGGACTCCATCTTCGACGGCGACCAAATAATGATATCGTCGTGTAGGGATTTTGAGAGAGAGCGAGTCGGAGAAGGTTGGTGTAATGACCCGGTCATTTTTTTTCTCTTCCTTTTTCTCAGATTTTCACGGATATTTTTTTTTCCCGTTGATCTTTTCTTTTCTAAGTTCGATTTCTCATCACTTAGTGTCGTCTCGATTACTCTGGAATGATTTCCGAAACTCTTTTCCTTAGATTGACAACTTCATTTGAGGGTTGCGTCTAGGGATGGCAAATTCCCCATCCCCGCCCCGTTTATAGCAGGGATGAGGATCTTTTTAGCTAAATGGGGATGGGGATGGGGCCAATTGATGAATCCCCGCCGGGGGAGGGGATGGGATAAACCCACCCCACCCCACCCCGATTAAGTGTGAAGTTACTAATATACCCTTACAGATAATAATTTATTACTACATTAGATTTATTATATATATAGAAATAAGAAAAAATATAAATATGTTTTTTTTAATAAAAAAAAAAAATTATGAGGCCGGGGCCGGGAGCGGGGCGGGGAGGGGATGGGGATAAGGTGGCGGGGGCGGGGATGGGCAATGAAAAATGTAGCGGGGATAGGGATGGGGAATGGAATCCCCGCCCCACCCCGCCCCGTTGTCATCCCTAGCCGCGTCAAATCCACATTTTCATTTTTCGACACTAGTCACTTTTCGTTTTTTTTCATATTTCGTCTTTTTCTCGTTTATCGTTTTTCTTTGCATAACTGTAATATCCCTAATTTTAAAAAGGATAGTCTCAGCATTTGAATTATTGTTTTATTGCTTATTTGTTTATTTGCCTGTTTATTTTAATTAATTGAATTATTTGTTTTAATTGTTTATTTAATTGTGACTTGGTTATTTTAATTAATTGAATACTTGTTTTATTTATTTGAATTATTTGTTTAAATTGTTTATTTAATTGAGTATTGGTTTAATTATTTTCTTTCATTAATATATGCTTAGGTGAACTTAATTGGTTTAAAATGAGTAAACTATAATTAGGGTTTTTATATTCTTTTAGGTAGTCACGTATTGAGTAGCCGACTTGGATTGTAAAGTTGATTATTTTTTTTCCCTTCTCGGATCATAACTAGAATTAGGGTTATGTTTTCCTAAGCCTATAAATACAACATTACGTCGGCTTAGGGTTTTAAAATAAACACAAATTATATTCACGTACCAGAGATATAGAGAGAAACAGAGAGAGATTGAGAGAAAAACGGAGAGTTTACAGTCAGGGTTTCAGCTGTGGATTAAAGGACGGACCTAGGAGGAGGGAAGGTTGAGCAAAATTTCTCCAAAAAGCAAAAGTACCCCTCCGAAACGTAGCTATTATAGCTCGCCGGCGTTGACTGGCTTCGATCGGCGACCAAACTCGATAACGTCCCGCCCGACCCAACAACCGTATAATACACGTGTCAAAAATGCCCAATCACAGGGCAAGTACCTGAAGACCTTCTTCATCGCCGTCAACCTCCAAATCCTCGGCCCATTGGTTAGCGTTGAACAACAGTGGTGGGTAATTGAGAGAATCGGAGCAGTTGTACTCCTCTGACTCTGGGTGCCGCCATGACAGTGGTGGCGTATTATAGTAATCCGATTTGCCTCCTGCATGAGAGCTGTGGTAGAGAGTTTGATATTTTATAATTTAAATTAATAAAATATTAAAGGACAATCTTGACTTTTTATAATTTTTAAGGGCTTATTTGGATCCAATTTTTGACAAGAGGGTGTCATTGTCCAAATATAGGCCAACTTGTACATGGTTGTTCGAATGCCAAACCTCAGGAGTTGTTGTAGTACTTTACCCTATATAAGAATATATGTATATATATTGTTGGGGATATTTTAATAAAAATATAAATAAATTATATTATGGTTTAATGGGGTTTTATTCTACTAATTAAATTATACTTATGTTGTATATTATTTCAATTATAATTTCTATCATTATTATATCTTAGCGGTTACATATTTTACCCTATATATAATAAAGCATTTATAGGATGACTCTAAATATGTGGTAAAAACATAGAGTTACACTTTTGTATGGTTGTGAGCCTATTCTAACTTTTCATTGAGAGTTATTTGAATATTGAGTTTATGAACAATAAGACATATATATGCTTTGACATAATTTTTCTGTGGTCGTGCACATGGAGGAGACACCACTGCGAGTTGATTGGGTTATATCGTGGAGTTGACTAGTTTCGCCAATACCCGTACAAAGGGGAAGACTATTAACTTTAGGTCAATGTATTTACACATGCCTCAATAATCAAATCAGCTATTTCTTAATTTCTATTTTATCTATTGATTAATTCTTGTTATGTATTCCATTACTTGTATTTTATCTATTCTTAATTTTATTATTATAGTAATTATATATTGCTGATTTTTTATATTATTACTCATCGTTATACTCATATTTGTTCAATTGATAAATTATTCAATTTAATGAAAGAATTATTATTTGATTATTCACTATTGTTATTCATTGTCCTTTACATTATTTTACGAAATATGTGAATTATCCACTACATCTATATTCACTGCCATCACCGGTGCCATGATGATTTATTGAAATCTATAAGGAGGCTTGACACCAGACTGATCTGGTAGTGGTATGTAATTGGCGCACCTGGAATGGATTTTATTTTATTTTTTTATTTATTTTGTGTGTGTACAGTGTACACACATACACGCGTGCGCGGATATATATACAAATGCACTCTAACGGTGTTGCGCGCACGCATCAGTATTCTTCATTGTTTTCCTTTTGTGATGGCATTTGGGTGTATGGGGTAACAAATTGGCAAGCCGTTTAACATACATTAATGCCTCTGCATTTGTAATATGTACATGTAATATATATGTATATATATTTATATATGTTATACCCATTATATATACATAATGATGCTTGTACAAAATCTTCGCATTTGTTTCGGAAGAGTGTTTTGATGAGAAAAAAGATTTAAAGGTATTTTAGGATTTTTATAAAAAAGAAGTCAAAATTGATGGTTTAGGGGACAATTTGCTCCAAATTTAAAAATATAAGAATTTATATGGAGTTATTAACTCGCATATGGGTGTTTCTTACACATTTTTTATATGATGAGGTTTTTTTTTTTTTTTGTGGGGCACTTGACCCCATAAAAAAACTGATAAGATATTTTTGGGATTGCTTTTCCATTCCTTAAAAACGTTTTAAAAATTACGTTGAGATATGTTAAAAGTTATCAAATTTAGCTCAGTAAAGCTTTTGAATGAAGTTAAAATTTGGTGCTTTTAAAAGTGTAAGTATTTGTTGAATATGTTAAATAACTCTTTTTATTAGACAATTTGCCTTAATATTTTTATTTTTATTTTTAAAGACAATTACACTCATTTCTCAGCAAAGTTGTTATTATTAAATATGATAATATTAAAGGATATTATTATAAAATTAACAATAGAAATATTTTTTAAAAAATATTATTACCAAGAATAAATTTATTTGTAAATAGTATTTATTATAATATTTCACCAAACACCTAACATATTTTTTACTTATTACAAATTTTTGACTTAGTTAAACCAATTTGATGCTGGAAATAAAGAGGAAGTTAAAAACTCTCTACATTATCATAAGTTAAATTAGATAGATGTTACTATGTGGCACATTAATGACATCTAGGGCTTTATATAAATTATAGAAGTGACGTCGTTTTAAGGTAATAGAAAGAAGCAGCATCTAACATGTCTTAGTTTCACGGATTGAGTACAGATTTATTTTTAATCTTTACACAAAATCAAACACTCAGAGTTTGAATTTACATTGTCATTCGCAGCCAAATTTATTTTCTCAATGCACCCCGTCTTTCTAGATATAAATAGAATCAGAATTGTTGAATTTTTTTCTCTCTCGGCAAACAAATATACCATATATACATATACTGAGACGCCAGATGGATAGATTTGAGAATCTCTCATAAAAACAATGGTCACCAATGCTTATTTCTATTGTATCGATATGGCTCTTGTCTTGTTGTGTAGCGTTTGTGATATCTTTTACTTCTTCATGATACCAGAGTCCTATCCTAAAAAGAAGGTATCCATACATTAATTCTCACATACCCTAAATTTGAAAATTATAATTTTTATAGCTATTGGTCCAACACTAACCTAGTTCATTAAATCATACATGCAAAATTCAAACTGCCCTCTTGGTTCAGCATTTTGGACCTTTTGAGTTTTGACGCCAAAAATGTTTGCCAGCTTTGATGATACAACATGCTAAGTAAGGTGCAGAACCAGAAGCATCAAAAATAATATCTGACAAATCGTGATCCCATGACATCATTCTGTGATCAAATAATACACAAGAAGACTAGAAGATATTATTCACCCGTAAAGACACAAAAAACCGTCAGGTTAAAATATTACCGGCAGTTGAATCACCAGCGGTTTTTTAAAACCGCCAGTAAATATTGGTTTTAACCACCACCCCAAATATTTATATTTGGGGGCACCATTCATTTGTCAAATATTAGTACAATAACGGACTAAAAGGGAAAATTTGATCAAAGCACTGCTGGTGAATCTGATCCGCTCACATGAGACGAGCTTTTCTTCACTTTCTTTGCTGCTGATTTAGCCGCAACTTTGCTCTGGGATTTTTCACAATAGCCTCTTTTACCTTGTGTCCTGTTTCAACACCTTCAGAACCATTGCTTCCCTAAAACTGAAAAACTTGCACATTTTCACTTACCCATATACATTAAAATTCCAACATATATATATATATATATATATAGATCTTTCAAGTCCTATTTGAGCAGTGTTTATTGCAGCAGCCAAAAAAAAAAAAAAAAAATCCCTGAACTAAATTGCTTAAGTATTTGAGTGGTGTTTATTACTAAATATTTGCAAAATTGTATTCCACAAGGAAGTTCAGACTCAGGTGAGCTTTACTCCGATGGTCAAAATTACCTATATTTCAAGACTCAAATGTAGCTTTATGTTCCCATATAAACCATTTAAATCCTATATGATTTCTTAACATTCCAAACTTAACTGCGAAAATATTCGATAGTTACCATCTCAATCCATTCAAATAAAAATTTAGATTCAGCTTCAATTATGAACTGTAAAATTGAACATTGTAAATGGAAACAAAGGCAATTCTCTTTAAGTTTGAAACATCCTCAACAATGATATGGAGAAGGGAAAATTTTGAGACTACTACTCTTTTTCAAGTGAATGAAAATAGGGCCGATGTCTTGTTGGACAATAAGTAAACAAACAACATTACTTTTATCCACCTACCTGAAATTGATTTATAAATCAGATTTTAGACAAAGATTAACCGGAATATACATATGCTCAAAGTGGACATGAAAAAGGCTGTCTATAGGTGAAATGGCAATAAGAATATTAGTGGAAACATTGAAAAGCAAGGTAAGAATGTGATGAGAATGGAAGGAAGGAGAGAGATGCATTGGAAGAGATCAAGATGATGCTCACCAGAACGACTTTCTCTGTCATTTTTTTCTTTTTCTTTTCCCTCTTTTGCTTCGATGGAAACTAAATTTTTAAGAAAGACATTTAATTAGTAAGATAATAGTGCAATAACATAATAATAATGTACTAAACATGCTAGTAATATGCATAACCATTTTGGTGATTCTTAATGTTGATGAATTGCCTTGAGCGGACCAAGTTTGCCAAGAGTTACTGGGAGCACTAGAAGAAGCAGCAATCTCTAATGAAGAGTACAAATTAGACCATGTTTTCCTCCTTCAGCAGTTCTAAAGATTTAGGACCCTTTGCACCTTATATGTAGCAGGGAATTTGAGAAGAAATGTGTAACGACCCAAACCGGGGGTCCGAATCGCTAACCGGGTCCTTAACCAAACCCAATGACACACTAGGAATAAAATGGTCATTTTACAATATGAGAGGATAACCTGCCTTTAAACTAGTCAAATGAAGTTTAAAACAATCATTCTAATCGTTCCATGATGTTCGAAGAGGTTCTACGGTCATTGGTTATAACTTCCCAAAAGCGCCCTTACTCGGTTCAAGGGAAATTCCTATTCTACTAAAACAACCATAACTCTCAACATAAATGGAAATTGAAGATGGGGTTGGTCTTATTAGAAAACTAACTTAAAATTCTTGAAAATGGACTCAAGAATGACCTAATTTGGGTTCAGAACGAAGAAGATATGACCGCCCGAAATCAAGTGATCCAAGCTGTCAAACTGCGAAAGCCAAAAGGTGCACTGGGAGACTTGAACCAGTTCAAGGACCCTGAACCGGTTCAAGATGGGCAATGTGCCCAACTATGAACCAAATGCACCCCTGAACCGGTTCAATGGGGCTGAACCGGTTCAAGATGATAAGAACCCTGAAAAATGCCCCAGAAAGCTTAAAATTGTGAACTTGTGCATATATGCGCCCCTTTGGCCCCTTGGTGACCTTATTAAAGTTTAAACTTGTCCCAAATCTTTCATTTGATGGTGAAATTAATACAACTAGGTAACATTACATTCAAATAAAACCATACATGAGTTCATTACATCATTAAAGTTAAACAAGTCCGTCACACATCAAAATATGGTCTTAAGGCCTTACATGGATATTGAAATCATAATGAGACCACAAAATACAGGAGGATGGTCTCAAGACCATTTCCAACCATGAACTAGATACCAAAATGTCACCTATTACAATTTACAACAAAAGGGTAATATATATATCAAGAACAAAAGAGTCCAAGTCCGTCAACCCGACTAAACTTATGGTGGATTGTGGTCCGCCACTTCCTTTTCGTATCCTGAAAAATATTAATAATAAAGGGATGAGCCAACCGCTCTGTAGGAAGTGCCTAAGACACACATCTTGTGACTCCGTGAATCCAACAAGGAATAGGAAAAAAAAAAAAAAAATCGGATCATGCCATTTTCGGGAAAAATATAACCACACTATCAACAACAATAATCCAAGTCATAAACGAACTATGCCATGCTATGGAATGCAATGTCGCTCCCTATTTCCAAAACCTTTTTCTGTCATCATTTCCAAACCGTTAGTGTAACCCGTCCCATGGTAACTCCATGGCGGCACAAGAGCGTTGGCTAACTGTCCCTGACCCATGGCAACTCCATGGCGTCATTTGGGGCCCAAGTAACTCAACCACGCTAGGGCAGTCTCCTTAGTTCTCTCTAGGTTGCACTAACGCCACAGACCTTAGACAACTCCTAGGCGACTGGATTTTCGCAAACCTCCTGTCAAAACTTTTTCCCAAAACCGTTTTCTTTTCTTTTCGAATCAATTTTCCCTTTTCCTTCCCAATGCCATGCATGAATGACTCATCATGTCCAATGCTATGAAATCCACACATTGTAACCCTCAATTATGTAGCATATTTTGGATAATGATCAACATAATAACTTTTCAAGTATTCAACACATCATTCATGATATTTAAACAAGTGAAGTGCGGATTAACGTCATGGAAGCATATATCACTACAACATAACAAGTAACACAAAGCTTCACACATTTTCATACAAACATAGAAATCATGTTTCAAGAAGTTGTCACAAATTAAGCATGCTATATACCAAGTATTGAGAAGTAATTCACAAAAAATCAAATAGAGTGGGTCTTAGAAACCCCTACCTCAAAAGGATGCAAAAAGTTCCAATTCCAAGCCCTAATTTCGGAAATCCCAAGAACACCAAATCAAAAATTGGCTCCGATCAACTTGTAGTCCTCGTCGAGCTCTTTAACTTTGCCTTCAACGGCGAAGTCCAATTCAAGAAGGAAAAAGGTGAAAATTGAGCTTGAAAATGGAAGTTTAGAGAGAGAGAGAAGGGAGCTCCATTGGGAATGAAGAAGAAAAATGCCTAAAAAAATCTGAAAACATGGCCTATATGCAATGGTTTGGTTAACGCGGGTCCCGCCTTGACCTAAGAAATGACCGAAATGCCCCATTTTGCAAATTTCACCTTATAACATGCTACAACTATACAATTAATCACATAACCATATAAACATGCTCCGAATAATAATATATGAGATACCATGATACCGAATAAAAATCACGAGCACGACCAATCCGGTCGTGGGTCCTGTCCGAGGCCTCCAAAAATATGAAAAATGATGAAACGACCCGAGATGCATTTTTAAGAGTTCTAAACTCAAAGAAACACCCCAACCAACTCTCGGGATTCACATAGCATGCCGAACGACGCTCGACACGCAAAACGAGGTGATAAAAAATTCAGAAAATTTGAAAAAATGCCCAAAAATGGAAAAATGAGAAACTTCACAAAATGGGTAATATCTGTGTAGGTGCGTTTTTTTAAAAGTTGAACCACTAGATTACTGCCACATGTCAGTTTGAATGTCATAGCTGCCACTCAGAGAACTTTGTGGTGGATGACAGACAGTACGTGGCAATTTGCCTGACTCTTCAACTTGAGAGAAATATTGGGCTTTAACTTGGGTCACATTTGCAAGAAATTTTCTTCTTGATTTTTTTTTTTGATAAGTAATTTTCTTCTTAATTTATTAATGGGTAATTTACACAGACCTCCCCTATGGTTTGCCCTAATTACAGGGAGCACCCTTCCTGTTTCGGAAATTATGCGGACCTCCCCTAAAAATGAAAATAATTTACACAGACCTCCCTTCTATTAGAGTCAACAGCAGTCAACGACGAAAAATGATGACATCAGCTACTATTTTTACTAAAATTCCCATAATACCCTTGTCCTTGATATAGATCACACACACACACACACACACACACACACACACACACATAAATCTGATTTTTCATCTATTTATTATCTAAAACAATCAGTTGAATGAAACTCGTGTTCTTTTTTTCCATTTTATGAGATATATTATGAAAACACAGAGAGAGAATCACACGAATTTAGAGAGAGAGAGTTTTGAGGTGTTGCAATGGCACCCAGTTTTGATTGTGCGGTATTAAGCCTTCTCTATGTAGAAGACAAGAGCAGCATTTTTGATGATGATGATGATGATGATGATGGGTCTCTGAGGGAGGACTTTGAACCCAGTTGGAATCATAGAAATCACCGAATGAGTAATCAAAACCAGGGCTTTGATGGTGAAGAGTCCTGGAATGGGTTACCAGTTCAGATTGACGAGTATTTGGCTTTAATGGTCAAAAAGGAATGTGAGCATTTGCCTAGTGGTGATTACTTGAACAGGTTGAGGAATGGGGACTTGGATTTGGGGGCTAGAATGGAGGTTGTGGATTGGACTGTCAAGGTTGGTTCAACAAACTTTGTTTATTGGGTTTCTTTAATCATGAGTTCTCTAAAATGGTTATTGTGCATTTTTTTTTTCTTCTTTTTGTCGAACCGGATGCCCCTTCTCTCTCCTTCCTCTCTCTTTCTCTAACCATCGGTGATGAACCCATCCTTGTAGTCACCGCCGGTATATCGCTGCGTAGACCCAGTATCATAGCCGATCCGTCCTTTCTCTCTCATCAAATCTCCTCTGCAATCAAGAGAGAGAAACAGTCAATAACCCCACCACTGAAGATCCATGTCGGCGAGATCCAGAAACTAAAAATTCCATCATCGGTGTGGCGAAAGCCCAAAGTTGTTATGGGCATTTTAGTAATTTAAGATAATAATATGAGGGTATTTTAGTAATTTGACACGTCAGTTAGTGTACTTAACTGTCAGTCACACATAAGGGAGGTCCGTGTAGGATAGTTTCAAAAGTAGGAGAGGTCCGCGTAATTTCTGAAACAGGAAGGGTGCTCCTTGTAATTAGGGCAAACCATAGGGGAGATCTGTGTAAATTACCCTTTATTAATTTATCAAGAGAATCAGCACATGCTCAAGTAGCTTATTAGAATTTTGAACTTGCACGTGCTGTATAAGCATGGCGATTTGTTGTTGCATCACTTCAAGTTCCACTTTCATAGGAGGTGGCCCCCAAACAGCGCTTGGTGTAATCCTCAAACCACACATCCTATACTTCAGAGTACAAATCAAGAGGGGTAAGGCTACCTCCCGAAGTAAATGCACCTTATGTTTGACTTTTAGATAATTCTTCTAATTAAACCTGTAACACAAAATTAAACAAAAAGAAAGTAGGCTTATTTGCATGGCTCCAAGTAATCAGTTTGTTCATTAATTAACAACTTCAGGTTTTCTTTTTGTCGTGGTGTAGACCTACTAAGCAAAAAGCTTCTTTTCTGTCACGCCTATAAATGTGTGTGTGTGTGTGTGTGAGAGAGAGGGAAAGAGAGAATTACGCGTGTGCTTATTGTTGAAGGATACAAATATTAAAGTTCCACCCTCTCTAACATCTTAAGCTTTTGGAGTAGATGGTAGTTAACATGGTATCAAAGCCAAAAGTCTCAAGTTCAAAACTCACCGTCACCCTAACTAAAATTGAAAAACAAGTGTTGAATAAAAAAGAATGCCACATGCGAGGGGGCGTGTTGAAGGATATAAGTATTAAAGTTGCACCATTTCTAATAGCTTAAGCTTTTGGAGTAGATGGTGGTTAAAACTTATTATAGACCACAGGCCAATTAGGCAAATTCAGAGAACCCTTTACTATTTCCCGCACTTGCACAAGTTTCATCAAATTTTGGCATCACTCATTATGTAAAATTGATTTTATGTGTCATTTTGCTCACATAAATAACAAGAAATAAAGGAGATTAATTTGGATCAAAAGAAGAAAAGTGCTACTATTTATGGATATATAATGACCTGAAATGATGAAATTAACTATGGAGAGCGCAACCGAGGCCATGACTTAATTTTGGTGTCACTGCCACCAGTAGTGTGCAGCAGTTGATAAAAGAGGGGGGAAATTGTGGGCTTCAAGATATAAATGGAAGTTTTAAAGGAGAGGATGAGATTATTGATAAGCCTCTCACTATGGCCGTGGTTTTGTTTATTCTCTCCCACCAACATTATGACCTCTGTGCTTATTCTTTTTAACGTTGTTTTTTTCCTCTAAAAGGAAACCTCATTGCAATTGGCAGTAACTAATAATAAAATATAAGGGAAAATATCACTTACCTCCCTTGAGGTTACGCCTAATTACAAGCCGTACCCCTAACGTTTCAAAAATTGCAGAAACCTCCCCCTAGTGTGACGGAGCTAGATTCCGGTGGAATTCTTGTTAAATGACTAAAATACCCTTATTATATAAAATAAAAAAATAACAAACGCATCTCTCTCCTCTTTCTCCCACAAACAAATTCCAAAACCCAATTAAAAAACTGAACCACCATGCTTGCCGCAGTTCCCACCACCAAGTTACCGCCGCCATCGGTTCAGTGTTGGCATCCTTGCTCACCACCGTTGGTCTCCTTGTTGAGATTGTGCATCATCGCCGCCATTTCAGTCCGCTTCATCGCCGGATCATAGCATTTCTTCACCGCCGAGCACGACCTAGCTCGTTAGTTCACCGCCAGTATCTTGCGTTGCTGGGCTCACCTTTTCTCTTTACAACCATTGTGTTCACCGACTGCAAATCCTTGCTCGCCGACCATAGATCCGTACTCCATTGTCGCCGATAAAAGTCTGCGCACGTCATTCCGAGCTCACTGTTAAGAGTCCGTCCATGCCCTTCACCGTTGGTCCTCACTGATTGCTCGCCGTTTAGACCCAGAGTCCTTGTTGTCAGAATAGCCACTGTGCTTGTCGCAGAAATCTCTACCGTCGCCATAATCGCGACTCTTCCGGTCGTTGTTCGTCATCGCACTTTGTCGCTGTCCCGTCATAGTCGTCCTTTTTGCTTGTTGTAGACGGAGCACATTATTGCTCTTTGCCAATTGGTTATTCATAGCTCGCTGCCGTCCGATGTTCCGTCCTTCCTTGCTCGCCGACACAACCAGTCCCTTGTGCACCTTTGTTTGGGACATCACAAGATATATATTATATGATCCCTAAAGACCTCTTCGACTGTGCGAGGATTGTGGTATTGAAGGTTGGGAGGCCAAAGAGAGAACAAGAGACTTAGGAGAGAGAGAGGTGGGTATATTAGTAAGGGTGTAAATGTCTTTGTAATTATAGTAAGGGCAAATGTGGTAATTCATGCTAAAAAATGGCTGACATAATCAAAAACACTTATTGACCAGCATTGACCATCACCGGAAGGGCAAAGTGTTATAACAGAGCTAACTTTGAGGGAGGTTTTTGCAAATTTTGAAACGTTAAGGTACTGTCTGTAATTAGGCCTAACCCCGAGGGAGGTAAGTGATATTTTTCCTAAAATATAATAATCAGAGTTGAGTAAGCTCAACAACATTTGGGCGGCAGCAACATCATCACTAGGGGTTCCATCTCTATGTTTGTGGGTCTGGCAAAATAGCTCAGCACATAAAGGGGCTTTGCCATTTTCTTACTTCATCTAACATGAAAATAATATATTTGAGTTGCCTAGGGGGAGAGAACATATATAGTTCATGAAGTACACAATCCATGAAAAAATGCCAAGATGCTAACCAACTAAGCTACTCGTGCGTAGCTCCCTGTTCCCGTGGTATGAGCCATGGTTTGCTTTGAGCCTCTTTTTTTTTTTAAATGCCAGATATAATTGAGTATCATCAACATATGTTTATTATGTCAGATTTTGGGTTCTTTTGTCATTTGCATGTACAATACAGCAGCAATTAATCAATAAAAGTTTTGCTCATTTCTAACAAAATAATCACACAAATTGCAAGCAAATACCACAACATATAGAACAGAACATGATATCTTGCAGAATTGAAAAGTTCTGTTCAACAACAATAACAACAACCAAGCCTTTTCCCAATTACTTGGGGTCGGCTACATGAATCCCATGTTTCCATTATGGTCTATTTAAGGCCCAAAAAATTTCAATACCCATAAATTAGTAACCATATGATCTACCATGTATTTTTATATAAGCATTTTCAACAGTTAGAAAGGATACATAACATGCAGAAATTTGTAGCTGATTTTAAGAATCTTGAGCAAAGTGGCAGTTAATTCGTGTACATGCAAAGACATACCATATATATATATTTAGACAATTAATTACCCAAAATCCCGTGGTACGAAGCATGTTAGATATTCAGTTTCTTACCTTCCCCTCCTTGGAGATAAAGTACTTCACCAAATACACCCAATCATCCTTACTAACACAAGGTGGCAGGTGAAACAATCGTTTCTCATCATTGTCCCAAATAGCACAGTAGTCTCTCTCTAGATCAGAATTAAAATCCTTCCATTTTTACCAATGGAAGCAATAGTCCACGTTTTTGCTATGATGCAGCACTCATGTTTTTCTACAAACGTTATGAAAAGATATCAGTTGGCTATTAAATAACTTTTCTGGAGTTAACAAAAACATGAAAAAGAAACTAATAAAGTATCTACCTTCAAAGCAACAACATTTTTACCTTGACAAGATTCCACAAGTCCTGTTTGATAGCCCCATTATGTTGTAATGATTGAAGACTTTTTTTATTGGAAGGTACCCGAAAAAAAAAAAAAAAAAATGCCTTCAATCATTACAACATAATGGGGCTATCATCCTATTCTTCGCAACTGCGCCTAGGAAATTGGCGAACTTCACAGATTCTAGACCATTTGACCGTCCAAATGCATTAGCACTGCAAAACAATTAGATTATTTCAGATTGCTCTATTATAATGTATTGCTGGATTAGGAACTTGACAACCCTCCTACCACAGCCTTAATTGACCAAAAAACAAAAAGTAGTAATATTGATGTCAACAAAACAAAGGAAACGTACAGTTGGAAAAAAATTAATGATATTTAAAACAGGATCAAATTGGCTCTAGTACATTGTTTAAAGTGGTTAGATTGCTCTACTACAATGTTTAAAGGGGAGAGAGAAGGCAACAAAATTTCGTATGCATTTTGTTTTAAAAAATTTTTTGAAGATGTTCCCCAGTATACTTCTTGCAACTCTCTACCTCTTTAGATTATTTAATTGGGCTTAAAGAAAAAAAGAAAAAAGAAAAAAGATGTTCAACTAAAAATTTGATTAAAGGAAATTCAGAATAAAGTCAGCATAAGATACTAAACGGAAGATATTATTTAATAACCTCAAAAGGGTCCTGTCACTTCTTTTGTCGGGTTTTATTGACGCAAAACCCCCTCTTCCTTCTCATTCTGGGCTGATGGAACAGTACTCTCATCCTCACCAAGAGCCTCATGTGAACTCTCTGTGTCTTAAGAAGAAGAATGGTCAGACACTTCTTCTTCAAACTGAGTTGCCATAGGTAGGTTACACACTTAACAATAAAAGCAGTTAAAGAAAACATTATTCAACCATTCAACAAAATCAACTAGAATAAACACTATTCAACCCTGAGAGGATCAACACATACAGATAAATTGACAAAACATAGACCAGAAAATGAAGGTGGCTTTTCAAATTAAGATTTATTGACTGAACAGAGACCAGAAAATTAAGGTGGACCCCAATGGTTTACTTATCTCTTTCACCAAAGAGTAAATCTATTGGAAATTGATGAGAATTATGCATGCCCCAATTCAGCAAGTTTTATCAGAAACAGCAAACTAAATTACTGACTACGAAAGTAAAGCTTCTGTACATGCCATCAAAGAGGATATGACCCTCGCTTTTGGTACTTGGCATGGAATGAAGTATATGTCTGAGCATAAACACAGTGCAGATACCAAATAATCAAATGCACCAAAAAAACTGTAGGAGACTTGGCTAAGAAGAAAAAGGAAAAAAAAAAACAAACGCAGCAAGACAATTACTCTGTAAATGAACAGAACGTAAACAGAAAAAACAAATCAAATTGACAAGGAATTACCTGGCAATCTATTGAAATACACAATTAGATTAATAATCAAGCACCTGCAGAAAAGAAAGGTGGAAAGCAAGAGAAATCCAATGTATATCATTATAGTAATAAAAGATCTTCCAATGTATTAAAATAGAATTGGAAAGAAAAACTTTGATGTTGCGTAAAAACAATGCCAATCACATAACTAACACACGAATCATTAAGAAAGAAAGATCACTCAAAGAAATCCAAAACCTTTCCGAAAATTTTCAAACCTTTCATTTCCTTAATGTGAATTCAACCCAATTAGTTCTTTAAATATCCAATTCAAACCCTAGAGAGCTTCTCGCTCTAGGTTTCTCTCTCTAACTCACTTCACGACATCCTTGCTCGTTTTTTCGATCAATCAATTTTCTGGTCTAGTCCATCTCTTTCCACTTGTTCTCCTTATTCGTTGTTCTTTTCTTTACTGGAGAACTGTTGACCAGTTTTCCAGTAATCATCTTCTCATGCCATGGCGCCCATATCGCATTCTTCTTCTCGTTCCTTGAGTTCTGCACCAACTAGAGGTAGTGGTGATGTACAAAATTCGATGGAATTGGAGGGCAATGATGGAGGTTCTTGCCCTGTTACTCCTCTGCTGAAAGCAAAGATTCAAACTAAATCGGAAATACGTGAGAAAATGATGCTCGATCTGGTTCAATTGTGGTTTAATCTACTCTAGCAGCTCTGAATCGATCTCAGATAGTTGAAGAATGTGAGCTTGTCCCTGAAAAGGCTCTCAATCTTGAAAGACAACTTGGTTCTCTCTTAGAGAACTCTTCCTTCTTTGAGAAGTCTATATCAAACAAAGCTATTCTGACTTCTGAGTGTCATAAATCACAGAAATGGGGTTCCTGGTGGCCGCAATCAGGAACCTGACTCTGAGGGCTGATCCCACGGTGGCGCGTCAAGCTCTAGTGCATGAGGATCATGAAGAGGTAATTCCTGTAACTGACTCTGTTACTTTTCCACCTCTAAATCACGTGAGGCCTTAAGCCCACAAGTCTATATCAAACAAAGCTATTCTGAGTGTCATAAATCACAGATATGGGGTTCCTGGTGGCCGAAATCAGGAACCTGACTCTGAGGGCTGATCCCACGGTGGCGCGTCAAGCTCAAGTGCGTGAGGATCATGAAGAGGTAATTCCTGTAACTGACTCTGTTACTTTTCCACCTCTGAGTCACGTGAGGCCTCAAGACCACAAGTCCAAACTTTTAATCCTGTCTACCCACTCCGAAGCTCTAATCCTGACCATTCATTTGTAACGACCAATGTGGAGATGCTTAAACAACCTAATGGAAGTTTGACTGATGTGGGGAAAGGAAAATCCTGGAGCTATGTTTTTGCTTCAGACTCCATTCCTCGCATGGTATTAGAGTACGTAGACCCTGTTATCGAAGATAACAGATTCAAAATCTTCCCTCCAGAGGATGCTGTTTCTTTTTTTGATAAGTAACAAATGGAAGAACACTTCGGTGGAATACTTCATCGGCAGGAACGTGTCTGAAGCAAACAGGGAAAAAAATACATAAGCCTTCTTCCAGCGGTAAGAAAGACTAGAGTTACTCCAAGCGCCGTTGGAATCTAGACTTCTAAAGAGAAATCTGGGAAAAACCTTAGAAGAAGTATTAGTTTGAAATAACTCAATGATATTGATAAAGAATTGATTACAGCATATAAGAGGGCTGCTCCTTTTAGAATAAAACTGTTAATGACACTTCACTTCTCTAAACTAACTTTCAAGCTACCCACAAAGTATTAATGACAGCTTCTACTATTCCCATAACATCTTCAGCTTACTCCTTAATAAAGCAAAGACACTTTTAAGACACTATTGACTGCATCAACTTTTCAAAGCACTATGAATCATTTGCATCAAACCCTCCTCCTTGAAGAGAACTCGCCCTCGGGTATTAAGCAATTTACCACGATCTTTTAAAAACCTGATTAAGGCCTTCCAACCTTTCTTTTTTCTTTTCCTTACTCGAACAAAGCACAATAATCTTCTTTTACCAACAAGGAACACCTTTTCATGAACTTCCCGAACTCTCTTGTGAAATCGCCAAAACTTGCTTGAAGATAAATCAGGAACCAAGACTTGAACTAATCTGATTTTTACATTGGACCAATTCCTAGCTATATGTCGCACCAAGAATCCATCCTAAATGAGATAATGCATACTGCACCATGTCCCATTCGAAGTTCATTGTTTATATCTTCAGCTTGCCCAACATGAAAAAAACACTTTGCTGGATTAGATTTATTATTTTTACTCTCAATAGTAGTTGAAAAGATGAAATGAATATTTTTCTTATAATAAAACAGGAGTCTCATAACCCTCAAAAGCGTACAGCTTAGAACCATTAGCAACATCCCAAACTTAGTAGTCTCGTCTTCTCCACAAGTTATGAAGCATAACTGTTGGTTTGGATGAAAGAAAGCAAGATCACTAACACCACCAACATGAGCACCAATATCTAGGTTGTTTTGTATATCCTCATTCCTCACCAGCATGATAGAAACATATCTGCACAATGTGCTTAGAATTCGCAACACCTAAAAGGATGCCATCAGGACTCCATATCACTTTGTTCACTGATCCAGTATACTCATTAGCCAAAGATGTCTGCAGAGTCATTGAACATGATCCAAGGTCGCAAACCTTGAAATTTCTGGAAGCAAACTTCTCCCTACCACCAACTCCCCATGATGCAATATCACCAATATTCATGGCAACAAGAAACAGAGTTTGTTGCAATGGATGAAAATCCATGCTCTTGACAGCAGAACCCTCATTCAGATTTACAACTAAGACTTGAGCAAATCATCAGAAGAATATAAGATGTGGCATGGCTCTTACCATGCCCACATCTCAGTGTTATTAAAGGCTCGAGGCGCTAAAGGTCCTTTGGAGCCTAGGCACGAGGCGCACACCTGAGTGAAGTGAGGCGCACAATTGAAATTTTAAACTACCATAATAGCATTCATATCTCACAAGTCACATCAATATTCTAAAAATTAATATCAAATATAAAAAAGTAAATCCATAAACTATAGAAGTATTCAAGAACCATAAAACATAGCACAAATTTGTTTTCTTGAAAGGCAAAACAGAGTACAAAAAGAAATAAATCTATCAAAATAAACTGTTTACAAGGAAAGAAAAAAAAAAATTAGAGCCAAAAAAAAAAAAGAGGCAGAGACAAAAGAAGTAGATGAGAAAAGAGGAGTGTTAAAGAAGAAAAAGGAGAAAAAAGTAGAGCTCAAAAAAAAAAAAAAAAAAGAGAGAGAGAAGAGAACCAGACAAAGAGAAAGAAGTAAACAAAGATGAAAAGAAAGGAGTAGAGGAGAAGAGAGAGAAGAAGAAGAAAGAACTGACATGGCTTTGTCATTCTTCTCTGCTACTAGGGCTTCATCGTTGCTCTCACAGTCTCACTCTTTCTATGCTCGATCTTGGACTTTCTTATTTGTTTATTCTTTTGAACAAAAGATCCTTCACTGATATGCTTAGGCTTTCTTATTTGTTTATTAAGTTGCCAAAAGTACGCTTTTTGGCTTATTAGGAGATAGAACAATCATTTAAAAAAAAACAAAAAACAGCGAGGCACACCTAGGCGCACCTTGACAAATAGGACGAGGCGCGCGCCTAATAAACATCAGTGAGCTTGGGATGACAAAAGGCGCTAGACCTGCGCCTCGAGCCTAGGCGCGCCTAGGTGCGCCTTTAAAAACACTGCCACATCTTATATTGAATATAAAATGATATTGATGAAGACTTGATACAGCAGATAAGAGGGCTGGCCCTTTTAGAATAAAACTAGTAATGATACTTCACTTCTCTAGACTAACTTTCAAGGAACCCTTAAAGCATCAACAACAACTTCTACTATTCCATGACACCTTCAGCTTCCCATACCATAATTAATACTTAATAAACTTTGAGTACACTTTTCAAGACACTATTGACTGCATCAAATTTCTAAAGCCCACGAATCATTTGCATCATTGCCTCTCTCCTTGGTCCAAAATCTTGCCACGAGATTGTGGGACAAATGCTGGGTTGTGTATGTCCTCTACTCCTCCCTCATAGTTGTGGGTTTTATCTGTGTTTCGATTCTCTTTTTCTTCCAACACTAGATTCATTCTCGAGGGGTCCGTGGGTCCTTGCCAATCGTAATCTGGTGCTAAAGCAATGGATGCCAAAGATGAGTTTAGTGAAAGAATTGATGGAGTAGGTTCCTATTTGGGTAAAAATCTTCAACCATCCTCTTGAATATTGGACTGCTAAAGGATTTAGTTGTGTGACAAATGCCATTGGCAGGCCTTTATATGCTGATACCATCACTGAAGCCATGTCCAGGATCAGTTTTGTCAGAATTTGTGTGGAAATCAATGTAAACTGTCGATTTCCATAATATGTAAATGGTGGGAGGAAATGAGTATGTGGAAGTTAAGTTTAAATAACAGTGGGCTCCTAAACCTTGTGATCACTGCCAGAAGTTTGGTCATTCCTCAATACAGTGCCCAAAAGCTCCTATTATTGTGTGGCACCCAAAGAAAGCTGAATCTTCTCAAAATTGGAACACAGTTGAAAAGGTTGTGACAATTGATAATAACTCGAGTATGAGAATGGTGAATGTTCAAAGACCCAGTAAGTCCCCATCTCTTTTTAAGTTCAGCCTCAATCTGAGACAAATGTTAAGTACGTGGATGTGCAGCATAATGAACCCTCTATTTGAACAGATTTCAAATTTTGGATAGTCTTGCTAATGAAAAACAAAATGAGGTTCCAGTGGACCACACTGAAGTATTCATGAGAGAACGATGGGGGATAAAGTTCAGAATCTTGCTATATGCCTTTGCAATCTTTTGATGGTAGTATCATCTCAGACGATAAAATGAAAGGGTTGAGTACCTCTTCCAGTGCGAAAAAGAAAGCTTCAGTTCAGGGTATGGAAAAGGGAATAAAAGTGTACACTACAATCCTCTTGCTAAATATCAGAACAAACATACAAAAGCAAAGAGGAAAATAAGTGAGCTCTGATAGAATTACTAGAGGTATGATAAATGGGGGTGCTCTACCTCTTCTAAATGTTGGGTAGTTGGAATGTTAGGGGGTTAAATAGACCCCCTATGCAAAAAGAAGTCAGAAATTGGATTGGTGTGTGATCATTAAATTTGGTTTGCCTTTTAGAAACCAGATGACACAGGACAAGTAGTGTGTAAATAGTAACCGTAAGGAAAGAAAGGGATGAGAAAATAAAAGAATAGATAGACTAGAAGAAGGGGATGCGAAAATAGACGAAACTGGGTGAGAACAGAGTGAATAGATAGGTAAGATAGACTGAATGGGTGAGAAAAGCAAGAACAGAAATGGGAGAAACAATAGAACATAGAGAGAGACTCAAAGAAAGAACTATAATCAATAATCTCCAAAACTGCTAAAGTCTATTACATCAAGGCCTTTTATAGGCAAACCCAAAAATAAAATAAAATAAAATAAAATCCCAATAATTGCTAATAATAATAATAGATCTCCACTAAAAATAAAAATATTAAAATATCCCTGTGCCTACGCCTGACATAGGTGCGGAACACCTCACGATCTCCATCACCAGAATTAGAAGCCAAAAAAAATTTATAAGGTGTCGAAAAGAATTAATCCAAAATCATGCTGGATTTAAACAGTAGTTCTCACCCTCTGTGCAGAATTGTGGTGGGATGGTATCCAGTTATTTTAGTGTTCAGGTTATGCATGAAGGAGACCAGTGGATGCATCTCAAAGTAACTCAGTTCTCTGATAACAAATGTGTTTTCCTGTCTCCTGTTTATGTAGCCAATTTTGTATCACAGAGGAGAAACTTATGGAGTGGCTTTAATTTAATGTAAATCACTTGTTGATGGGCCCAAGGGTTTCCATTGGTGATTGGAATGTGATCAGGTATCGAGTAGAAAATAAGGGGGGTGTTTGTGTCCCTTAGAAGGTGCTGATGGAGTTTAATGAAGGGATTAATGATGTGGAATTGACTGAACTTCCTACAATTAATTGTCAATGGACATGGTGCAATAGACAGGAAAAGGGAAGCAGAATTTATGCCAAATTAGACAGAAGTATGATCAATAAAGAGTAGTTGACACCATATCCAAACACAAAAAAATTTCTGACAGCATCACATATTTCATATCATAATACATCTGATCAGATAGCTTCTAAACCAAAACCTTTTTAATTCCTTAAAGTGTGGTGTCATCAAGAAGGTATTACTGAGGTGATAAAACAAGCATGGCTATATATATACTCACTAAAAAGCTGCAGAATGTCAAGTCTAAAGTGAGGGAATGGAATAAGAGGGATCTCAGACATGTTAAAGACCAACTTTCTGAGTCCAGCAAGAATTGTGTGAAATTCAAACGGAAATGCTCAAAGATCCTCGCCAGTGATGGGCCCAGGAATTTTTTTGAGTGGGGGCGCCATTGAAAAGTTAAAAAAATGAAGAAAAACATTTACAAAATAAAATAATAAATATAAGAATTTAACTTTTGGTAGCTTGTCTGACACTTTATGAGCCCTGTCAGTGTTAGATCCAGATTCTTTGACCTTTTTTTAGTCATATCTGTGTTTCCTAGATTACCATGGATGTGGGGCAGTAAAGAGTGAAGAAAAAAGTGAGCCGATTTACTTAACTTTTTTTTGGACTAAAAATATCCATGGACTTTCTGGGAAAAAAAAAAAAAAGAATCTGTGGATGCAGAATATTAATAGTGGGGTATTTTTCAATAATTGGATGGGAATATGAAAGTGTGTGAGAGAACTAATTACCATCAGGGGCGGAGCCAATTAAGGCCTTGCTCCAACTTACTATACATAGGTGCATATTTTTGGTATATATATACTTATATGGTAATTTTAAATAGTGGCCCCCCTCAAATTTTCAAAAATTCTTTTAATTTCCTTTTGAAAAAAAAAATTACATATATCCCTTCTTCAAATATACAATATATTTTTCCTTTTCTAATTTTTGTTTCCATTTTCAAAAAATTTCTTTGTATTTTTCTATTTTTTTTAAACCTATTTCTTTTATCGATGACATTTGTGATTGTATCTAATTAAAATATTATTTCTATTTTTTTTAAACCTATTATTTTACAACTATTTTTTTCTTATTTGCCTTTTGATTAAAAAAAATTATATTGTCATATTTATTAAAAAAAAAAAAATTAACAAGTGCATTGTGCCCCCTCTGAAATAAAATCCTGGCTCCGCCCCTGATTACCATGAATGTGGGGGTGGTAGAGAGTCAAAAGGAGAAAATTATCATTTGGATCCGAAAAAGTCATTGGGGGCAAGAATGTGAAGGGTATTTTTACAAATTGAGTGGGGGCATTTCTAAAATTTAAACAAGATATATAGGTAATAATGTAAATAAAAAAAAATTAGTGGGGGCGGATGCCCTGATTGGGCCTTAACTAGGTCCATGCCTGAACCTCGCAATCCAGGTCTAATAGAAATGGAGAATCTGGCCACATTTGATCTTAAGAATTTGGAAATTCTAGCAACCCAAAAGGCTAGAGTTCATTGGCTTCAGGAGACTCATAGATGCACCATGTTTTCCTATCAAAAAATTAGCTCAACATAGAGCTTTTAATGCCATTTCTGCTATTCAAAAGGAAGATGGAAAATGGTCCACTGATATACACCAGATTGAGCAGGAATTTGTGAATCATTATCAGAAGCTGTTTAGTTGTAATCATAATCAGAAGATCTCTTTTATGCCTATGGAGCCCAGTGTTAAACTTTCTTTTAAAGTAGCTCAGTACTTGGAGAGTCAAGTCACCGCTAATGAAATTAAATCAGTTGTTGACAGATTAGGCCCTCACAAGAGACCAGGCCCTGATGGGTTTCCCACCAAGATTCTTTCAACAAGTTTAGAGCATTGTGGGACCAGATGTGGCAAATGCTGTTGAATTTTCCTTCTCAAATACTAAGCTATCAAAGGGCCACTCTTCTTTTATCTGCCTCGTTCAAAACAAGCAATTGTGTCAAAGTGCTTACAGACCAATCTCATTGTGCTCTAACAGTTTACAGGATTACTACTAAGCTAATGGCTACAAGGTTGAGTTCAGTGATGGGAAGAATTGTAGGTTGTGAGCAATCAGCTTCTGTGAAAGGCGGGAAAATCCAAGGTAATGTCTTTATGGTGAATGAAATTCTAAGAGGGTTTCACACTGACATAGGACAAGAACAGACTCAAATAGAAAGTTAGCAAATAAGAGTTTTGGGCTGAAAGTTCAAATGAACAGGATTGGGGTTCAATAGCAGTTAGTACAGAGAGCAGATTGAAAACAAGAAAAAACTATTGGAATCACATCAGTAGGGTCTAGGCATCACACCTAGGGAAGGTCTCACACCCTCATATCTTGTGAATCACTCGCTAAGAAATTTCATAACATTTTTTTATTCATTCATGGACTGAGTAATCAAAGTTACATAATATCCTTTTTATAACAAATAATGGGGATTACCCTACAATTGAGGTAATCAAAAGTCAACTCTAGCAAATTTTTTTTTTTTTTGATAAGTAATAATTGAATAAAAAGGCATTCAAAAGGGGAACGCGTCCCTTATACAAAAGTGGAACCGGGATCTAAAGCCTCAAAGAATCCAAAAAAATAATTAAATCATCGGAGGAGGAGCAAGTACTCCTCGTCACATAACTAAAAAGAGAACGAATAATATGAAGTTTTAGCGTCGCCGTGGATGACTCCGTCCCTTCGAACATTCTACTATTCCTTTCCTACCAAATACACCACTACACGCAATGTGGAACAATCCTCCAGTAATCGCGTAAACCACTTCTCACACGACATCCTCTCCATACATGAATCAAATCCTTAGAAGATCAGGGCATTACCCAAAGCATGCCAAACAAACTGAGTATAAGATTCCAGCAGTCATACGCCACAGGGCAGTGCAGCAGAATATGATCAATTGACTCACCATCTCGTTTGCACAGGCAACACCAATTAACGATACAAATACCTCTCTTTCTCAAATTGTTAATCGTCAAGATCTTACCCCATATAGCAGTCTATACAAAGAATGCCACTCTAGTTGGAGCCATAGAACGCCATATGGTCTTCAATGGAAAATCAAGGCTATCAAAATTAGATAGGCATAGGAATAGGGATTGTACTTCAAAACGACCATGGAAAGAGGGGATCCATGTAATATCATCACTACCTCTGCCAACTGCCTCCTGCCGATACAACAGATCCAAAAGAACGCATACCTCGTCCATAGTAATTAAAGGCCCAAGGCGCACTAAGGCGCTAGAGGTCCTTTGGAGCCTAGGCGCGAGGCGCGCGCCTAAGTGAAGTGAGGCGCACAATTGAAAATTTAAACTACCATAATAACATTCATATCTCATAAGTCATATCAATATTCTAAAAATTAATATCAAATATAAAAAAGTAAATCCATCAACTATACAAGCATCCAACAACCATAAAACAGAGCACAAATTTGTTTTCTTGAAAGGCAAAGCAAAATGTGTTTTTTGAATGGCAAAACAAAGCACAAAAAGAAATAAATATGTTAACAAAAAAAAAATATTGTTAACAAGAAAAAAAAAGGAAAAAACAGAGCAAAAAAAAAAAAAGAAGAGATGTAAACAAAGATGAGGAGAGATCTAGAGGAGAAGAGAGAAAAGAAAGAACCGACGTGGCTTCGTCGTTCATCTCTGCAACTAGGGCTTCGTTTTCGTCTCACAATCTCATTCTATCGTTGTTTGGTTAACACTTACTCTTGGGCTTTCTTGTTTTTTTATTCTTTTGAACAAAAGTTCCTTATATCGTATGATTGAGCTTTCCTTTTTGTTTATTAAGTTGCCAAAAGTACCCATTTTGGCTTAAGAAATAGAACAATCGTATTTTTTTAAATCAGTGAGGCGTGCCTAGTCGCACCTCACAAACAAGACGAGGCGCAACCGAGGCGCGCGCCTAGTAAACATCAGTGAGCCTGGGATGACAACAAGCGCTAAACCTGAGCTTCAAGCCTAGGCGCGCCTTTAACAACACTGACCTCGTCCATCTCCCAATCCTGAAAAGAACGCCGAAAGTGCATGTCCCACGTAATCCCACTACTATCAAGCATATAACAGTCAGCTACGCAAGCATGTCTATCAACTGCAATACTGTATAATCTGGAAAATGTATAAGATAATGGCTAGTCACCGCACTAGAGATCCTCCCAAAATCAAACACATCTGCCATCACGAACTTTGAATCTGATGTGGGAAGAGAAGACATTCCAACCCTTTCGAATGGATTTCCACACACCAACTCCTCCCATTATAGAAACCGGACTAGTAGACCAGCCGCCACTTTCTTCTCCAAAACAACATGAAACTAGCATTCGCCAAGGGCGATGCCTTTCCCTCCCAAATCTCCATAACCACTTACCCAAGATAGCTTGATTAAAGGGAACCAACCTCCTGATGCCCAGACCACCCCCACTCTAGCATAATAAAAGTAACAAATAACTTAATTGATGCAATTTGATCTAATTGATGCAATTTCACAATAATTGATACAAATTGACCCAATCTCCCTAATTATGCAAGACTACAAGTGGACCCCACTTCACCTAACATGTGCCAAATCAAGGCTTGAGCTCTAGAATCCTCTTTCCCATGCCTTTCATACATTTTAAACGCTGCTGCCACTGTTCTCTACCAATTCTCTCCGGCTTGGAAAAACTCAGATCCGGCGAGTTAAAGGGATGAAATTGCTCATAAGTGTGAAAAGAGCAAGATCATTTCAGCCTTGTATTCAGCAATTTCCATAATTTGCACAAAAAACAAAGCATAAACTTCAAAGCTCGATCATAACAATAGTGTTGTGCAACCCATGAAGTCGGAAAACTTCTTGAAAAAAAGGTTTGGCATTGTGGACAACATTGGAGGTCTTAGAACATAGAAGGAAATGTGTCTTTTTCGAAAAACAATTCAGAACAATGATTATAGCATCAAGTACTTGACTAGTTCTACGCAACCCGAGAACAAAATCAACATTTGACCCATCACCTCTGATACCAACTCCATGGCTAGTACCATGTCGAAAATCAAGGCCATCCTTCCACAAATGTATTCAAGCAAGAACATAAAGAGCAACCCAGTTGGTTCTATCCAGGTATTGTGCTCCCGAATCGAATAGACAAATGTTGTTTGGATCAAGTCCTAAAAATGTTTTCTCCTCTAGTTTATAATGCATAATTGTTGCATTAGGACCAACTGAGGAAATAATAGGTAAACTTAACCTTCTAAAATGCTCTTTTGATGCACGACGCCCCTCTAGCTTATCACTTACATGATTTGTTTCTTCGGGCAGTTTGTTTTTCTGGACCTCATCTACCAAGTTAGTAGATGTTTGAACCAGCTTCTCTTGCTTCTTGGCACAAGCATGCTCCCATTTCTTTGCAGTGCCCACTAATATACACCAAGTATCTACTCCAATAGCCGCATCTTTTGGCAGATTCAGAGTAAAAGTACTATATATCCAAGCCACTTTGAATGGTTGTAGACTTGGTTGGATCGAAGGCTGGAGGCACTCAACTGTGGCTGTGGACACAACATTCCTGCAACTTCCGCCATTTCCACGATGAACTTGCATCTGAAAATTAGATGTCTGTTGCCCATCTTTGCCACCAACTTTAGGGTAATCAAGGATGCACGTCACAACGGATATGGAGGAAACATTCTCTCCAACTTCCTTCAAATGATCATTGTTGCAAGTCTCATCATCAACAAGGTTCTCACGATCCTTGCTAGCCATTGAACTCTTTCCTTCAGAAGGAGCCATGTTATAGAAAGATGCATCCGATCCATCATTTGGTGGCATTGTTGTTGTCAGTGTGCTAAATGTTCCATCACTTTGACTTCTTTGGAATATCTCTAGTGGCATCATGTGACTCATGATGATTCACCTCTAAAGTATTTCTTGGGAACTCTTTTTGGGGAATAACCAACTCCTTCCAACCCACTCAACGGTCGGTTGTTGTTGAGAGTTAAATCCCTCCTTCATCACACACAACGGAAGTATTATCACATCACATTAACACAAACATATATGGAGATAACAATCACACACAACCACGCACAACACCATATTTTACATGGTTCACCTAACTTCAGGGCTACGTCCATGGAGAGAGAATATTTTCACTATTATGAATCAAGTAAGAAAATATACAACCACGTGTCAAAACCCCACTCACTCACTCATCATTTCTTTTGAGTCTACATTTTTACACTCGGGAATTACATATATTCTCTCCTCTCCTCACAACACTCATCCTTAAACCCCTTGCATCTTTCCTCTCTTCTCTTTCTCTCTAAACTCTCATACCCATCTCTATTTATAGAGTCTTCAAAATCTAATTCCTTGTTGGACAAGTATTCCCCAACTTGCCTACACGGAATTACCATATCCGTTTTCAACTCTAAAATAGTAGGTACAACTTCTTCCCCAAATCTTCAGCCTTTTCCCCAAGTCTTCTGACTTCCAAAACTAATTAGGAAACTGTTTCTCGCAGCTTCCAATAACTCACTGTCCAAGTTGAACCGGTTCAGCCCCATTTGAACTGGTTTAACTTTGGCAATAGCCAAAAGTCAACGCCACACTTGAACCGGTTCAAAGCTTCTAAATCGGTTCAACTTTGACAGTAGCCAAAGTGCACACCAAAATCAACAACTTTAAGCATCCCAATTCTTCATGTAATCAATACATGATCAGACTATGTCTTTTCGTACGTGCTCCATCATAGCTCCACCTCTTCATTGCTCACCTCAACTGAAGATTCCTCCACCTCAAATAAAGCACTATAATGAAATAAAGAAACACTCTAACAATTTACACCTTTTTTAAAATTCATCATGCTGCTTCTTCTCTTCTATCTTCTCTATCCACCCCGTTGGTTTTCAATTGCTCACGCTTTCAACTTATCCTCATCAATTATTTTTCTGGCTCAAAGCAACAAACCTCTCCTCATTCTTTTTTTTTTTTTTTGATAAGTCAAACCTCTCCTCATTCTTCATATTCCCCTTTGCTCTTTATCGGGCTTAGAACAAACCCCTTCATTCTTCACACCCTTGCCCCATCTTCAGAATTAGTAGCTTCTCTGGTTTGTCCTCAAAGCTTGTTCCTCATGGGCTTCACCCCTATCACCTTTTCCCCATCTTGAAAGCGAGCATCCTCCGACTTGTCCCCAAGACTTGTTCCTCATGGGCTTCAACCCTGTCACCTTTGCCCAATCTTGAAAACAGCATCCTCCAGCTTGTCCTAAGACTTATTCCTCATGGGCTTCACAATATCACCTTCACCCCATCTTGAAAACGAGCATATCCCAAGACTTGTTCCTCATGGGCCTGTGTCTTCACACCATCTATCTTCTTCGTGTTATCATTAACTCTGATTAAATCTCCATAACCCCTCTCGATCAACCTTCTGCTCTAAAAAACTTCACATCAATCTTCTTCTACTGATCTTCAGGACCAGTCACACACTCTAACCCACCATCGACTCTGATACCAGTTGTTGGGGAGTAATTAACTTCCTCTAACCCACTCAACGGTCGATTGTTGTTGAGAGTTAAATCCCTCCTTCATCACACACAGTGGAAACATCATCACACACAGTGGAAGCATCATCACATCATATCAACACAAGCATATATGGAGATAACAATCATACATATCCATGCACAACACAAAATTTTACATGGTTCACTCAACTCTAAGGCTAAGTCCATGGAAAGAGAGAGATTTTCACTATTATGAATCAAGGAAGAGAATATACAACCACATGTCAAAACCAGATTCACTCACTCATCATCTCTTTTGAGGCTACATGTATACTATCGGGAATTACATATACAATCTCCTCTTCTCACAACACTCACCCTAAAACCACTTACATCTTTTCTCTCCTCTCTCTCTCTAAACCTCACATACCCATCTCTACTTATAGAGTCTTCAAAACCCAATTCCTTGTTAGACAAGTATTCCCCAACTTACCTACAAAGAGTTACCATATCTGTCTTCAACTTTAAAATAGCAGTTACAACTTCTTCCCCAAATCTTCAGCCTTTTCCCCAAGTCTTCTGGCTTCCAAAATTGATTAGGAAACTGTTTCTCGTAACTTCCAATAACTCACTGTCCAAGTTGAAACAGTTTAGCCCCATTTGAACCGGTTCAACTTTGGCAGTAGCCAAAAGTCGACACCACACTTGAGCCGGTTCAAAGCCTTTGAACCGGTTCAACTTTGGCAGTGGCCAAAGTGCACACCAAAATCAGCAACTTTGAGCATCCCAATTCTTCACGTGATCAGACTATGTCTTCACGTACATGCTCCACCATAGCTTCACCTTGAACAAGAATCTCTTCATTGCTCCACCTCAACTGAAAATTTCTCCACCTCAAATAAAGCATTATAATAAAATTGAAAAACACTTTAACAACTCCAACATGGAATGTAGTGGTGGATCAGCTGAGGGTTTAAAGGCTGTTGATGCTGCCACTTTCTGCCATCGTAAGTACTAAATGCAGTTTCTTGTTCAAGGCCTACTGATTTGTTTAAAGATCGCGAAATTCGATCTCCTATCTCATTGCATCGAGTATTCAGCCCTTTAAGTTGTTACAAAATCTGTGACAGCAACTCAATCTCTTGATGATTATCCAATCTTCTATTTTTGGATCGCGTAAACATAATGTCTACTTCGGCTCTGATACCAAAAACTGATGTAAGACAAGAACAGACTCGAATAGAAGCAAAGAAGAGTTTTGGGCTGAAAGTTCAAATGAACATGATTGGGCTTCAAGAGCTGTTAGTAGAGAGAGAATTGAAAACAAGAAAAAACCTATTGGAATCATACCAACAGGGCCTAGGTTTCACACTTAGAGAAGGCCTCACACCCTCAGAATTTGTGAATCACTCACAAAGAAATTTTTTATTCATTCATTTATTGAGTAATCAGAGTTAAATAGTATCATTTTTATAACAATTGATGACCATTGGATTACCCTACAATTGAGGTAATAACAAATAACTTAATTGAAACAATTTGATCTAATTGATGCAATTTACCACAATAATGCCATTTCACCATAATTGATGCAATTTACCAAAATTATGCAATTTAACCCAATCCCCCCAATTATGCAAGACTGCAAGTGGACCACCCTTCACCTAACATGTGCCAAATCAAGGCTTGAGCTCTAGAATCCTCTTTCCCACGCCTTTTATACATTTTAAAACACTGCTGCCACTGTCCTCTACTTGTTGCCACTGTTCTCTACCACAGACTACAAAGTTTCTTTAGTCAATGGCCTTTAAAATAGACGTCAAAAAGGCATATCACTTGTTTCTTGGGACCTCTTATTTCAGGTTCTAAAAGCTTTTGGATTTGGGGATAAATTGATTGAATGGATAACATAATGCATATCTAACTCATGGTTTCATGTGTTAATAAATGGCACTCCTGCAGGGTATTTTCAGCAGAAAAAAGGCTTGGAGCAAGGTTGCCCTCTCTCTTCCCCTTTTTTCACACTTAATTACAGAATTTTCTCCTATATGGTTCAGCCTGAAAGGAATAATGGGGGGGTTCACACTAGTGGTGCTGCTGAATCGAATGGGTTAGTCTTTACATACTGTTTTTATGCAGATGATCTATTTCTGATTGTTAAAGCAAGTGCGAGGCCATCTAAATATATCTTGAATATCTTTAATAAGTTTAAAACCCTCTCGCCTTCTCGGGTCTGGAAGTGAGTTTTCAAAAAAGCAAGGTCTTCTTCTCTAAAGCAGTTAGAAGGAAAAATTCTCGGCAGAATCTCGAAGATAAACTGTGGTTCCTTTCCTCTTCAATATTTGGGGCTTCCTATGATAGATAAAGGCTTGAAAAATATGGATTGTAATGCTCTGACCAACAACATTGCTGCAAAACTCAATGGGTGGTGGAGCTCTCTTAATCTATCACTTTGCTGATAGGGTTGAGTCGATAAGATCTGTTATCTATTCTATTATTCATTATTGGTGTTCTGCCTTCAAATTACCAGTTGTTGTGATTTAGAAAATGATAAAAAAATATATATATATATAATAATAAATAAATAAAAACTTCATTTGGGATGGCAAAATAAATTCTAAGAGACTTCATCTTCTAGAATGGAATAAGCTTGCTTGCCCAAAATCTGGAGGCGGGTTTGGTTTAAGAAGACTTGCAGAAATAGATAAGGCCACCAAATGCAGTTTATTTTGGGACTAAGAAAGGATAGAATGTGGATTCCATGGTTGAAGAATCTTTACCTTAAGCATGATTCTATTTGGTCTTATTCATTGATGTATAATAACTCCACCTGGAAGTATCTGTTAGGGGTCATAGAATTTATGTCAGCAAACAACCAATTCCAGATTGGGAAGGGCAATCTCTAAAGTTTTTCTTGGACCCACGGTGGAATGGTGCTTCCTTAGTTCAGACATATGGTCACAGGATTATCAAATTATTTGATGTTCCTAAAGGAGCTAAGATCAGTTACACCAGAATTCATGGTGAACGAGGTTACTGATATTTGGAATCAGATTACTCATGTTCCTATCAATCAAGGCTCTGATTCCATTAGAAGAAAAAATGGTCAAGCTACTTTTCAGTCTTTCTGAAAATACTATAGAAATGAAACCCCTAAGAAGTACTGGTCCAAGCTGTTTGGAATGGTAGGAGACCGGCGGCAAGTGTGACCTCTAGTTTGGCCATACAAGACAAGCTGCCTACTTTGGCCAATTTGCAGCAAAGATGTATCATATGTGTTATTCCAATATGAAATAACTGCATGTTGAATACTGATTCAAGAGATCATATGTTTTTCAATTGTAGCTTTGCTCAAGTTATACAGAGGTGGTTGGTAGATCTGTTCAATTAGGATTGGAGCAGGGTGAATAACTTTGATCAGTTGGTGGAATGGTTCGTTTCTCAGTCCAGGATCAGAACTAACTGCGGCAAGCTATGGAAGTTAACTTTCACTTTTACAAGCTGGAATATGTGGTGGTATAGGAACCTGAAACCTCATGACAATGTATTTGTTAATCCTCAGCAAACTGCTTATCAAATTATTTGAAATGTGGCAGACACTTTGGATATTAACCTGCAAGAGCTGGTGAGAATTTTCAGTTGTTAATCTGTTAACGTAAAGTGGTTAAGGAGGCAGTTTTGCTTCTTTCTGTGTTGCTACGTTTTCCCCTTTGAATGATCAATTCTTGGTAACCTCCCTGCTTGCCAATTTATGGAAGCGGGAATTCTTTAACTATTTTGTAACGGGGATGTCTTCCTCTCCTCCGTTTGCCTTTGTGGCTCCTTAATAAATGCAGGATCAGGAAGGAAAAAAAATAAATAATAGGTCACTCACTGTTTCAGTCATTAATGACTTCAATCAAGATAAAAACAAAGAAAAAACGTGCTAGCATAGGATGGAAGATCAAAAGTCACAAGATATAGTCAGGAAGTGCATATCAAATATAAAATTGGTTGAAAGAGAAATAGATAGAAACTCTACAAAGCTCATACCTAAATCAACCACAGACTTCTTAAGAAATAATAATAAAAAATAACTTCAGTTAATTGAGATCTGAACAATAGAATGAAACAACACACAATTAAGACAGGGAAAATAAGGTGGAGAGAGAATTAATGGACACAATTAGCAAGCAAGGGCAAAATGGTAATCTGTTTACACATACTGTATTATAATGATTTCTGAATCATTTTACAAATTTCTGAACAATTTCACAAATTTCTTAACGATTCACAAATTTCTAAATGATTTAGAAGTACTATGTTGCAAATGTGTGAAAAAACTGAAATGATAGATTCAATTGAAGATGAACTTGTTGAAGCTAAAACTGAAATGAGTTTAGTAAATCCACAGAACTCATGGAGATAATATGTAGGTGTGTACATATATATAGGGAGAGAATGAGTAGAAAAACCTGATTGAGGCAGACAATACTTGATGCATGCAATTGAATATCGAAGTTGTAGTTGATCCAAGAACTGATTCAATCAGTTATGCATGAGCAAAGAACCTGATCTGATCAGTTGTTAATGAGCAAAGAAATTATTTGATTGTCCAAACATACCGCGATCGAAGAGGCAAGAGCACCGACATGAGAAAGAGGGTAAACTTCTGCTGAGAGCACCCTAGATCTTCTCCTGCCAAGAGAGTATAGAGGGTTCTGTAGAGTTCTGTGTAAGAACTCTGAAGACCTTGACGCAAACAATACGTAAAATTTGATTGTCCAAACATGCAGCTTTTTTAGTCAGGCGCTCTAAACTGCCTGACAAAACTATAAAATAACATATATTCTGGCACTTCTAGAATTGCTGGTGAAAAACTGCCGGTGTAGCATAAAATTCTTGTAGTGTACAAGGATAGACAGAAGTAAAATATATAACAAAATTATCATTTGAAGAGGATACTGATTACACAAATAAACAATGACAGCTAGTGCAACTTAGGCATAAAATTGGAAGAGCTTACTTGGCGGAAAATGTTGTTAATCACATTTTTATATATCTTATACATTTGAATTCATCTTTCAAATACGATTTATATATCTTATAAATTTACAATACAATGCAGTGTAGTATTTGGGACATATCATGTCTTCTAATAATAAGAATATAACACACTTGGTGTTGTTAGGAGGAAGCAGCACACTGAAAAGCCGACTTAATTTCAGTATGATACCATGAGCATAGTATAAAAGCAACAAGATTTTTATAAGCACGTCAGTAGAACTGCAAACTCATAAATCAAACAATTTCATAAATATTAAGATAGAAAATGAAACTTCAATTACAATAATTTGAAATAGTCACAACCCAAGTGGTCAATGAGTACCATAAAACAAGATGCTGCTAAATTAACTGGTGACAAACAACCATAGAATGGACATAAAACACTGAAATAGTGACCACCCAACCCAAGTGATACTCAAACAGGAAAGACGTTTTCAATGTGCCCATGGACACGCCACGAACGATCACAAAAAGAATAATTAGGATCGCAAAAAGAAGAAACAGGATGGCATGCTACATCATCAAGCTTCTTAAAGGTGTTATCCCTAATGTTGTAGGAGATGATCATAGTTGCGTCTACGAATAGCACCAAAAACACATCCCCATCATCTTCACCATAATTTAAACGAAGCACCCTGACTGTATCAGGGCGGACAACCATCAACTCTTTTGATGCAATATCAACCAAGTTAAGGCTAACCCGATACTTCAATGACCACTTGGAGTAATCACTTTCCATCTCATAAATGTTGAAATTAAATCCGGTACCATTATTATAATCAATAAGATGCAAATGACCTCTGGACTCCCCAAAATGGAAGAATTTAAAAGCATCAAGCTGATATGGTGGTGATGGCATCGGGCAGAATCTTTCTTGATCAACATCAAAGTATAAGGAGGTGTCTTGTGGTAGTGGGCAGAAGGAAATCCAATGGATGGAACCATTCCAATAGACTCCACAATCTAATTTCACAGTAAATGATACATCACCAATATTGAGATGTGGCCCCCGCCAGGCATGGGTTTCTGAGGAATAAATTTGTACTTGACACGAGTAGCCATTACACTTTAGTGAATTTTGAAGCAAAACAACTTTGTAGTGAAGTGATTTCAAAGGATCAAAAACCAAATATAAATAGTCAGAAGGATAAGCGTCATTGTGGGTAAAAGGCCAGGGAAGAGTAGAGAATTGCTTGGTAGCAGGATTGAAAACATGGTAAGACCTTCCGGTGTAATTAGACTGCTTAGTTTCGCAGCAGATGAGTAGAAGACCATAACAAGAGTCTTCTATGATTGTAGTATTAGTAGTAGTATTTGTATCAGGAAAGAGGAGAGCGAGTGACTTGTTTACATCTCCATCATTATTAATAGTAGTAGAACTATTACATCGATTCTTCTTCAAGTCAGTGTGAATGAGAGGAATGTATCTGATGACTTCAGGTAAGTATCTATTGGATAAGAAAAGGCCGGAGATTTTCGGATCATGGAAATGTGGATGCTGCTGCTGTAGCAAGTGGAGGAGAGAGAAGCGGCGACTGGAGATGAGAAAGAGCCATGGTTTAGAGACTGACCTGAATCGAAGGAGGGATTTCACAGGCAGACGCCTAAGGATCTCCGCCACAAGGTCCGCGTTGCTGACGATTTCAACAGCAGCAGCGACGGTGACAGAGATTTGGGCCGACGATGGTCTCTGCGCATTATTACGGTGGCACCTTTTAAAGCGAGAAGCCATTATTCTTCTCTGATATCTCAATCGGACGCACCCTTCTCACCTTTCTGCTACCGCTTGCCCTTTCGATCTCAGCTTTCTGCTACCGCTTGCCTTGTGACCTATATATTACCGATTGCTTTGGTTCCGTCTTTTCTGATTCAAATTCAAATTTTAAAAATATTATGTAATTAATACTTTCCCTAGGTAATTTTACCATATCACATACAGTATTTCTTTACTTAAAATAGATTATTCCCCTTCCTCTCTCGATTCTCTCTCCTCTCCAAATCCTACCGCCACCGCCCCCGGCCGCAATCTCTGTCTCCTACCACCACCCCCGTCGCCACCAACCACAATCTCCTACCACCACCAACAAACATAATTTATCAGATTAGAGAATGTGATTTAGTAAAACATATATACACTTGAACTGAAAATGAATCGATATATATGTGTGTGTGTAATCAACCATACAATCAACAAACCACAAACCCAGAACAAAAAATAAATAAAAAAAATCTCGTCTTGATGCACTTCTCTCTCGTTGGAAGCAAACCAGCCACAAACCCACATAAGAACTCAAACCCAGAACAAAAAAACCGATTCACGTAAAGCTCGCGAGTCATACGGTTTCTAGGAATTTGAATACGCGGACGAGAAGGCAATCGGTGAGAAATTGGGTATGGACAGTTGTATCTCTCTCGATTTTGCCCAAATTGATAATGTGAGAGGGTGGGATTTGGAGGGGATAAGAATGAAGAGAATGATTTATATAATGGGATCTGAGATTTGGTAATCACTGGCGGTGACTGGTGCTGGTGGAGCGGTGGTGCTAATGAATGTCGGAGGTTCCAGTCTTTTCTTTCCCAATCCTAATCCTAAAATTAATATATAATTTATTCAAATTAAGTAATCGAAATAATTATTATTAAGGGATAACAACCAAAAATTCAAAGGGTTAATTTAATCGATGATAAGTATTGAGAGGCTAATGGTGTATTGTCATTTATGCATTTATTACTTATACTATTACTAAATATATATATTAATTATGATATTATTATATTATCATATATATATATATATATATTAATTATATATATTTAGAAATATATCACTAAAAATTTTTTTTATTAAAAAATATTATAAATAAATTACGCATATATGAATGAGTGAAAAAAATTAACTTATTTATTGCATATTTCATCAATTAAATAAATAATAATAAATATATTTGTATATAAATTTAAATAAAATATATATTTCATGACTTAACATAATTTTATTTAAACTCAATATAATGGTCGGGGGTTACAAGGAATACAAACCAAAGGAAAGACATCTTTTGAGTGACGGAGCTTGCGAACCCCTAAACAAAGTTTTTCCATAAGTAACCACGTCATACAAAACTAAAAGCAACGAGAGGACACTCTCAAGAGGCTCTGATTTCAAATTTTTTTTAATTTTAATCGACTTAGTGTCCAACCATTACAAAAGAATATTTATTCCACGTCGGAACCTATACTAACCATGGTGGAAGGCATTGTGGCAATCCAAAGTTAATGAGATTAAAAAAATTGATTTTTTTCTTTTTTTCCTTTAAGATGCTAGTCTTATAGTCATTTCACAAATAATATCTAATTAAAGAAATTTAAATTTCTTAAAACACTTAATCTTTCAATTAATAGTAGGATTAGATTATAATATTACAATTAAAAGTGATTATACTGATCCTTGCACATTTGGGAGAGCAGTTGAACACCACTACATATATATATATTTCATCCATCCTAAAATAAATGTCCAACTCTCATGATTAAAAGTTACCCCAACTGTGTATTAGCATAGTAGTAATTTTAAAAATTAATTCTCTAAAAGTATGTTTCTAGTATTTTAAAATTTTTTGAAATTTTTAATATAAAACTAATTCAAGATTAAATCAATTTTTACTGTCATTTCATAAAATCTAATATAAAGCTAACTCTAGATTAACTTATTTTTTTTAATGTGATTTCTTTAACTTGAGCTCTACTGAAAAGGTAAAACTCTGAACGCGCATTTCTCTAATTATGGTGGGAACAAGATCCTTTATGTACCAAACTTTCGAAAAAAAGATCCTTTATGTACCAACCCAACCAAAATAGGAATTAGATTAGCCCTTTCTAACCAAAACTTCAAACGGGCTTGAATAATATTGTTCACGTTTGGGTTAAGATTCACACTTCAACCAACTCGGCCGGCCGAGTTGAATCCATATTGTTCACTTCGTATTGACTTCATATGAAAAGAAGCTAATAATGAATGAATACCAATAACTCAAATGAATGAGGTTCACGAAGTCTGAATTGATTCAAATATCAAATGCCGCCAATAGCTACATCCACCAAGCCAATGGACTTGATTTAGTTGACTATGCCATGTATGACCGCCTCATCCAATATTGCACCGACCACCTCTTCTTCCGCCAAGCCAAGCAGCTTCACGCCCGCCTCGTACTCTCCTCCGTCGTCCTCGACAACTTCCTCGCTTCAAAGCTCATTAATTTCTACTCCAAGTCATCGACTCCGAGAAGCCCACAAAGTGTTCGATGAAATTCCTCAGAAGACCACATTCTCTTGGAACGCTATGCTCTTTGGGTACTCGCATCACAACTCACAAGTCACAACATACACATGGAAACACTTGAGCTCTTCTCGCCTTTCCTGTCTTCATCATCGCCTGCAAAACTAGATAATTTTACAATTACTCGTGTGTTAAAGGCATTGTCGTCTTTGTTTCCGAACTCAAATTTGGCTAAAATGGTTCATGGTTTTGTTATTCGAAGGGTTTGTTTCGGATATCTTTGTTTTGAATGCTATGATTACATACTATTCGAGAAGTGATGATATTGCTGCGGCGAGAACTTTGTTTGATACGATGACTGAAAGAGATCTTGTGTCCTGGAATTCGATGGTTGCAGGGTATTCTCAAGGAGGGTTTTATGAAGATTGCAAGAGATTGTACAAGGAAATGTTGGGTGTTGAAAATGTAAGACCTAATGAGGTTACAGTACTTAGTGTTTTACAGGCCTGCGCTCAGTCGAATGATCTTATTTTTGGGATGGATGTTCATCGGTGTGTAATTGAGATTCGAGAATGAAATTGAAATGGATCTTTCGTTTTGCAACTCATTTATTTCGTTGTATGCTTGATTATGCTAGAGAACTTTTTGAAGGGATGTGTGAAGAGGATGAAATTACCTATGGTGCGATTATTTCTGGGTACATGATTCATGGATTTGTTGAGAAAGCTATGCGTCTTTTTGGAGAAATGAAAAAACCAGGATTGAGTACGTGGAATGCTGTCATTTCAGGACTGGCGCAGAACAACTGGCATGAGGGAATTCTAGACTTGGTTAGAGAAATGCAGGTGACTGTATTTAGGGCAAACACCGTGACACTTTCAAGCTTTCTTCCTACAGTTTCATATTTTTCAAATCTAAAAGGAGGGAAAGAAGTATATGCATATGCAGTCAGAAACAGTTTCGATAAGAATATCTATGTGGCAATTGCCATTATTGATGCTTATGCCAAATTGGGCTTTCTTCTTGGTGCACAAAGGGTTTTTGATCAATCAAAGAGATAGGAGTGTGATTCTTTGGACGGCAATAATATCAGCATATACAGCCCATGGAGATGCTAATGCGGCACTTAATCTATTTGATAACATGCTGAGTAATGGGACTCAGCCAGACCCTGTGACATTCACGGCAGTATTGTCGGCTTGTGCTCATTCTGGAGTGGTAGATGATGCTTGGAAGATCTTTAATGCCATGCTTCCGAAATATGATATTCATCCCTTGGTTGAGCATTATGCTTGCATGGTAGGGGTTCTAACCCGAGCCGGAAAGCTATCTGAAGCAGTGGAATTCATTTCTAAAATGCCAATTGAACCAAGTGCCAAGGTTTGGGGAGCATTGCTTAATGGGGCTTCAGTTTCTAGGGATGTTGAACTGGGGAAGTTTGCTTGTGATCGTTTGTTCGAGATTGAGCCTGAAAATACAGGAAATTATATCATCATGGCAAACTGATTTTCACAAGCTGGGAGATGGGAAGAAGCTGAACGTGTGAGGGAAAAAATGAAGAATATTGGGTTGAAGAAGATCCCTGGTAGTAGCTGGATTCAAACTGGTGGAGGGTTACAGAGTTTTATAGCCAAAGATGTTTCAAATGAAAGAACTGAAGAAATTTATGGGATGTTAGACAGATTGCTGGAGTTGATGAGAGAAGAGGGTTATCTTTTGGTGGATATATTTAAAGAGGAAAGTGTTTGTAATTGAGCATCAGATCATTGACTAATGAAATTATTGCAAATAATGAATAGTCTTGGGGTTTTAATCTACGTAATAATACGCATACAGGACCTCAATAATTTACATTGATGATTGGATATTCAGACGCACCAGGCCTGTGAATTTTTGTACATAAATAGTGCAAAAAAATCCAGGAGCATGATAGTAATAAATACCAGAGTAATTGGTTTGGTGGATCCTGTTACCCAAGAGTCATGACTGCAAAATCATGTTCATGAGCAGCCCAGGGTCCTCTGAAGCTCTAACATAGACATCCATAACTATGTCATTTGCTAAAGGAGAAGGAAGCATTGAGGCTCTTTCATGACTAGGATATTTTTCGCACGTCCACCTCACGAATCTTGAGTCCAGTGTAATTGATTCCTTCAATGCCTGAGCAGTTCATCTTCCCATTTGCCAAATCACACTGAATTTGCTGCATCAAGTCCTTCATCAGGGGTTTCCATCAACTTACATACAGGTTACATTTCTATAAAATTATAGCTAGTTTATTGTTCTTTCTAATGAGATATTGTCCGTATAATATATTTTTTGTTCCAAAGTATTTATAAACAAAGCAAGTGCATTAAGCAGTACACTGACAGATTTAGCTATTAAACTACTCCTGAAACAGAAAAAGACTCCAGAGGAACAGAATTACCAGAGAGGCTTTTGGCTTTCTAATTTTTCTTTTATCTACTATTCTTCAGGAATATCTTTACTAGCAGTTTTAAGGCTTCCAAGCATTCTTGACCCTGGTTTGGATCACCAAAATGTCATTATGTCTTCATGACCTCCACGAAATACTACACCGGGTGTTGTTAGGAGGCAGCAGCCATCAACCCAGAACTCTATGGTCTAAAAATGACGGAAATATTAACATCTAATGTGGCAAGAATTTCTTAAAAATTAAATAGCTACATTTATCAGCTTGTAGGTGGAGCATCAAAGGGTAAGTGACATCATAAAATTCTTTAAATTTGCTTCCGATGGGCTGGCTGTTTTGCAATTAATGACTACACATTCACATATATGGCAACGGCATGCTGCAGTCATGATCCACATGGTCATGTACTATTAGCAGTCTTAGCACAATACTTTTTTGGTAGTTTTGGGCCACAATTTAACGGGGCCCATTCGACAAAAACTTCCTAAAAACTAGTTCAAATATATTATTACTAGTTCAAATATATTATTACTTTTGTACAACCATCTTATTTTGCAGGAAAAATATTATTTATATAGTCGGAGAGGAGTACTTAGAAAAGTGTTCTGGAAGAGGGGTAACTCGGTCAAATGTTTGAAACAAGCTGAATTATTGACCGTTGTGCACTTTAGTAGGGTTCATAACATGGTTGAGGCCCAATTTTTTTTTAAGGAAAATAGACACGAGTCATACAAGTGGAAACTTCTGGAATTTGGATGGCAGCAAAGCTGAATATCATACATATAATTTTATTTTTCAAAGAAATAATAGATTTGAGGAGGCAAGGAACACATACAATCTCTCTTGCTCGGATGACCGACCAGTGAAGCAGCTCTTTTTTATTGGCAATGTCTGTTCCTCTCCATTTTCCATGATAGACAGTCCCAAATGTTCCAGAACCAAGTTCCTTTAGTTCTTCAAGGTCTTCATTCTTTATGATCTGCCATAGGCATCCGGAAGAAATAATTCAAGTGATGTTAAATGACATAACTCTGAATAGGAAAAATAAGTTCGACAATTTTATGCTAATACGTCAACAAAAGAAGGGAAGCATATATATAAGAGAAGTAGAGAACCCAATGCTAGTGTGTGAACATGTGCTGTGCAAAGTGAGAAGTAAATCAGGAAATGCATGTTCTTGTGAGTTCAAAATTTGAAGCAGACTTCTCATTTCAGTTTTAGCTTCAACAATTTCATCTTCAATTGAATCTATTATTTCAGTTTTTTCACATGCGCAACATATTACCTCTGTCTGAATCATTTAGAATCTTTGAATCGTTAAGAAATTTGTGAAATTGTTCAGAAATTTGTAAAATGATTTTGAAATCATGTATAATGCAGTATGTGTAACAGATTAGCAAATTGCCGTTGCTTGCTAACTGTGTGCATTAATTCTCTCTCACCTTACTTTCCCTGTCTTAATTGTGTGTTGTGTCATTCTGTTGTTCAGATCTCAATTAACTGGAGTTATTATTTATTTTTTTCTTATTATTTTTTAAGAGGTCTGTGGTTGATTTAGGAAATATTATAATACTATCCTAAATTATACAAGTTTTAAATTACGATACTATCCTCTATCAAGATTCTGACTAATGGAAAGATATTTAAATTTTTAGTTAAATTGTCAATTAAAGCCCTAGTAAAAGTTGAAATTATATCACAAGCTTTTGAATTTATTTTTTGGTCAAGTGGTGAGTTCTTGTATGTGCTTTAAATTTCAAAAAGTCAAAATAGCTGAAAATTGAAACTAAAAAACTATTGAAATTTTAGAACTTTATCAAACTTTAACATTGTTTCTTGGTGTTAAAATTACACAATTCTATGTTTAGTATTAGATTAATTTCAGTTGAGATTTTAATAAGGGGTCCACTGGATGGATTCCCGAGTTGTTAAACTTATGGAGTTTGGATTATCGGATTTTAATAATTCTATTTTAAGGATTTTCAATTAGCATTCCTTCAGTTTATTATTTTTGTTTCTTATTTCATCTTGTATTCTGTGTTCGGTTACATATTGATTGTTTGATATTTCCCTCGGGTTTGGGCCTGGGCCTGATCAACCCGTGTCTCGGATCCGCGGGGTATCACATTCATGATTACCCTTGATAAGTTGTACAACCAAACTCTTTGCCCTTCTAACCTTCTGCTTAGTCACAACAACATGAAGATCTTTCTCAACTGTATCTGCTATTCCAGCCACTGTGCAACCAGGATCAGCCCTAACTGTCCCAATATAATGCTTAGCAATATAGCTATATGTTACCTGTCCATTCACCCTTACACCTGTACAATTATGTTTATCATTGAATTCTCTTACTTGAAATGAGTCATCATTAGTGTTGGAAGATCCACGAATCTTCCATCCACATTCTTGTTTGCATATGATAGTCACTCTATCTCCATCATTCTTTACAAAAGTGAGGTCAAACTTCCCTTTGATTGCTGTATCCCTCACCGCTTCTCTAAATTCAGCTGCTGAACCAAACTTCTGTCCAACTTGTAATTTCTTGATTCCCAAGTCCCTCCTCACATTAAAGTTCAAGTTTGTAGAAGTTGCACAATGCCTATCATCATCATCATCACTTTCATTGGCTAAACTTATCAATTCCTCACTTGGATCATACTTAGTTTGTTTGTCAACTTCATCATTTTCATCTTCAAGACTTACATATTCAGGTGCATCATCAGCACATGGATGTTCATTCTCAACATTACAATCTCCAATCAATTCAACTGCATAGTCAGTCTTATCATCACATGCATCTACATTCAACTCCTCACTTGGCTCATACTCAGTATCACTATGAACTTTATTATTTTCATATTCAAGACCTGCATCTTCAACATCAACATCTACATTTGCATCATCAAAATTGAAGTCTTCATCATTATCAGCTGCATATGTTGCATCATCATCATCATTTGGTTCATCCTCAATTTGAATACTGTCATCACTCAACTCCACGAAAACTTCAACTGCAGCATTAGGTTGTCCTCCATTAACATTCCTATCATCTCCAGCATTAGGTTCTACTCTATTACCATTCTTTTCACTAGTGTTTATACTCCCCTCAACTATAGTCCCATGTACTGGAGATACATCAACTATCCCATCATCATTTTCATTCCTATCATCTCCAGTTGGTGGCACCACAAAAATTCTTATGAATGAGAACTTTTTATGTTTACCAACCATCTCAACATAATCATTTTCAGTAACCAATTTTGATAAACTCCCATCAATCAGATCTCTGTAGTACAAAACACTATTTGTAGGACAATCAACTATACAGTCATTATCTACTCCATCAATTGTGAAATTGCTTTGAAATCAATCATTGACATACGGTCAATATCTATTCCATCAATCTCAGTAACAGATCCACCAATATATTCCATTTGCTCCGTCTTAACAAATTCACCACCATGATGGACTCGAAGACGGTATAATTTGTTAAAAATAGGTGTATAACCTATCAAAACACAAATGGTAATAAACACAAATTATAATGCTAAAAACCAAACACAAAACCGTACATACAACTAAACCTAATACAGAATAGAACATATAAAATTCAAAACACTAATTTAATCAATGGGAACCACAACCCTAATATGAAATTACATTAACCCTAATATAAAATTACAATACATTAACATTAACCTTACAATACAATAACCCTAATAAACAATAACCCTAATTTGATCAATGGTCCCAACCTGTTGGAATCATTCCGAACACGACAAAGACTCACATGAAAAAAGTTTTCCAACTAAAAGTCATAAACTATCAAATAAAGACATACCTGTCGACATATTGTCCACCAAAGTTGAAGACAACAGCCCTGAATAGACCACTCTTTACCTTCTTCACTGACCCACAGATGAGACCCACAGATGAAAAGCACAACACAGATTCTACTGCAACGCACCCAAGAGTTTGAATAAAGAAATGCCTCAACAGAGATCCTAGCCGTCGGAGTGTATTCAGTGTTCTAGGGTTCCAAGTAAAAAGATTCTTCTTCAACGCACCCAAGAGACCTTAGCCGTATGAGTGTATTAAGGTTGTAAGCAACAATATACAAGCGTAACAATATATATATACGACTGCTGCAATGAATCAAAGGACAGCGTTTTACGTAAAATACAACTGCTGCCTTGAATAAAACGACGGGGTTTTGTTGTCCATCTATATTGCCACTAAACGCGGTCGTTTTGTGCTAAAGGATAATAGTGTAATTTCAAAAATATGATTTTTTGGTTTTTTAAATAAAAGGGAATATAATAAGAGTAATTTAGTCATTTTACATACCCTTAACAGCCAATTGCCAGAGTTGGGGTAAAATGATAACGTTTCTATATTGTTGGGGGTTTTAAAAACTGGTTGAAGTTTTATGATCAATTTTTAATAGTTTTGGGGGTTTTACGAAATTTGCCCTTAAATAAAAGCCTACAAGTACATGGAAGAGCCAAAATTGATTAACAGGGTAATGAGACATTGCTAGAGACTTGAACCCAAAGACCATAAGCTAAATGGATCAAAGAATACACAATGCTGAACAACATGACTTTCAATAGCAGAATTTAGGGAAATATTAGTGAAATCCACCAGGCTCAAAACTTACAACCTCATCATAAATAAGATTTTGCTTTTCTTTTTGACATCATGATTCAGAATCACAACCATGTAACCCTAGACTAAAAGAATATGAAAAACAACCACCACAAGCTCCTACATGAACAAGAACTACCGAGCCGTTGGCTGTGCCATTGCCGCATCAATTGACAAGCAATGCTCACTTGCACCTACATCCATAGGACTTGCAATGTTCTGTGAAGAATGCATAGAATGCCTTGATATCTCATCTGAGCTACCTTCTCTCACCGCCTCTGCTCCTCTTTCAATTAAGATTGCATCTTGGATCTCTTTCATAACTTCCGACATTGATGGCCTCATATGACCATGTGGTTGGACACACATCAAAGCTTTCTCAGCTATCTTCCACATTGTTTGATTGTCGTATACACCACGTAGAGATGGATCAACAATTCCTTGAATGTCCCCACTCTGAATGTGTAATTTTGCCTGCGATACAACCATTATTTAAAAGTTGATGACAATTAATCAAAATTTCATGAGAAATGGAAAGTACCACCCCGGGGAAGAGGGAGGAGGGAGCATGAGAATTTTAAAAAAATAAAAACTATAACGGACAGCGTAGAATCCTCTTTCCTAAACAGAGACCCAAAAATATAAAACATGACGTATGACAGTGATAATCTGAACCTCAACAACATAAACACCGGAAAAGTAATATTTTGAACCGAGAATGAATTCCATAAAATGATATATATACATATATATATAAACATCAAAAATCATGTTTTAATTAGCTGAAGGATGGACCACAGTAAAGAAATTGGTGGGAAATGACTTGTTCAAAATTTAAGATATATACTTGGCCCTCAAATTTGAAAAGTTCTTCCATGGTAGGAAGCAGGCTTACCCATTGGACTATGTTGCGGCAGTTGACACCAAAACTTTCATTGGATATTGCTTCGTGGCCAGATATAAGCTCAAGAAGAATAACACCAAAACTATAAATGTCACTCTTCTCGGTTAACTGCTGGGAGATATAGTACCTGCATATCATGAGAAAAAAGAAAAATAAACTTGCAATATGATACAGAAAACAAGGAAAATAAATCAAAGATAAATCAGAGAAGATCCCATACTGCAGTCATCGGAATGCACCCTTTTTAAGTCACCACTAAATTACTCAATGCTGGCAAAAGCACTAAATTACTCAATGCTGGCAAAAGCACACATCCAAATTGATTAGAAATTACACTACATAATTAACCCTAGGTTCTCATTGTTTTTACACAAGCTTGTTCTTTTTGTGGAAACAGGACATGGAGAGAAAAATGGCTAGAAGTGTGCTTTCATAATTTATGAGAAACAAATACTTCTATTCCAATTCAATCTCACTTGAAGGAATTAATTACCATAGACAATAAGCCATTAGAAACAGTGGACCTATGAATGCCTCATTTCGAAGGAGTATGGAACAAATGGACTCATTTTAACACTACTAGACACAATGGACTTACTCCTGCCATTTTCAAAATGGGAGGTCCAGGGTTCAACTCCTGGTGGAGACACCGGTGTTTGTCATACTTACTAAAAGGAAAAAAAAAATGGACTAATTTTTATATACATAATATATATATATATATATATATATATATATACTTACAAAAAAATATATAATATATTACACCAGAGAATGATCCAATATTTTGAGTGACATCCAGTGAAAAGATTCCAGTAACAAGTTTCTAAATTGCTAATCAGACTACAGATCAACGAAGTCCTATTGGCCTATCAGAGCGCAGCACATTGATTAAAGGAGTTATAAAAACATTATATTGACATTTAAGACTTCAGTAAAAGTACCTAATTGATTTAGTTTCACTAGAAATTCCACTCACAAAAGGGGTCAGATAGCCTAGACAACCACATGGTACCACATCCAGAATCCAAATAATACAGAGTAACTCTGTTTCCAGCACGAATGACCAGGGATCTCAAATAACTAACCCTGTAGTGCAAGTACACATCATTAACTGGGACTTCATCATGTACATTAAAATCTGAGACTTCATAATTTGAAACAAAAGTCCAACGGAGTAGTCATTTTATCAGACTCATTATGGACTAAAATAGAATAATTATTTGGTAGATCATGAGTCATTGTTGTATATTTACTTAAAATTAGAGAAATTATGCATGGGAGTAGTTGATGAGTGCCTTTCTCTTTGAAGCGAAAATATACTGCAAGAAGTGCCAAAGAGGCGCACTCCATGTAACACATAACACATACAAACATATCTACCCTAAGTATAGAAAGAAAAAAAATCCAAAACATCACTAAAATCCAAAAATGACCCAAAGGGAGAATTCACTGTCCCTATTACCCAACTGAAAAGGTTACCAAGAAGAATTGACTTGTGAATTGTCTCCCCGGCACCCCTTCAAATGATTGCCAATTCCTCTCTCCGCAAATATACCACATCAAGCAAAAGAGGCATGGCATTTGACTCCTTTACCTTTTCTCAACTCTAGTACGTCTCCTACTATTAAAAAGGTCTACCACTGATTTGGGAAACACCCATGCCCTTGCCAAAAAAAGGACCATACATCTGGAGTTGCCTTTAAAATGAATAACATTAGAGTCCACCTAGTCCCTGCCTCAATACACATACAGCATTGACTGAGAAGAATTATTCCTCCTAGCTAGATTACTTGCTGTGAGGAATTTCCATGAGCCACCAACCACTCAAAAACTCCCACCACAGAAGGTAATTTAGAAGATCTCATATACCCTTCCAAAGAAGAAGAACTCAGAAGTGACACTCTAACACATCCATACAAGAATTAGAGAGCTCAATCACTGCCCCAAGCTCCCAACCATGAACCTACCTCCTAAACCATCCCACTGTCAGTATTTCTACGGTAGCAAAACACAGTTGCTACCTCATCCACCTTATATAAATTACAATATCATCCCCTAAAGCAACATCACTGCACCATCGAACCCCAAGGGGTTGACTCGGGTGGGTAAGAACTTGGCTCTTGTGCCTCAGGAAACATCAGGTCTAAGTTTCAAATCCCCTTGGGTGAAAACAATTCCTTGAGGGGGGGGGGGGGGGGGGGGGGGGGGGGGGGGGGGGTGGGGTTGTGTACCAACTAGAGGGAACAAAAAAAACCCATCACTGCACCATCTATTATGTCAAAATCACACCAAATTACCTATTCCAGTAAGAGGCATTCAGTTTTGAATAAATCAACTCACCAAAGTGGTTGAATTCTCTCTCATCTCATCACTGACAGTGGAATGGTGATGATGGACATAAAGTTGGGTGCGATCATCATACCAGCACTAATGCACCAGATCCCATCAGAACTCTGCATCTAAGCGTGCTTGGGCGAGAGTAGGACTAGGACGGATGACCCTTCGGAAGTGCTCGTGTTGCCCCCCTTTTGTCTAGTTTTTTAATTATCGAAGAAAAAAAGATAATGGACATAGAGTATAAAAGGACCCTTGACAAATCAGAGTTAACCTAACACCCTTCGGTAGATATTGTTTTTCCCACCCAGCAAATCTTCTTTCAAATGTTTCCACAACAAAGTCCAACACAACTTCACCTCTCAAGTACAAAGTCAACTTAAGGTGTTAGAACATGATGCAAGTCATGATAGAATCCACTGGCTCCAAAAGCCTAAGTCTCAAAACAGGAAAACAATCTTAGCTGAAATACAAGGTAACAGAACTTCGACACAACAATCCTGAAACAATCCTGTCATGATGAATGACCTATCCCTAATTGAATTGTAGTCTTTATAAGCATAGTTTCTTATCATATTTTTGGTAATGGATACAAAAAAAAATTATTTTTGGTAATGGATATTAGCGTGCAAAACCTCGTGATTTCTAACTCAAATGAGAGTTACAGGTATAGACCATATGTTCCTGGTACACTTTTATCCTACAAATCTACAGATCTGTCCCTAGAAGTAGCTAGAACAAAAAGAAGGTCCACAACATTACTGGTCTCACCAAAGATTCACTAAAAAAATAATATCAGCATCAGGAACAAACAAAATTTTAAATTTTATTGCAACATGCTCTTTAATTCAATCAAAACCAGAAAACGAGGAAAATTGTAAATGTATAAAGAAGGGCCTTACTCAGGATCCAGATACCCAACAGTGCCTCGAACCATGCTTGACACATGGGAGGCTCCATCTACAGCAAGTTTTGAGAGACCAAAATCTGAAACCATTGCTCTCAAGTTTCTGTCAAGTAGTATATTGCTAATCTTTAAATCCCTATGGATGATGGATGGAACACAGCCTGTATGAAGGTACTCAATCCCTGAAACAAATTTGAGAACAAAAGAATCCAACTAAATCCTCTGAAGTAAGATTTTTTTTTCCTTAACGGATCCCTCCACCCACACACCCAGAGAGAAAGGATAAAGGGGGAAAAAAAAAAATCATTGGTAGGCTTACAAACCTTTGCAGCATCTTCAGCAATCTCAAGGCGCTTCATCCAACTGATACTTTGCTCACGTGTTAAGGGTCCTACCAAGATTTATATAATTGTAAGCAAAGACCAAACTGAATTCCTTTCAGCTCTGAAAAGGAGAAAATAGGGAAAACAGCTTACCATAAAGATGTTCCTTGAGAGTTCCATTATGCATGAACTCATAAACAAGGATACTTTTTCCTTCTTCTTGACAATACCCAAGAAATTGTACCAGGTTTCTGTGATGTATCCTTGAAAGAAGACTCACCTAGGTAATATAAAAGTATATCTCAGTTCAGAAGGACTAGCTTTCCTAAATGTAAGTACAAGAAATTCCATCTGATACAGCAGTAACCTTAATCACTTAATTACCGAAAAAAAATTAAATAAATAAATAAAAAGAAAAAAGACCCCTTTACTTGTGGGTTTTGAAAACTTAAATCCTTGAGAACTAAACTGGTGCTGTTCATGATGGTTATATTTGTAGGATTAATTATGATTTGTGACGCAAAAACCTGATATTTGGACACCTCATATAAATCCTAAAACCTTGTACCAATTTGGGTACACCAGTGCAAGGAATCATAACAAGCAGGTATATATATTATCTGTATCTAAGAATAATTGAAATTTTCAGCTGATCAGTTTCAAAGTAAGATCAATCATGCACATCTTAAGAGGGAAGAAAACAGTTTGATAGGCGCCCAACACACAAAAGTAACACATTGACGTTTGAATTACACTGCTTTACCACATTCTTGGTCCCCAACAAACACACACCTAAAACCAAGGAAAGTCGTGGAATTTGATTCAGACATTTCCTCTTCAAACAATTTCCACCAAACAAAGGAAAGGAACTTTTCCACCCTATTCATGACCAACGGTACTCATCAAGATTTGTTAGCTCATTAGGTTAAAATATTATTTAATAAAAAGAAAAAATGCTCAATAATACCTTTAAAACCTTTTAGAACCCACCATGGCACATCACTAAGGAAAGCCAAAACAAGAAGTATAAAAGAACAAAGATGAAGCATACAAATTTCTTAATAAGTTGATCAAGTTTTTTGTATGACATGAAGAAACAGAAAAGTAGTTTTAAATAAATCCACCAAATGTTCTGTCTGAAAGAAACCAAATCCACCAAATGTTCTGTCTGAAAGAAACCTTTAAATAAAAGCCTAAATAGAATAAAACTTGAAGATATATGAGAGCACCAAAACTACCCAAAACATTACAGTGCCTAAGAAGCTAAGATCACAACAATATTCATATTTTAAGTCATCAATTTAAACACAATATTCTCTAACAGGTATATAAATGATGACGCGGTAAAAGAAGAGATTCAAGAACAAGAGCATAATTATGATAATCTCATTCATCAAAAGCAACTAAATAGAAATACTAAATAACATCAAAATCATATGTAGTGGGTAGATATAAGAAGATCACTGAATTTGGCACAAGAGTGTAAAGGCACACACACACACTCTCTCTTATGGCGGTATCAGGTCTCTTAGAGCATTCCATAGTCTACCACTACACACACACAAAGTAATTAAAAGTCAATTCCCCATTTCCGGACTTCAGAGAAGAATTGCAAAATTTTCTTAGTCATCAATAACGGATTTGGCTTTGTTCTATGGGAGAAGACACGCCCAAACTTTATACAACTAAGGCCAACCCTAATATAGGGAAAAAATTAATTGGATGAGTCTGCATTGAGTGTCAAAATAGTTGCATTTCTGGTGAATCTTTAAAAAGCATACTAGACTCAAAGGACGCCAAAATTTTTTGCATCCCATGGATTAATTAGTGAATACTGAATTAGTGAATAGTGTATTGTGCACATTAATGCTATATTTTTCTGCATCTTAACAATATTAGATCACTTAGATATATCACATAAAGAGAGACAGAAAACATATGCAGTGTATATCAGATAAAAAAAGATATAAATAACATAAATAGGAACACACGGAGACAAAGAATGCATTTATACAAACCTTCCCCAGCAAAAAGAAAAGGCAAAATAAAAACCGTGTTAGAAAATCAACAACATTATACCTGGGCATTTGGATAAGATCGAAACACATTTTTCCGGTCCTGATGGTAGTGAACATAATCAGAGAAAGAAAAACAATAAATTGTTAGATAAAAATCATACTGTCATTAAAATTAAAGAATACTAACAAGAAAAATCACAAATCAGATATATACCTCTCTGTATCTAGACATAAACACATTCAACGGAGCAACATAATCTTCAAACCCTAGAGTCTCCATTGCCCAAAGAAGATCATCCCCGTTCATTTTCTTCCTATTATCTCTCAGGCACTTATCGCTTGCTCTTCACATTCAAACCCCATTACCAACGTCTTATTATGAACAATCAATCACGAAAAAGAAAATACATAAACAGTCCAGAAGCATATACATATATTTATGAAAGGAAATCTCATACTCGCTAGTGACGAAACGGATGAACTCCGAGACGCATCCCTGAACGGTCTCCTTAGCATGCTTGGCGATCTTCCCATTCGCGGGAATCCCCTTCTTCATGATCCGACTGATGTTCGAGATTGGCAAATAACTGTCCTGTTCGCGAACCTTCGACCTCGGGCTGTCCTCGCCGCTCTTGTGACTACCGCCGCCTGGACTCGCCAGAGAATCGGCCATCGTCGCCGAACCCAAGGTCAAAAAACCGAGCACTGCAAGACAACTTCGTCAATGGAAGCAGAAACCCTATAACTCCATCTTGAATTTTAGATTGAGGGAGCCTTTTAGATCCATTTGAGAGCCTTTTGAATATGATAATCCACTTGAGAGCCATTGGAAATGCTCTCAGAGGAGAGAGAGAGAGCTATAGCCTATAAAGAATATTCGTCTCCTCTGTGCCCTCTTCTCCAGCGTCGGATCTCTCTTCCCCTCCTCCATATCCATCGATCTTATAGGCTCCCTCCCGCCAAAATTACAAATTAAACACCACACCATCATTAAGTACAACTCTCTTCTCTCCATATACACACATTTATTTTCAGATTTGCTCACATCTGAGTCGTCTCCTCTCTGCCCTATTCTCCAGCGTCCCATCTCTGTCTTCTCCTCTGCTCCTCCATACCCATCGATCTAAAAGGCTCCCTCAATCTAAAATTCAAGATGGAGTTCTGGGGTTTCTGCTTCCATTGACGAAGTTGTCAGTGCTCGGTTTTTTGACCTAGGGTTCGGCGACGATGGCCGATTCTCTGGCGAGTCCATGCGGCGGTAGTCACAAGAGCGGCGAAGACAGCCCGAGGTCGAAGGTTCGCGAATTTGCCGATCTCGAACGTCAGTAGGATCATGAAGAAGGGGATTCCCTAGATCGTTAAAATTATTCTCAAATATAACGGCTCTTACGTGACCTCTCAAATTCAAAATATAACAAGTTGTTAAAAAAAATAACATTTTCAATTAAATGAGACATAATTGTAAAAACATAACATTCTAATTATATAATCCTTCTCAAAATATAAATTTGATATCAAAATATAACATTTTATATTAAAAATGCTCTAGTTTAACTATTTTTGTATTCTTAGTACGGTAAGAAATTTTTTTTTTTTTTTTTTTTTTTTTTTTTTTTTCTGTATACTAGAAATTTTAACTTTTAGCCAATAATTTACCAAATGAGGGTTTAAGTTTAGCCCTCCTGAATGCGTGTGATTTATTTACGAATAAAATTTATTGATTCCAAATTTATTAAATTTGAGTCATAGGAGATTCAATTTCAATCAAATGATGTAATGCTAAAAGAAAGTGTGAACTTCCATACCTAATAGATTCCAAGCTTTTGATATTAAAACCACGCTTTAAACTCCTTACTGAAATAATTCAGTTATTACCAAACAAGCGATGTATTAGTACGAGTATTTGATTCCACCTGAAACTAATATATGTTTGTGTACAGGAATAAAATGAAATCTAAGTAAGAATGAAATAAAAATAGAAATGGAATGGAATGGTCATTTTTTTTCTATGGTTTGATTGTATGTATAAAAAATGTGTAGTAATGAAATAATAATAACTATCATAGACTCTGTTTGGGAGAGCTTCCAGTAGTGAAAAGTTCTTTCATTATAATGGACTTACAAGAATCAGAAAGGAATTTGGAAATAAAAAAGGCATTTGGATGCCTTACTTTTAAAAAGTCCTTTTATCCCCAAAAGTAATTTTACTCTCATAATAATGTGTTTGGTTATAAGGTCCTTCAGCTATTAAATAACTACAAATTTACATAAATATCCTTATAATATGTACCTACATTATTAGATTTCAAACAATACTGAATCATATTAACAACTGTTTTTTTTTTTTATCCAAAAAAAAAATTGTAACACTTTAATGAATAATTAGGTAGAATACTTCTATCACTAAAAATGTTAATTATTATTTTGATAATAAATTCCAAATGAAATATAAAGTAAACATGCCCAAGATTTTAAATACTAATTTCAAATAAACAATAATTATCCAAAATAAATAAATGAAAACTTTAAAAACAATCCAAAGACATAAACGGACTAAGGCACTATTTATCTAGTCGACTGCCATATTGAATTAGCAATCCTAATGCTCATTTCTTCTTGTTGGTTCTCTGTTGCACTAGATTTCAATAGAGTGGCACGCATGTACATATCATCATTATTGTCACTGACATAACCTTCATCATCATCATGTCGTCGAAATTCGACATCAGCTATTGCTTTTTATCGGATCTAATTGTGTAGTGCCATTGATGCAATTACAATCAATCTTTATGTTGGAAATGGAAAAGAAGCCGTACATTTTAAAATTGCCCATCAAGCCTTCCAAATTTCAAGACAACATTTAATTACATTTCTAAGTGATGAATGAGCATAATTAAATAGTTCTTTATTCCTCTTAGTTGAAACTATTATCCATGGGCTGTTAGTATATTATGGGCCCATTAGATTGTTGCAATGGCAACACATTTGTATATGTGCGTGCACAAAGTACACATGCATGCCAGCATGCATACACACACTATATAGCAAACAACTATCCAAATAATGTTAATGCATTACTAGTATGAGGTGTAGCAAAACTTCTAGAGAAAATTCCTTTTGACCAACTAAAGGAAGTCCCATGCCTATGATAATAAATACTCTATAGATAGAAGAAAGAGAACAAGAAAAACAGAGAAATAAACATAAGTTTAGAGAGGGAAAGAAGGAAGAAGGGGAAGAATGTAAAGGGAGTTCGAGAAGGGGGCTGGGGTATTCCTCATCATTATTTCTTCGACTATACTATTGAAATCCATTACCGTTTCTCTGATATCCATTTAAGAATATGGAGAAACCTATCCAACAACAGAGCCTCGTACTCAACTAACTTGTTATTCATAAGTTTTCTACACTACCAAGTTTGACAAATCAATTAAATTGCACTAAACTATATACACAAGGACACATATCACCAAATTATTCAACTTCGAAACCAGAAACAAACAGAGAGTGCAATATAATTCATCACCAAATAAATCAATATATATATATTTATAAAAATCAAATGATGATAAGTAGCAAGAAAGAGGATTAATATGTTATAATACACATTCACAACATTAAATTGATTGAAAAATTCATGTATTAAATATAGGAGAAAAATAAAATTATTTAAAAGGAAAATAAAAGATTCAGAGTATATCAATTCGGTAAAACAAATGAATTGTGCTATGATGCACAAAAAATCAAGTCTAACCTGAGTCCAAGTTTTGCAAGTTATGAACGGTGTAAAGAATTTTCAGAAATTGAAAATTTTGAGAGAGATACGAAAGGTTGAAAGAGAGAAGCATGTATATATAGAGCTGTGGTATTAAGAGAACAGGAAACTTGTTGAATAGGAATGTCAGTCCTAAAATTTCCATAAGAGTTCTTAAACTTTCCAAAGGAATTTTTAAAATACAATTCAAGAATTTTTTTTTTCTTAAACTACAAAATTTACCATCTTTATTAGTCCAGAGAAATATTAGAGATAGAAATGAACTTACAGATCTAGGGCAGTGGCAAATTGGGGAAGGAGAATCAGATGAATAATACGATGAATATGAGTGTAGCAACACTCAATTTCCTTTTTTCTACACTCTTAATCACCGTGAAATTTAGCTTACATTCCATATTAATATATGAAATTGGAGGATAGGACGAATTCTTTGTGTACTTCTCCCCCAATTTCATAAATAAATACGATCGGTCTTAAAATTCTAAACTCCTAATTTTCTCCGATAGAAATCCAACCACTAGAGGGCTGAGTAATTATCTATTAGCAGAACTCCGGCGAGAAAGAATAACTGGTTTGAAATACTTCGTCATCCCTCATAGATATCGCAGTCCGAGATTCCTTTTGTAACCAAATGCCTTTGTAATTGTAGGCTGAATAACTATTTTCTGCAGCGAAACTCCTGCAACTAGAAGAAAGAGTAGGGTCAGGTGAAAAACTCTTTTCCATCTAGGACGTCGTCATTCTTATTTGCAGATCACAGAGACGGGGTGGAGAAGAAAGGTTAATTTGGAAATATACTATAATTTGTAGGGTTAAAATTGTCACCACAATATTTGTCACTTAATTGCCTCATTGGCTTCCCGAGAATGGGATTTCAAAAGTCTATTTTTGTGGCTTTCCTTGAATGGGCTTTCAAAGGTCTGGGCGTTTTAACAAAGCCCGTTCAAAAATATTTGCCAAACACTCACTTTTTTTTAGTGAAATCACTTCCTGGGGTTAGAAGCCCATTTTGGAGCTCCAAAAAGCCACGCCAAACAGGGCCATAGCATTTGGTTTGACCAATTTAAAATTTAGAATGAAATAAATTTCAAGTTGAGTTATATAAAATATCCCTCTTAGTAACAAATAAATTAAATTAACAAAATGATATTCTTTTATAATTTTTTAAAAAATAAATGGTGGCAGTGGCGATGATGGTGGTGACGATGACAGTGGAGGTTGAAAGTTGTTGTGGTGTAGATGGTGATGTTGGAAGGCAACGGTGGTGGCAACATTGGAAGGCGGCAGTGGTATTGGTGGAAGGCGGTGCTAGTAGTGTGGTGGAAGGAAGTGGTGGTGTAGGTGACAGTGGTGAAAGCCAATGTAGGTAAATGTGGTGGTGGTGGAAGGCATTGAAGGTAGCAGTAGTGGAAAGTGGTAATGATGGTGGCGGTAGTGGAAGGAAATAATGGTGGCGGCAGTGGAAGGAAATGGTGGTGGTGATGAAAGGCGGCGGCGGCAGCGGTGGTGGTGAAAGGTGGTGGCAGTGGTGGTGGTAGAAGACGGTGACAGTGGTGGAAGGTGTTGATAGTGGTGGTGGAAGGAAGTGATGGCGGCGGCGGCGGTGGTTATAGTGAAAGGCGGTAGTGGTGGTGGTGAAAGGCGATGGTAGTGGTGGTGGTGGAAGGCGGTGACAGTGGTGGTGGTGGTGGAAGGCAGTAAGATGGTGGTGGTGGAAGGTGGTGATAGTGGTGGTGGTGAAAGGCGGCGGCGGTGAAAGGTGGCGGTGGTGAAAGAAAGTGCTAGTGGTGGTGATGGAAAGTGGTAGCGGTGGAAGGCGGTGGCGGTGGTGAAAGGATGTGGTAGTGGCGGTGATGGAAGGTGATAACGATGGAAAATGGTAGCAGTGGTAGTGATGGAATGTGGTGGCGGTGGTGGTGAATGAAGGTGGTTGTGGTGGAAGGTATCTGTGGTGAAGGTAGTGGTGACATGGTGAAAGGCGATGACGATAGTGGTGGAAAGCGGTGGGCGGTGGTGAAAGTCAATGGCGGCGGTGGTGGTGGAAGGCGATGGTAGTAGTGGAAGTCGATTGTAGTGGTGCTGAAAGGTAGAGGTGGTTATGATAAAAGGTAGTAATGGTTTTTAGACTTGAAATATGAGGGTTTTTTAGAAAGTTAATATTTTTTTAAAAAAAATTTACTTGGGAATATAATGACCGTTTAGTTATAGAATGGATTTTCATTCTCAGGAATGGATTTTCATTCCAATGGAATGACCATTCCCACTTTAAATTTTATACCAAACAAAGGAATGGTTGGAATGGGTATTCCATTCCATTCTAGGACACCAAACGCATCATAAGTTTAAAAGTTTCATTAAGTATTAGCTTGATTTCTAATTGGACCATTTAGACTGAGATGTGCCTTTAAAAC